CGGCCAAATCGGATTGTCAAGGTCTCGAATGGCATCAAGCACTGGAAGCGATCTACATGGTGTCGACCTCGCAATGGAGGCGACTGGGAACTCATTGAAGACAACGTTGATAGCAGGGCAACAGTGCGTTTGAGCAACTCGTGGATCGATGTGATTGTGTTTCACCACCCACCTGGGGTGTTCGATGACTCCGGGAGGGGAGCATACATGAGCGTTCGTGTCAGGTTGACCCCCAACAAGAAACTGAGGGATATAAGGGATGATTTTGAAAAGTCTTTGAATCCAAAAGTTGAGATGAAATCCTCAGAACCCAAAAGAATGTATGCAGTGAAGTCGAAGCCCCAGCCAAAGGTCTTGACGCCCAAGTTGGAACAATATGATTCCGATTCATATGAATATGACTATGAGTATTCTCCCACTGGTTTCATGGCTGTACGTTTTGATTCCAACGTTGATTTGACAGTCCATCCTGATGAGAGGAGGACCATGAGCAAGAAACACAGGAAGATGGTGTTGGAAGGTATCAACAATCTCAACAACCATGACCGGGTAATGCAGTCCAGTCTTGGGATGCAGCCTCAAGTTTCCAATGGGACATCAGGGGTTGCAATCATCACGTCACATCCGACTCTTTTCCAGGATTTTTTCGAGCACACCTATGACGTTGGCATGAATGCTGCGTACTTGGACGGTGATGCTGAGCAACACGGTTGGAAAGACATGTTCGAAGGTTGCACATTGGTCATTGTTGCAATTGAATACAAGTCAGAACATTATCCACTGTGTCATGGGGATCTTGTATTTGAGTTGGAACAGTATTGTGATGCCACAGGGTGTAGGTTTCTCATTGTTGATGTCGCACACACTGAACGATGGGAATCATTCAAAACACCACAGATTCCATACATCAATGAAGTTGGTCTTGCTTTTGTGTCAAATGATGATGAACTCATTCAAGGTTTTCAAGACTGGTCTATGTATCGACAATTGGATGACGTTTTGAATTGGGAGTTTTGTCAATGGATTCGTGATTGGTCACTTGAACGTGAATTGGAGGAGCAGATGAGCGTTGCCTTTCCAGCAGAGATCATCGAAGAGGCTCTGGAACATGATGGGAACTGGGATGCAGTCGATGGCCCAGAAGATGTTGCATTGCAGGATCCGGTTGAGGACCTGACACATGAAGAGACTCTTTTGGATGAGGTTGATATCCCTGGTTTGCCAGAGGATGAAACAGAAAGACGTAGGTCTTGGCGTAAACTTCCCCAGCGTGTCAGGATTGCTGTGCGTAGGTTGCACAGGGCTTTTGGACATGTCCCCAAGACGGTGATGGTCAATTTGGTGCGTGCTGCAAAGGTGAGCAAGGAGTTTGTTGATGCAGTAAAGTTGCATAGATGTGAAACATGTGAGAAAACATCAGCAAAGAAACCCACTCACAAAGTCACGCTTCCAAGTGATTATACATTCAACCATACTTTGGGGATTGATGTACTGGAGTTGACAGATGTAACTGGGCAGAAGTATCAAGTTCTCAACATGGTTTGCATTGGTACTTGTTTTCAACAGGCTGAAGTCGTGAAGGTTGGAGCAGGTCAAGCTTCTTCGCGATCCTGTTTGGACGCACTCATCAAACGTTGGTTCAGTTGGGCAGGACATCCTGTTGCTATCATGTGTGACCGTGGATTGCACAATCGTGGTGTCTTGCAACAGTACATGGATGAACACAACATTCAAGTGCACCATGTGCCCCTTGAGAGCCCGGAATCATTGGGCCGAGTAGAGAGGCATGGTGGTTTGTTGAAAGCTCTTTTCAGGCGAGTGTGTACAGAAGTTGGGGCTTGTACCAAAGAACAGGTTGAGTCGTGCATCACACAAGTGCTCAGTGTGAAGAACGACTCTGCACGTGTTGGAGGATTTTCTCCATCTCAGTGGGTGCTCGGTCGAGCTCCACGTGGTGTAGCTTCACTCATGTCTGAGGAAGACCATGCACAGCTCGGAGCTATTCAGGCCCGACATGATCCTTCATCAATTTTTGCATTACAACATTTGGCCAGGATTGAGGCACAAAAGGCTTTTGTTCATCTTGATTGTTCAAGAAGAGTTCAACGAGCGTTGACACGCAATGCCAGTGTGTTTGACCGTGAGTTCAACATTGGTGATCTCGTCACTTTCAGACGAGACAATCAGCGAGGAGGAACGTCCTGGTCACCAACATGTCGTGTGATCGGACACGAGAACCAGAAGAACATATGGTTACTATGTGGTAACGTTCCAGTACTTGTAGCTTCTCACAACATACGCATTGCTTCTCCTTCTGAAGCTCTTGCTCAATCAGTGTTGAGCGGTGAACCTGTGATTCCATACAAGATCATCAATGATACAGGTCAACAAGCGTTTCTTGATGCAAGGCAAGCAGATGAGGTTGAAGTTGTTCGTGAAGGTCCAGGACAAGCAGACGATGTTGAAGTTGTCCCTGAAGGCAATGTGGATTCAGCACTCCCTCCTATACCAGAAGTACCTGAAGATGAATGGGACATACGACCCGGTTTCTTTGAAGAGGGTGAAGAGGAGGAAGACACCGGTCCTATGGAAGAAGACATCTTTTCGCAAAGTAGAACTCCAGAGAGAAGAGTTGAAAGACCACGTCCAGGAGATGGAGATCATGAACGCAATGTGAGACCTCGAGTAGAGTCTCACCTACAACCTGAGTCGGAGAGAGGCTCATCACTTGTGCCATCTCGGAGAGACTCCTTTGTGCCTGATTCTACTCCAAGTGGCTCCGTTTTGGGACCACTATCCTCGCCGTCAGCATCATCTTGGCCATTGCGAAGGGAACTTTTGGATGACTTACCACATCAATTGCGAACACATCTTGAAAGAGCTCGTGAGAGAGACTCAGAACGAAGTCCTGAAGAACAACAAGAAGCACGAGCATTGTTTGCATCATTTTTGTCCCAGGAAGTTGAAGTCCCTGAGGACGAAGAGCAAGGTAAGAAAGTGTTGAAATCAATCCACTATGAATCAGCGTCACCTGATGTACAGAAGAACATCATGGATGCCAGAACCAAGGAGTGGAGCAAGTTCCTTGAGTTCGCTGCTGTTGTTGAAATTTCAAAAGAAGATGCTGAGAGGTTGATTGCTGAAGGACATCAATGTATTCCCAGCAAGTGGGTTGATGTTGATAAGAATCAATTTATGAAAGGAAGAACAGATCAAGAATATATGCCAAAGTTCAAGAGCCGGTTGGTATCATGCGGCAATTTCGAAGTCAGTGAAGGTTTGAGATCAGACAGTCCTACAGCAGATACGGAAGCTCACAACATTCTTTGCTGTTGGGCGGCGATCCAGGGCGCACAATTGCACAGTGCGGACGTCGCATCCGCATATTTCCAAGGTCGTCCTCTTGATAGAGTTCTCATTATGAGACAACCCCGAGGAGGTCTCCCGGGAGTTGATCCAGAGGTGTTTTTCCTTGTGCGGGTGCCTATATATGGATTGACTGACAGCGGTCGAGGTTTTTGGTTGAGGTTGGACGGAGATGCCCGATCCAGTGGCTTGAAACAATCCAAGTTTTACCCAGGATTGTATTTCCTTCCAGGAACCGACAAAGATTGCGTTGCACTTATGGCGACACATGTGGATGACATCTTGTACGCATACATTCCTGAGGGAAAGTCAGTGATCGACAGCTTCTTGGAGAAGTTCAACTTGGGATCAAGTGAATCAAATTCGTTTCGCTATTGTGGCAAGCAATTTGAGCGTACTGCAGATGGAACAATCACACAAGACACTTGTGACAACACCCGTCGCATCAAGCCGATCAAGATCGCGCCAGGAAGATCAGCGTCCGAGCCGTTGGGTAAGGATGATGTGACCCGATTACGATCTGTAACGGGATCATTGGCATGGGTGGCAAGGCAGACTAGACCCGATTTGGGTTATCGTGTGAGCCGCCTACAGTCCAGTATTTCTGGAGCGACAGTCGCTATTTTGCACGACGCAAATGCCGTAGTACAGCTGGCACAACAAGGTATTGAGAACAAACTTATTTTTCCAGGTGGACATCTAACCTGGGGAGAGGTTGGTATCATTACAGTAACAGATGCTTCATTTTCAAACGAGAAGAACTACAAATCACAACAAGGACGTTTCCATTTTCTTGGAGACATCAATGAGATCAAAGACCCCAAGACTACATCCTACAGGGTGATGCCATTGGGATTTGCATCAAATACAATTCGGCGAGTATGCCGCAGCACTCTTCAATGCGAGGCTTATTCACTGCAGGCTGGACAAGAGAGCGGTGACAAGCTACGTGGAGCATTGGCCGAACTGATGGGCCAACTTGACTCGATGAAAACATGGTTGGATGACAGCCGCAGCTGTATTCCACAACTGATGCTTTCAGACTGCAGGTCTTTAACAGACCATCTTGCGAATGAGGTACTCGGCAGGGTCGCAGACAAACGACTCGGCATTGAGTTGCAGTCGATTCATGAGTCACTTTGGCAAGACGGCCGGAGGACCTGGGATATGCATCATGGCGGAGGAGACATTGTTACCTGGATTGCTACAGGAACTATGGTCTCGGATGCTCTGACCAAGAGCATGCGCCCGGACCTCATCATCCGCGTTTTGAAGGAGTGCATTTATCGTGTACAGAAGAAGCCTTAGAGCCAACTTTTTCACTAGCATCATGTGATCCTTGAAGAACAGGTTGAGTGTGAGTTTGACCTGTCTAATGTATATTTTGTATAGCCAAGTGATCACATGCCCCCGTTGACATTTGGCTTTAGGGCCCTTGAGTCATACCGCGCTGCCGTGGTAAAAGTTGGGCATTTGACGATCCCGTTTCCAATTCATACGTGTAACATCATATATCTTATCTTGCACTATCATACTATGGTATTGCAATGTATTGCAGCAAACCAATATCACCGGTACTGCACCATCTATGGATACCCAACTGTCCCCCACGTCAGCTGTGTTCGCCCTGCCAGGTGGACCTGGCAGTTCACGACTTCGGTCGCCAAGATGGCCGGTCGGCTGATGTACATCCACATGCTGCCGTTGGGGGCCGTCAGGGGCTGTCCAACGTTGGCGCGTTTTTTGGTTCCAAAAAAAATGGTGAGCCAAGGAGCTACTATCAGAGTTTCCAGACCACGTGATAGTCATCACTAACCATCTGTATATGGGTATATACAGTAAAGGAATTACCCATCATATCCCCATAATATCACCTTCCAGCCCTATCATTTTTGTTAGTACGTCCGAATCCCTAACCCATTTTGCGACTCTCATACTTCTCACCATCAAAACATAGACATATACAGTACTCACTCAGTATAGCCACATTGGGGGATGGTCATGCGACCATTACAGACCTGAATTGAGTTATGGCCAACAAACAAGAATTGTCAATTTGATGGTTTTGAAGGTGGCATGACCATCTCCGGTTCATCCATATTCATCCCAACTTGACCATGGCATCCTTGAACGTTAGGCTTTTCCCAGTCTGAAGGGCGGTTGAAGGAGAACGCCCTGGCCAGCCTCAGGTCTTGTCAGTTCATTGCAACCATCTTCCTGGCACTCAATTGGGTGTATGGGCTCCCAAGCGGACGACACTGTGGCACTGACTTGAAAGTCTTGTTTTCGTATGCAAGTACTGTGGTATAATGTGGCATAATGTGGCATAATGTGGTAAGGCCAACAATGAATCAACCCAGTGTTTTTTTTAACCAGGAAGAGGTGTTTCTTTTGGGCCATCCTTGGGTTTGCCTCATTAGGATTTTACAAGATTTTACAAACGTCTGTGCTTGATTTCACATTCACCCGCAGACTTCTTTGCAACCTTGACTCCTCATGCTGAATCAACGGGATGCTTTCATCGATATGCGAGGGAGTGGTGAAGATGGCAAACTATGTTCGAACACAGATATCACATATGTCGATGAGATGATAATCTGATAATACCATGGAGATCCATGGAGCACACTGGATCATTTTGGAATATCAACTTGGAATATCATGAGATGTGGGGTAGACGGCCTGATGCGTGGAATTTCCCAGGTGCAATGGCTTTCAGATCCAGATGTGTGGCTCTGACACCAGGCACCAGCATCAGCTATCACTGAGAAGCTGAGGCAATTCTGCTAAGAGAAGTAACATTTTGATACATATTGAATAGTTAATTGACTTTTGTAGGGGATCATATAATTTATATATATATGTATATATTTATAGCATTGTATTGATAATTGATGATATCATATGATATCTAATCATCCAATCCCCCAACATATTGAATACTCCCACCGAGTCACTCCAAAATGAACATAGTCATTTCGAGCAGAAATCAGGCGTACAAGTTTCAAGTATCAGAGGTATCACAGGTATCACAGGTATCTATGTGAGGTACCGTGAATAGATTTTCCTGACAAACCAAATGAAAGCAACAAGTCCATTCCCGCTTTAGTTTTGGATCTTTTCAGGACTTGGGGTCCCCTTTGTATTTAATATATACAAGATTCGCAAATTGTATCCCCATTTCAGGATGGTTAAACCACGTTAACTCCCCATTTTTTTGATGATTGAATCATGATTAAATCAATTATTGATGATGGTCAAATCCCCAAAAATAGCTTGGTTTAGCTCCTATGGGTAAGTCCCAATTCTTATTCGGGGCTTTCCTAAGTCATGGGGGTACCCAAAATGATCCAAGTCATGAATGAGCTTGACTTGAGGATCCTCCACTTTAAGAAACCATTAAAAAAAACTACGTTTGATGGTTAAATCATGTTAAATCATGTTAAGTCCCCCAAAAAATAGGTGTTCTACTCATTCCCTACTCTTGATGGTTTTCTATCCCCAGTTCTATGGGGCTTCCGATGGATCCAGGTCTCCCCTTCTCTGTGGCGCTGCTGGAGCTTGGAAACCTGGGATGGGATTGGGATTCATGGGGATATCACATTGGGACACACACATATATATATAATACATATGTATATATATAATATAATATAATATACTATACTATACTATACTATAATATAATATAATATAATATAATAATATATATATATATATGATAATATGTATAATATTATATAATATTATATATGATATTATCTATGCTGTTATATTATATGATATGTACATATAACCAACTATATCCAAATGTTGGGATCTTAATGGGGTTTAGCCATCAAACATAGCGGTTAACAAACAATCGAGAATGGAACATGGGTGTGTCTGAAATTGATGGGTACCCATTGCGGAGCATGAGGTTTTGAAAGCACGGCCTATTTCAGACAAAGCTAGATGTAGGCAAATCTAGGTCACATATAGAGGTATCCCCATTCAGTCCATAATATTCCATACCTAGATGTGTTTTTCCTGGTGCTTACTTTTACAGGAAAACAATATAATCAAAGGCCTTTTTCAGTACCTGTGTTTTTTTGCCGAAAGTTTGGGGGATACCTCAGATTCCAGCGCAAGGCGTGGAATCCAGCATGGCCTGCAATTCCCATTACCGTTGGGAACCTCAAAGCTGTTCCACACGGTTGGTGGATGTGGCATGATGCTGCAAGTGTTTGGAGATGTATTCTTCACGAGTTGAGACTCCAAGCAGCTTTCATCCTTTTCCATCCTAGACCACTGGCAACGTTATGTCCACATCTCTGTGATTCTCACCAGCTGTTAAAGTGATGGAATAAACCCAACTGTGGAAAATGTTTTTCCCATCGCAATCCCATTGTATCCCCATGAAATATCCCCATTCCCCATATCTTTGTTGGTTCCCATCCCGGCCAAGATCAGACAACTCCATGGTTGGCCGATCCACATTTCTTGAATCCCCACGTCCATGTCTTCCGAAAAGCGCCTTTTGGCAGCGCTATATGGGTATGGATCAATACCTATATAGATACCATTTTTAGTGGGTTATTCACATCCATAAATCCCAGCTATGACTTGGGGTTCACCAGGGGTACCAGGGTTTTGACCCATCCCCATCTAGAGGTCTTCATCGTGGCCTGTAGCATCTCGATGGTCTTCGTGGTCTATCTGCAACCGTTGGAACGAGGCCCCAACAGGGGCCCCTACGGATCCTACGTCCTAACTATGCGATTTGAGACCCCATCAAATTAAATTGGAGTTTCATCTTCAAGTTAGGATGTATATGTTTGTTGATGTTTGTTGCATATGTTTGTATTGACCTAAGGATGCCGAGGGGAGAACGATGATAAATTCTGACTGAAATCACAGCTACAACTACTTCATGTGCACAACCATAGCATGGCCCAAGCTTCATGTCCACTCACTTCATCAAGGCTGAGTTTGCCAAAAAAATCCTTGGGATTTCCCATGATTTCCTGGTGGGATCCAACAAAGTCCAGCAAAATGGCCACCCCAAGGGTCACATGCCAGGCCATTTCCGTAGCAGCGACCTCAGAGGGAGATCCGCGCATGGCAGAACCTCAAAATGATCGGTAGGAAAAGATGGACAAATCATCAGCTGCAAACTCTATGAGTGGGGATTTTGCGAAAATCATCGATAGAAAACTAACTACAATCATCAGTTGCAAAAATCATCAAGATCATTTGATGTCACTTGCTCTGCAAAATCCTTTCGATGTGACCTTGGTACTTTGGTTCAAGTGTTCCCATGGTCGCAGCACCCGTCGATATCTCCCAGTGGCACTTGGCCAATGTGGCACTGGCTCCACAAGACTGGCGCACGCTGCTTAGGGCCTATGGAAAAACATGGAGGAGATCTCTCTGGCTGCTGCAAGGGCTCCAGGAGTTGGGAGACACAGCTCGCTGTGAGATGCTGTGAGGTCGTGTTAGTGCAAACAAGATCCTACATGGATCATACATGGATCATGATGGCAGATTTGAATTCTGATTCATATCATGATTTATTTTTGAGGTTCCCTGAAACGTTCAGGAGATTTCGTTTGGCTGTACCTCACAAGTCTTCTGATTTAGCACCGTCCAAAGTCGGGTTGCAAGCACAGAGAGACTCGGGTCAAAAACTCGGCATGCATCGGCTGTGAACCCGCTTGCACCATCTTTGCAACTTGTTACTTGACCCACCTTGGTTCTAGGAGAAATCCCTTGAAGCAGACATCATCAGCTACAATTCGCTCTTCCGTTACTGTCACTGGCAAAGGGCGAAGGAGCTACTGGAGCTTCAGAGTAGGCGGAGCTTGGAAGCTACCACGATCAGCTACAATAGCGTCATGGCTGGCTGCCCCTGGCATCAAGCACTGGCAGTACAGGAGCAGATCTTTCGCAGATCTCTTAGAGTTTCTGTGGTGACTTGGAAGACAGATCTGGTGGATGTTGCAGGTTTGCCCTCGGATCCCATGGCTAACATTGGATGGGTTGAAAGAACCAAGGCATTTTCTTTTGAATCCTTTCTGCTGAATGCTACTTGCAAGATCTGAAGTGCCCATCCCCTCCAGCAACTGTTTGGATCGTTTTGGTACATCCCCTGCCATGAAAGTGGCAGCAAGGTTACTTATGGATCAGCCATCACCCTGTCGCACCACTGGCCTCGCATCTTCTGCCTGCTGCGGGACATGCGGCAGCTTCGGCAGGAGAGCAACGTCATGGTCCACGCGGCCGCCATCGACGTGTGCGAAAAGACGGAGCGCTGGCGCCCGGCGCTGGCGCTGCTGGGGGATGCCGCGGCCACGTCGCTGGCGAACTTGGTGACCTATACGGCCAGCCTCAGCGCCTGCGTGAAGGGCACCAAATGGGAAGCTGCTGGCTACTTGTATGGCACCTTGGAAGATTGCAGCGTGCAGGGTAACCTGATGACACACACGGCAGCCATAAACGCCTGTGCCAAAGGATGGAGTTGGGAAGAGGCCATCCATCTGCTGGGGACCTGTGGGCCGATGGATGCACTAGCGGTTTCAGCAGCTATGGATGCAGGGGTCAAGGCCATGCAGTGGTCACAGGTCTTGTGGATGTTCAGATCCTTTCAACAAACTGATGCTAGTCGCTCATTGGAACTCTATGAGCCTTGGCTGAAGTACACATTTTTGGCCAAAATGATGCTACGGTTTGGTATGTGCCAAAGTCTGGTATCCAGAAGATTGGGTGGCTACTGTAAGGACCTGTTGGACCTGCAAAGACCTGTAAAGACTGAATGAAGATATTGAGAAAGTCTGTAGATACATGGTACATAGTTGGTAAACGATTGCCGCAGGCCTAGTGTTGACAGTCAGGACGCTGCCATTGACGTGTGTGTTCGAAGCAGCCAATGGGCGCGAGCCGTGTCGTTATTTTCGGAGATCAGTGCTGTCAGTGCTTTGAAGCCAAGCCTTCTGTCGTGCACAGCAGCAATGAATGCTTGTGAGAAGACGGACCCCAGTCAGAGTCTTCTCAGCATTTCTTGCCAGCTGTCTCTGGCATGCCAGAGGTATTTGCACAGACTTGTACCCTGCCGTGGTCAAAACATGTCATGAAGGCGCACTGCAGTGACAGTGATAGACATCTAGCGAATCTAACATACTTTCCTGGTGCAAAAATCCTCACCATGCAGTGAAAATCAGTGAAACATTGCAATATATTGCAATCATTTTAGTGTTCCAACTTGCTCCAAGTCCGGCGTTACCGTAGTTACCTCAGGCTCAATTTGGACGTCGGAGGCGGGCTCCAGATCTGGCAGGGCTCCAGGTCTTTTTCCCGAAGCCCAAGAGTAGATGAACCATTAAAATCACCCATTTTGATTGGTGATGATGGGAAAGTTAGGGGTAAATTATAGCCTGTTATACCAGTTAATGCCAACACCGGATTAATAACCCCCCCCCCAGAAGGTAGGGGGGTACCTTCTGGCTAGTTTTCTTGACGACCCCTTAATAATAAGCAACTCTGAACCATAAAACTTTGGATATGGCTTACGTCAATTAGATCTTAATAGAATTCCACTGGATTTAAAATTTCATGGATCAGAAAGGTGGTTGAGTAATCAGGGGCAAACCGTGGTTATTATTAATGGGGGACATGGGCTCATGGGGGGTACCCTTTGGGAGCTATCCAAACTGATGATTTTTATAAAGATTTTAATTAGAAATCGATCATTTGGGGAATAGTTGTTTTTTGAAATTTTCAATGATCAACTTAAACCTGAAGTATAACAATGATGATTAAAAAACAGGTAAAAAACAATTGGAAATAAATAGAATTGGACATAAAAAATGTTGGATAAAAAAATGGATTTCAGAATTGGTGGTTGATTAATCGGGGGTAGGCCAAAGTGTTTATTAATCTGGGGGGACCACCTGTTTTTAAATTACTTTTTTTTTGGGGCAGTTGCTGTTGACTAATCGGGGGCATTATTAATCCTCACTTGGCATTATACCTGACAGAGTACCTGGTGACCTGGTGACGATTGATGTTTATTGGGGACATTTTTTCGCCCATCATGGCATACCGATCAATTAGCCTGAGGCTGGAGGGAGTGAATGGAACCAGCAGCCTCTGGTAATTTGACATGGATGGCCCATTTATAGATATTTATAGATTATTTATAGATTATTTATAGATTATTTATATATGAAAAGACGGTGACGTATTACACATTTTACATAGCTATGTTATGCTATGTTGAACTACCGGCAATTAGAAGAGATCCAGGATCGGTAGTCCCATGTCTTGATCGTTGATTCCCCAAATATGGGTTGTCCGTAATATATTCCATTATACTACATAAATATGGGTTTAATATAGACAAATTATATAATATATATATATGGATATAACCGTATATCCCATTATCCGTAATATTAATATATATATATATATTCCATTGTCTATATTATCATGCTCAATCCATCCATGGTTTGTCAAAGAATTGTCCTCGAATTCCATGGTTTGTCTCCATATTCTGAGGTATACCATGGTATACCCACAAAAAATAGAGGTAGCCTCTGGTTATTTAACATAGCCATGGAACATGGCCCATAGAAATAGATGGTTTACCTATTAAAAATGGTGATTTTCCATGGCTATGTTAGTCATAACCAGAGGGTATATGGCCTTTTACATGGAGGTATACCATGGTATACCATCCGTATCTCATCATATCTTCCAGGCTGGAGGGCTCCCACTTACCTGTGGCTCGTCTTTCTGGACACTTTCAGGCTGGAAGCCATTGGTACATTCGGAGGGTCAATACTTATGGAGTCCATAGATTCCTTGATATTCTTTGCTTTGTTGAAGGTGATTCTTTGGTTTGATATTCTTTGGTTTGTTCTTTGATATACATATATTATCATATATTTATCATATATTACATTTCTTGATAGGAACCATGATGATTCAGCAGTAGATTTTGGGGTGCCCTACTTTCAGACACTATGTGGATCTATGTGGTATATTTGCCGTCATGTCTTTTTTCGGTAGATGTCCCGTCCAATTCTGATTGGACTTTGCCAAACGCCAGGCTTGGTTTTGTGGGACTGTCGGGCCATCTCAGTAGTTTTTCAGCTGGCCATGATCATCCCATTCACCAAGCATGGGAGTCCAGAGTCCATAAACCATCCATAAACCTCAAACTTGGGGATGGTTTTAATGATGGGGTTATTTGGCAAACACTACATTAATAAAGATGTACTATACTATAGTCTACCATGATGTAATATGATGTACTATGATGTACTATGATGTACTATCTTTCAAGCTCTATCCAAGTTTTCCTTACAGGATTGGTCCCATGCGATATGGATAATTCTGGTGCCATCAGCTGCCAGCCAATGAGGTCTGCTCTTCGCCGGCATTCTGGTGCCGCAGTCAGTTCCGGGTTTTACTGGTGTTGTGGTGGGAAAAGGACTGAAGATAACGTAACATAGGCATACATTGTAGAATCACATAGAATCACATTCAAATGCTTTTGGCATACATCAATTATTGGTAATCAATCAGACCTCAAAAATAGGGAATCTTCCAACATTTTCCAACCTTCAACCAGTTTTTCTTTGTCACCGTTGATAGCTCTGCACCAGGTGCTGCCCTATGGCATTATGGTAGAGATTCTGGCCTTCTGGAACGTGGCTTTCAGGTGACCGGACTGGATATGGCTTAAAATGGTGAGGATATTGATCACCATTTCAGTCAGACACATATCATATAATGATATATATATAATATAATGGTAATCACTATGAAATGGTAATCACTATTATATGGTAATATAATGATATATAATGGTAATCACTATAATGATATATAATGGTAATCACTATGAAATTGGTGAGGATCTGGTAACTGGCTAAATGGTGATCATATATTATAAATATGGTGCTGATAGTTGATGATTGACATATCCAATTCCTTGTGTTTTTGGTGGACCTTTCATGGTTTCTGGTCATCCTTTTCGAGGAAAAGATATCACCGTGCCGCCAGGGGCAATCGCTTTGAATACGTCACGGCCACGAAGGCGCTACGATGCATCGGACTGGGGATGGGTCAAGTTACCTATCACCATATTAGGAGGTTTCCATCAACGATCCCCGCTGGATGGTTGGTTTCTTTCATGGAAAATCTGAAAATCCATGAACATCCTATTATATCCTATTCATATGCATGATTTGGAGATAATTACTAAATTATTACTAATAATTACCCATTTTAGGAAACCTCCATATGACTGGGGATATTTGAAATCATCCAGCTACATCAGCGCTATACCAGCTATGACTTGTTGGGTAGCGGCTATTGGGTAGCGTTTGGTGACCCATTCCCATTTCCCGTGGTAAACCATGGCCATATGGGTTGATCGAATGTTCATGACGTAGTGAATATAGAATTCATGGATGTTACAAACTGATTGATTGCCAAAATGGCCAGAGTTCAAGGGACTTTGGGGTGAACCAGCTACTCACAGTCGCAGTTCCTTCCGGGATGGAGTACACTAGACAGTTGCATACAGTTGCCAATTACAGTACATGCTGAATTCAATTACGATAGCATACGATAGCTATAATTATAAATCATAAATACAATCTAAAGCCCAATTATGATGAGACCTCTATGACTTTGCTTAGCAAGTGATTCTCCCGACCCTTGACAGGCCCTGGCTACAGAGATGCAAAACAGGCTGGGAAAATTGCTTTAAACAGAGGTTTTGGTGAACACAAAGCCATGAAAAATACTGCGATTCTGCCCAAGATTGGTCATATGTCGTTTTTTTAAATGTTTTTTTCACATTGGAATAGGTGTTTGTCGCCACTTCATTCTCGGGAACCAAGCCGGATTCCAGGATCATCATCCACGCCACTGAAGATCTCCGGAATGAATTCCCTTCGCAACTAATCTGATTCCATCTTGTTTCCTTCTTATCTAATTGGATTCCAAAGCTATCTATAGAATCTATATGATTATTGTATATAATATAATTATGCATATATATATAATATGATATATATATAATATGATATATATATATATAATATGATATATATATATATACATACGATTCCTCATATTTTTGTTGCGAAGCATTGCTGGATCATCTCGCATCGCTGCCAGGCCTTTGTTGACCACTTGATGCCAGGGCCTGATTATTTTGGTCGAATTTAAGTGACCGCGGCAAGTGACCGCGATGTCGGTGTCGTGTCTCGCTTGGAGTCGTTCCAATGTTCCAAGGGCGCTTCATTTAGAAAAAACTTCAAATACACTGTACTACATACTTCTAAGATCTATGATTTATGTTATTTATGTTGTAGAAGAATATGTTGGATCCTTTCTGATGCAAGTTTCTGGTAGTTTTGCCGTGTCACAGAACAGATTCATGTCGTGATTCATGTCGTGATCCACGGCAACTATGGATCGGTTTTTGGGGAGCCACCAGAAACCTCAAAGTCTGGTAGATAGACATTTTTTTTTGGATGCCTACTGACCCATATGGTCAAATATGGTCTCTCAGATATCTCCAAGCCCTCTGTTCCTTCATGGTTACCGTGGTTCGTCGACAGACCGCGATGGGTTTTAGCCAGCCATAGGAGCATGGCGCTTTTCGAGCTTGGAGCTCTGCCCCGCACAGAAGAATCCCAGGGAATAGCTACAATGTGGGGCCCCCAGGTTTATAAACCCCATTATTTAACTATACTTATAGGTATCATAAACCATAGTTATCAAAGTAATAAATCAACTTAGCTATCTAGAGGGCCCTACATTGTAGACATGATATGGCAATCTCTGGCAATGGTATTTGGAGTAATTCACGTTAGCTAGCAGTAGCTGGCTGGAGTTGGGTTTTGCTCTAGCAAAGTAGTTTTGGGGCTCTGGGGGCAGGTCAGCATCCATTTGAGTGAAGTTTCACTTAAACCCCCCGCCCCCCCCACACCCCCCGGGCCCCCCGGCGGGCTCGATTTTGCATGATCTCTACATGTATCTGTATTATCTCGTCTCCTATCGTCTCAACAGATCTTATATCCCATTTATTTCCCATGGCATCTTTTCTCGTCTCACTTGATCCCATCTCATCATATCTCATCCCATCGTGTCTCATCATGTCTCACCTCATCTCATTTCATCTCATCATATCTCATCTCGAGTCATCTCATCCGATCATTTCGCATCATGTCTCATCACGTCTCATCATGTCTCACCATGTCTCACAATGTCTCATCATGTCTCATCATGTCTCATAGTGTCTCATCATGTCTCATCATCTCTCATCACGTCTCACAATGTCTCATCATGTCTCAACATGTCTCATCATGTCTCATAATGTCTCATCATGTCTCATCAGGTCTCATCAGGTTACCATGTCTCATCAGGTTACCATGTCTCATCAGGTTACCATGTCTCATCAGGTCTCATCAGGTCTCATCAGGTCTTTCCATGTCTCCTCTTGTCTCATCATATCTTAATGTATCTCATGTCATCGTATCTCATCGTATCTCATTTGCTCTCGTCTCATCACATCCCTTCAATCGCATCCCATCCCATCGCATCATATCACCCATGCATGTCCCGACATTTTCCACAGTCATCCCGCCTCTTCAAGTCAGCCGAAAACCCAGTACCCCAATGGCATTGCATAGCCTTCGGTACCCACGCTTTTGTTCACCTCCGGCCTCAAGTACCTCGGTCATCTTTTACAGAATTTTGGTCAGTATTCAAGGAATATCAAGGAATATCAAGGAATATCCAATCAGTTTGGGATAGAATGCTTCAGAGTAGATGGGCAGGAAACCCGGGCTTCAGAGCATCAGAGATCATTGCGGCTTTTCTCAAGATGCAAATGACCAAAGCGCCGATCATGGTTCTTTTTCTTAATATGGATGAAACACAATGAAACCATCCGATTCAGACCTCATTTCTGAGACATATTTGATATTATGTTTTGATTGTGTTGCTTGTGGTGAATCTCTGTTGCGCTTGTTGTTGCTTAGCTTTACGAGTGAATTTGGCGTCAGATTCTTCGGAATCTGTTAGGACGGTGCTTGGATAGATCAGGCTTTGCACAAGGCAAAGGAAAGAAGTGCATGATGATTCAAGATACAGTGATAAGTTTCACTTTGATTTGATATCTTTGATATTCTTCGATCATCTTTGACAATGAAGAATCAGTAGTAGAATTGTAATAGATATCAACAGCAACAGTAACAGTACCGGATAGTACCGGTACTAACTAGTAATATATTTCAATTGTAGACAAGGCTACAGTTCGACTGCAATCGGCCAACAACCTCACGCAATCTCCAAATCTTGGGGTCTGCATTCGCAGTGTGATGGATTAGGGATGCCTGTTGTTGGCTAACATATGGTAAATATTGGTAAATCGTGTTTCATCGCCTGATTCGCCGGGAGGTTTGTGACGTCGCCGTGGCTTTAAGACGAGTCTGGATGACGGGCTTCGCAGATGGCGGGCCCCATGGTGTTCAGTCAGCATGGGATCTCCTTGGATGATTGAAATCGCAGTCCAATATGATATGAAATAGAAACTATGATTTATACTAGTTATGACTTATGACTAGTTATTACTAGTTCAAATATCTTCACATCATATCTCAGTTGACCCCGAAACTCGACCAGCGCAGAATGCTGCACAGCTTGAAAAATCTTTACTGCCAGGGTTTGATCAAGCTATCTACAGCCCAACAGATCCGTTACATGCTGGGCTAGCCGCCACTCGCGTCCGGCCATGGGGGCGGACGACGTCACGGAGATCGTTCGGAGACCCAAAGTCGTTGGGAGGTCGATTTGAGGTCCGGCTCCAGGTCCTGGAGGTCGGTGGGATGATGTGGGATGCTGTGGGATGATGGTTTGATGATTGACTTCACTGATGTAAAGATCATTTAATTTCAGTGAAATATGATGATCACTTAAATATGATGATCACTTCTAATGATGAAACAAAATCACTCTTTACTGTAACGTCAGCATCTCCGCATACTTGTATAATCTTGTATATAATTGATAAAGGTTGGATATCTCAACTTTAGATCATGGGTGACTTTCGATTCCCAAGGGGACGCTGATCCCCAAATGACAGCATTACTATTTTTCAGATTATGATCCCATTCCACTAGTGTTTGTTATCAAGAAACTCTCTTAGATGAAACCCTTGTGCAGATCCAGTACACAACCAGGTTTTTCGGATGTTTATGGGGATGGGATATGGATTATGGATTGATCATCATGAGTTTCTCCGTCCCCGAGAACCATGGCGTTCCCTCGCTGCCGCTTCCTAAAGACGGCAGGTATGGTGCCCCCTCCGGCGGGTGGGTGCATTGATTGGCAAAGCAGGTGAGGGTTGGGGACAGGTCCCAGGGGCGCGGTCGAAAAAAAACAGATGATATTTTCATGTGGGTATGGGTCAATACCTCTTAATACCATTTTTAAGGGGATGAACATCCATTTACATCCATTTACCAGCTATTTTGATGTTCACCAGGGGTACAAGGTTTTGACACACTGCCAGATGGTCCTCAGATTTTATTTTCATGTCTTGTAGGGCAAGTGGTGAACTTGGGCTGGATCAGTAAATCAAGTCACTCTTCAGAGATGTGCGCAAACATTTGACTCCAGACGGGAACTTCCTGTGAAAAAGGTGGTCTCAAGCATGTCAAATTTGATGGCTGATCAATGTTGACCAGCATTTCCCCATATTTCCCATTAAAAATGGACACACCCAGGCGCCACCATCATCTCTTTGCGCAAGGCAGGGATGTGATGTAGGGCGTTTTTCGGTACCAGGGTAACATAATTTTGGGTCGCGGGGATATGGAACGATTTCGATTTTGAATGTGGATTACATTGGATTTTCATGTGGGATTTTAATGGATTTTGTTGGGATTTTGTGTGATTAAATGGGGCCTAATAAGGCTAGATGTGATTTTATGGTGATGAATAAATCCCAACAAACAGTGATAGCAGTGATATGAATGGGAATTAAAGTACAATACATTTGGCTATGGAAAATGACCTGTTTAGACAGTGGATGATAAACAGGATGCTTTACCGATTGAAAATTGTGATTCCATAGATGCGTTAGATTACCAGAGGATACCAGAGGGTGATATATAATGATACAATTAATGGCGATGATATACTAAAATATGATGGGATGATGGATATTATATAGTGGAATTTTGATGGAATAGTGGTTAAGGCCCTCTGGTGATTTAACACCTTGCTATGGGTTGGGTGGTGCCACAAGTCCAGTGCAGTTCGCAGGACACTGGGGCATCGGTGGAAGTTGACAAGACAGACACTGGCAAGGAACCGAGACAGGCCAGTGGGTTGAAATGCCTGGAACGGTGTGGTTTTGGTGCCGGTTCTTCCATTCTGAATGATCAGATTCTCAATCTTTGCCCGGTACAGAATCCTCTGTCCCTGACAAACATCTGAAACTGCAAGGCAAGCCACATCCGCATTGTTCAAGCACGGACCCATAAGATGATTGTCCCAAAGTGCCTCCATCTATCAACAGACATCCGTATTGTTGCGGATGAGTCGGGATTTTGTGAAGTGTAACTATGATTTTGATATGTATTGATTATTGATTGGTTGTTTCATCTTCATTCATCTTCTGGTTGGTGGTTTGGAACATTTTTTATTTTCCCCAATAGTTGGGATGATGATCCAATCTGACTTTCATATTTTTCAGGGGGGTAGGTATACCACCAATTAGAATAGTTATCATAGTTATCATAGTTATCATATATGTTATCATAATCCCTCTACTATCATGAACTAATGATAACTCATGGGACATGGCTGGTATCATCCCACAACTAAATGGTGTCCTCATTTCGGGCTCTGTTTCCAGTTCTAAAACAGCCAAGCGCATCAAGCGCGCCGCAGGTGACAGTGTCGGGGTCACCGGGGCAAGTCAAGGTGGCCCTCCAACGGCACGACGCCCCAGATGTTTCAGTCTCCAGTAGATTAAGGATGTTTAGAAAATGGGGGATTTTATCATAGTTAATCATAGTTAATCATAGTTAATCATAGTTAATCATAGTTAATCATAGTTACTCATAGTTAATCATAGTTAATCATCGTTAATCTATAATATATTCATTATGGTATATTATGGTACATCATCCAAATAACCAGTTCATCCAGTTCCATGTCTGGTTTCATTTTGGAAAATCAGCCATCTATAATTATGGAAAAACAGTGTTTCTCCAGTAGATTTGGTTTTTTAAAGAACATGATCTGCAAAGTGGTGGCTTTTCGCTATCTGAAGTGGACGGTAGAGAGGGTGTTGGGGAAAAAACAAGATCTCACAGCGACAGCATTCCAGAATCAACGACATCATCGACAACGACGATCGCCGACCCCGTGGACGACGTTTCTCGAGGCCTGGTCCCTCGATCCCTGATTATTTTTTTGGTGTCTTTTCTTTTCTCAGAGGTTCCTGTGGTAGACCCAATAATGAAGTACCACCTAGATTTACATATATTTACCAGAAATGGGTGGTATAAGATGGTATAAGTAATCCCATGTAATCCCGAAAAGGGTAATCATGATTCGGTTTACCACATTACCACATTACTGGCTGGTTGCGGCTGGTTTCAATTGTATTTCCATCATTTTCCATCCAAGAAAACCAAAATTGGATGGTCCCCAAGAATCCGGATTTCCTGCTGATTTGTTAAAGGAAATTTCATGGGGTCAGGTTCGGGACATCTGAATTTGTATCCGGACTCGGTCTATCAGTTTCTTTGATTTTCTTTATTTTAACCATTCTGGGACTTGCTTTGCAAAGCAGCAGCCCCCCAAGCAATGGGGGGAGGGGGACGCTTCAATGGCAAATCCCAAGAAAAGTCGTGCCAGGAGACAAGGAGTCATGAATTCAAGTAAGGATGCACTAATATAATCTAATATAATATATATATATATATTTACAGTTTACACACCATTATACACGACTTGTTTTGATCATGTCTTTCAATCCTGGTTATGGACGTACATTATTTTTTTGATACCCTATAATATGTATGTCCATGTATGTCCCAGAGCAATTTAGGCTTCCTTTTAGTTGGTACTCTGTAGGTGTCTGAATCAGCTGTCACCATCCCAGTCCTCATAGATCCTCATATTTTCTACTGTATATACCAGTATTGGTCATAGTATCCCACTATGTCCACATTCTTTATGCATCTTTATGCATATATATATATACTCATAGATTGTTGGACAAACCAATTGTTGGTCCAGTTGTATCCCACCAATTTATGGTATCCATTGGTATCCATTTATTTTATTTTTCATTGTATATATTATATATATCTATATATAGTCAAAGACGGGTGGTAAGAAGAAAAGGACACCCGCCACAAGTTTAGCAGGTGCATTTTTGGGGGGGCAAACTTGTCCAGCACCTGCTTACTGCAGTCTTTCCGGCAACATGTCACCAATAACCCCAAACCTGCTTACTGGGGTTGGTTGTGGTCACACACTATGAACATAATTTATCAAATCCTCATCAAATCCTCATTTTATCCTCATTTTATCCTCATTTTATCCCCATTTTATCTTCATTTTATCCTCATTTTATCCTCATTTTATCTTCATTTCCTCAATAAATCCTCATTTTATCCTCATTTCCTCATTTTATCCTCATTTTATCCTCATTTTATCCTCATTTCCTCATCAAATCCTCATCAAATCCTCATTTTATCCTCATTTTATCCTCATTTCCTCATCAAATCCTCATGTTATCCTCATCAAATCCTCATCAAATCCTCATTTTATCCTCATTTTATCCTCATTTCCTCATCAAATCCTCATTTTATCCTCGTTTTATTCTCATTTTATCCTCGTTTTATCTTCATTCCCTCATCAAATCCTCATCAAATCCTCATTTTATCCTCATTTTATCCTCATTTTATCCTCGTTTTATCCTCATTTCCTCATCAAATCCTCATTCTATCCTCGTTTTATCCTCATTTTATCCTCATCAAATCCTCATTTTATCCTCATTTCCTCATCATATCTTCATCAAATCCTCATTTTATCCTCATTTTATCCTCATTTTGTCCTCGTTTTATCCTCATTTTATCCTCGTTTTATCCACATTTCCTCATCAAATCCTCATCAAATCCTCATTCTATCCTCATTTCCTCATCAAATCCTCATTTTATCTTCATTTCCTTATCAAATCCTCATCAAATCCTCATTTTATCCTCATTTCCTCATCAAATCCTCATTCTATCCTCGTTTTATCCTCATTTCCTCATCAAATCCTCATCAAATCCTCATTTTATCCTCATTTCCTCATCAAATCCTCATTCTATCCTCGTTTTATCCTCATTTCCTCATCAAATCCTCATCAAATCCTCAGGTTCATGAAACAAGATGCAAAATAAATGAGGTTAGATAATGAGAATTAAATGAGGTTCATGAAACAGGATGCAAATTGAATGAGGTTAGATAATGAGGATTAAATGAGGATAAAATGCAAATTTCAATGGTTTTGGTCTTCCCAGTGTGTGGCTCACAAAATCTCATAAAACTACCGCCCATGTCATTGCATGTCGCATGTGAGAAGAGGCTCTCACCTTTTTTTCCCGCTTTTCCCCTTGCCTTCCTGTCTTTGATGGTTCTGATCTCTTCGCACAAGAATGGATTTCTGCCGTAGGCAGCTTGCATTCTGGACAAAATTCAAAATCAACACGCACAAATGGATTATTTATACATCCATATATATTTATATACATGTATTTAACTCACCATAGACATGATGGAACCTTAAGGAAAAAACAAGAGTTTGGTGCTAACAGTGTATCCCTTGTCCAGTTGCTATGGTATGCATGCTCCTGTAACTGTACATTTAGGCCACATCGTGACCCAAATTCACTTTCAATGCACCTTGGATGACTTGAATTCTTTCCTTGGAAGTGGCGCAGAATGGATTTTTTTCCAAGTGCTGCTGCCACGCCCAAAGAAGGCACTCTAAAAGTGCTTGGACCGGATAAACAAACCCTTTCTTGGTGTCACCAAATGTCCGGGCAACTGATTTTTTGGTTGCAGCCGGATAGCGTACTTGCCAGGTGTTCGTAGTATGGTGAATCCCAATTCCTGTTCCAGGAATGTTTGGCAACAGGGTCATATTGATTTTTTCCAAAAACTGGAAAGCTGGAACATCCTTGAAACTGTCGCCCGAAATGGCTTTTGCCACAGGCTTTTCAGGAGGGTCAAGGTTTTTCTCATCAAGAGAGCTATCCTCCTGTGAAACGACAAAGGAAACACCATCCCCTACTTTCCACACAGTTTCATCACCGAAATCGCTGAAATCAAAGGATTCCTCCATGTTCATTGGGCCAAAGAGTTCATCATCACCGTTCTCATACGGCATGACTGCAACCTTGCAGCGAGGCAGGCACCCCCAGTAGGCAGGGTACAGGCTATGCTTACTGCGCTTAACCACTACTGTAAATCTATCATCCTATTCCTAAGTACATGCTCTGCACCTAAATATAAATAAACATATATATATATTATATATATATATACATTAAAAGGGCGATCCATTCCCAGTGGCAGCCCTGTAGGCAGAAAGGTGGGTTCTGCTTACTGCACTGAAAGTTATATGTATAGATATGTACATATTGCTTGTCGAAAAACATTGAAAAAAACAATGAAAAAACAATGCAAACTGATGAAAAACATTGGAAAACATTGAAAAAACAATGAAAACTGATGAAACATATTGAAAAAACAATGAAGACTTAGAAAAAACAGTGAAAAAACATTGAAAAAAACAATGAAAACTGATGAAAAACATTGAAAAAAACAATGAAAAGTGATGAAAAACATTGCAAAAACAAGGAAAAATAATGAAAAGGTTTGGCTCGAGGACTTCGACCCAACAACAGCTGGCTCGAGGACTTGGACCCAAGTCGCTTTTCCGCCAACGCGCGCGCGCGCGCGCGTTAGCAGAAAGGCTGGCCCGAGGACTTGGACCCATCCACCCGGGGTAACACAACGGAGCACTACAACGGGGAAACACAACGGGAAACCAAAAGGGAACATTTTTTTTTTTTTAAAAATATGTATATGCATATTTAAAAACATATATATATATATGCATTGTTTTTTTAAAAAATATATTTTTAAATTATATATATGCATTTTTTCAAAAAATATTTAAAATAATTTATTTTTATTTTTTAATGCATATATATATATATTTTTAAATGCATATATATAATTTAAAAAAATATTTTTTTAAAATGCATATATATAATTTTTATTTTTTTTTTAAAAATGCATATATATATATAATTTAAAAATATTTTTTTTTTAAAAAAAAATGTTCCCTTTTGGTTTCCCGTTGTGTTTCCCCGTTGTAGTGCTCCGTTGTGTTACCCCGGGTGGATGGGTCCAAGTCCTCGGGCCAGCCTTTCTGCTAACGCGCGCGCGCGCGCGTTGGCGGAAAAGCGACTTGGGTCCAAGTCCTCGAGCCAGCTGTTGTTGGGTCGAAGTCCTCGAGCCAAACCTTTTCATTATTTTTCCTTGTTTTTGCAATGTTTTTCATCACTTTTCATTGTTTTTTCAATGTTTTTCATCAGTTTTCATTGTTTTCTAAATATTTTTCATCAGTTTTCATTGTTTTTTCAATGTTTTTCCAATGTTTTTCATCAGTTTTCATTGTTTTTTCATTGTTTTTCATTTTTTTAATCAGTTTTCATTGTTTTTTCATTGTTTTTTTTCATCAGTTTTCATTGTTTTTTCATTGCTTTTAATGATGTTTTTCAGAAGTTTTTATTGTTTTTTCATTGCTTTTCATTGTTTTTTTCTCATGTTTACACATATGTACATATATATATATGCAAATAAATACACATATTTATATATTTACATATATATATAAATATGTATATATATAATATATATATATATATGTGTGTGTGTGTGCGTTTCCTTGTTTTTGTCTACGCTTCTCCGCAGACCCTGAAAAAACTAAAAATATACAGCTGGTGGATTCCATTCCCAGTGGTAGCCCTGTAGGCAGAAAGGTGAGTTCTGCTTACTGCACTGAAAGTTATTTTAATATATATATATATATGTATATAACTTGTCAAAGCCCCTGCAAACCACATGTAACTATTCTATGGGAATGCCCCATAACAGCATAACCAGTCAGAAATCCCTAGAGCCATAGATGGTTCACCCACAGGTGTGTGTATATATGTACGTGTGTGTGAGTTTCTTTGTTTTGGCCACGCTTCTCCGCCGACCCTGAGAAATCCAAAAAAATATATAGACTTGATGGATTGTGTGAAAACGGGTGGTCCATTTCCAGTGGTAGCCCTGTAGGCAGAAAGGTGGGTTCTGCTTACTGCACTGAAAATCATATATATATACATTACTTGTCAAAATCCATGCAAACAAAATGAACAAAATGTAACTATTTCATGGGAATGCCCCATCACAGTATAACCAGTCAGAAATCCCTACAGCCATGGATGGTTCACCCACTGTGTGTGCGCGTGCGTTTCTTTGTTTTCGGCCACGCTTCTCCGCCGACCCTGAGAAATCCAAAGCATACAACTGATGGATTGTATGAAAACCGGTGGTCCATTCCCAGTGGTAGCCCTGTAGGCAGAAAGGTGAGTTCTGCTTACTGCACTGAAAGTTATTTTAATATATATATATGTATATAACTTGTCAAAGCCCCTGCAAACCACATGTAACTATTCTATGGGAATGCCCCATAACAGCATAACCAGTCAGAAATCCCTAGAGCCATAGATGGTTCACCCACAGGTGTGTGTATATATGTACGTGTGTGTGAGTTTCTTTGTTTTGGCCACGCTTCTCCGCCGACCCTGAGAAAACCAAAAATATATATAGACTTGATGGATTGTATGAAAACGGGTGGTCCATTTCCAGTGGTAGCCCTGTAGGCAGAAAGGTGAGTTCTGCTTACTGCACTGAAAGTTATATATATATATTGTATATGTATTACTTGTCATAGCCCCTTTTGCTGGTATGTGATTTTTACTTTTCCAAACTTACACATACACACACACATACATTCATACCCACACCCAGACAAAAGACTAGGACCAATCCCGTCTCCCCCCACCTCTTCTGCATTTTGCTGACCACCTTGTGCGTGATCGTCAACCACCATGCCATCTTCGGCGTTCTCCATGTCACACTCACCTTCGTCCAATGCTGCGAGCTCTTTGTCGATCCCGTCTTGCTCTTCCTTCTGCCCCTTTTGGTTGGAGACATCTTTCGAAGCCGAGGAAGAAGCAGCGGCGTTGCATTCACCAAAGGAACCCGCTCCCATCAAATGGCTTTGGTTCAGGGACAAAAGGTTCAAATGCAAACGAACTTCTTGGATCTCTCGGCTCCGGCCAGTCACCGAAACGATCCTCAAATTTCTCGTCACCGGTGGGTTCGAAAGCTCTTCCAGTGTCAGATCCATCATGTTCAACTTGAATGCGACCACATGGTGGGATACAGCCACCTGAAACTCTCCATCCTTCTTGAGAACACATCTCTGGTAAACCTTCTGACCCATCTCCTTGCCTGTGCTCTTGGAAATCAGAATGACACTAACGGACCCCTCTCCGCTTTTGGCCCGCTGGTACTTCTCCAAGGCGTTCTTGGTCTTCACATCATCCTCCCCAAACTTCTCTTGCCTGTGAAGCCAAAATGCCTCGGCGTCCTGAACAAAAGAATGGTGTTCAGACAGTTTGGCATTGAGAAGCTGCTGCCAATGAGCCGGGAGACAACACCACGAAGTGTCAAGTGTCCTCCTTTTCCCAATCTTCCATATCTTCTCCGGCCAGGCTGCTCTCAATCTGCCACAGAAAAGTGGTCCGATTGATGTCAGGCTTTTCGAGAAGCTCATCAATTGAGTCATGAAGCTCAAAGTCTTCATGGGCAAATGCCTCGCAGGCAGGCATTTCTTCCTTCAACTGCTCCACTGAAACTTGATCTGGTGAGATTTCGCTCATCTCCTCGTAACTTGCCATGCCTCTCGACAACCATGCCCACCTCAGGGTTTGACAAAAACATTTCAGGCTACATTTTTTGTCAGAATATATGTCAGATAAAACGTCATATATATATATATATCTCTCTATATATATATCTCTATATATATATACACATGCCAGAATTTATGTCAGATAGTAAAAAGCCAGAATTTATGTCAGAATGTATGCCATGGTGTGGATCACTCAAAAAGGATTTCTTGACAAAAACGCACGCATGCATGTGTTTGTGCCTCTTCATGTTTGCCATTCGTTTTCGAAAAACAAACTGACATGTAACCCTGATGCCTCAGCAAGTCCTTCCTCTTTGCAAGACGCTTCCACCCATAGATCACAGAAAGAATCGACTCGGTGTGAGAGATGCCCAGGTACCTGTTTCCATTGGACAGTAGCAGCGGTGCGTCGTAGGCACTGTCAAGGATCTTCCCCCGGTATCCAAGAAGGCTTTCACTGTAGTAGGTCATGTACTTCCTGAACACACTGTGTACTGCATCGCATGGTTGCCCTCGAGCAGACCAGCCACCTGGTTGTTTCTCTGGTAGTAGTACTTTGGAAGATGCACTGAAGAGCTCTCCTGAAAAGCAACCCCCAACTGCAGCAAGCAGATTCCTATTCTGCTTACTAGTGTTTGCACCATGACTCATCCTGAGATATCCCACATATGCATTGCAAAAATGGAGCTTACAAACTATAATATATATATATTATTTATTTATTTAGTTATTTATGTACATAGATGATAAACTATACATTTACATGTGTATTGTAAGTCAATTACATGCAAAAACATATATATCGCTTGTGGGTAAAAGCATTTCAGCTTGGGTTCGTTGGATGTCGCTTCCCCCAGCCATTGCATGGTGCCCTGAAAATGAGTCGCAAAGGATGGCCCCCCACTCATCGTCAAAAGACTTTCCATAGCGATGTGCTAGAAGTCTTCGACGCCGCGCAAAGGCATCGGCAAGGACATCATCAAAGTAGGTCACAACTGTGTCGGCCGTCATGAAGTGGGAGGTACTCTTTGAGCTGATGAAATAGACGTCTGGGGAATATTTCTGCTGCAAAGTGCCCAGATCCCCATCACTCAAAAATCCCAAAGGTAGAACAATGCAAAGAGGGCCACACTCGCCAGATGCCCACAGGGATGTCACCACTGTGATTGAGTGACGTGCTTGTTCGACATTGTCTGCCCGAGCGTCCTTTCCTCAAAGTAAGTAGAGAAAGGGTAGGAAAGCAAAAAAGGAAAAAAGGAAGGACAGAAAAAGAAGGGAAACACCCATATATAGATAGGTATCAGTATAGATTTTAGATTTAGGTAGTATATATATATAATATACATACATACATACATACATACATACATACCTACCTACAATGTATCCTCATTTTATCCTCATTCTCAATCCTCATTTTATCCTCATTTCCTCATCAAATCCTCATTTCCTCATTTTATCCTCATTTCCTCATCAAATCCTCATTTTATCATCATTTTATTCTCATTTTATCCTCATTTCCTCATTTTATCCTCATTTCCTCTTCAAATCCTCATTTTATCTTCATGTTATCCTCATTTTATCCTCATTTCCTCATCAAATCCTCATGTTATCCTCATTTTATCCTCATTTCCTCATCAAATCCTCACCAAATCCCAATTTTATCCTCATTTTATCTTCATTTCCTCATCAAATCTTCATGTTATCCTCATTTTATCCTCATTTTATCCTCATTTTATCCTCATTTCCTCATCAAATCCTCATCAAATCCTCATTTTATCCTCATTTTATCCTCATTTCCTCATCAAATCCTCATGTTATCCTCATCAAATCCTCATCAAATCCTCATTTTATCCTCATTTTATCCTCATTTCCTCATCAAATCCTCATGTTATCCTCATTTTATCCCCATTTTATCCTCATTTTATCCTCATTTCCTCATCAAATCTTCATGTTATCATCATGTTATTCTCATTTTATCATCATTTCCTCATTTTATCCTCATTTCCTCATCAAATCCTCATTTTATCCTAATTTTATCCTCATTGTATCCTCACTTTATCCTTATTTATCCTACATACATACATACATACATACATACATAGGTTCATGAAATAGGATGCAAAAAATGAGGTTAGATAATGAGGATTAAATGACGTTCATGAAACAGGATGCAAATTAAATGAGGTTAGATAATGAGGATTAAATGAGGATAAAATGCAAATTTCAATGATTTTGGTCTTCCCAGTGTGTGGCTCACAAAATCTCATAAACCTACATATATATATACACATATGTTGGGGGGTCTGGGAGGGAACCCTAAAAAACACTCTGATGTGCCCTTGTAAGCATTGTTTGGATCTGCTTACCACAGGTATGTCCCGAGCGTCCTTTGATCCTTCTCCGCTTTGCTTCCCAAGATGTGTCCCCTCTGTTCACGTGTAGCTGCTGAAGCTCATGCCAAAGCTTTTCTCGCTTCCCCCTGAGAACAATGGAGGGACATGAGGTCTCAATGGTGCGGTTGAGAACCTTTTTTGGGGAAGTCCATGACGCTTTCCACACTTGGTCGAAATTGAGCGAAAGGTCCAAGCGAACGCCCTTGGTCAACCTGGAACCCAGGGATTTTCTATCGCAAAAAAGCTGGGTCTTCAAAACAGTCAACAGGTACATTTGTATATATTATATATATGTACTATAATGTAAATGTATATAATGAAAGCTTTCAGCCCCCCAGAGCAACAATACATGCCCCAGCCTCAAAAATTCCCAGCACTTCCTGGATTTCTTCATGCGCTCATCCTCATAATCCAGATAAGCGCCGTGTGTATTCGGCGCATTGCGCTTCCACCCATAGTGTTCAAGAATCCTGTTGACCCACCGTATGCTGACCTCGGACTTTTGCGCTGGTGCCTCCAGCCCTCTTTCCTCTGCCTCCTTCTCTTGTGCTTCATGGTAAACTTTCAGAAGGCGTTCAGCTTCCAGCTTCACATCCTTCACGTCCAAGGTGCCACAAGTCTGGCGAGAATTGTCCCCCCCACACGTGATCCGCTCGACCATTGAGATGACGGCTTTCGAAATCACAGGTGGTACGTTGCTGCCCTCTTTGAAACGCTCCAGGCCTCTAGGCACCATGCCGAAGGCCACGCGGATCCAGTCAGGTAGCTCTTTCATATTCCTGTCTTCCTCGTTCATTCTTTCAAATGGAATCTCTCGCCACTTTTGCTCGTCACACTGCACCAACCAGCGGCCCAACATTCCTGATTTGAGCGAGCCTCTGGTTCCCATGAAGATGTGCGGAAAGGTCTGCATGATTTTCTTTTCCAGGCCATGTTTTTGACCTTCTTCCAATAATCTGTCCAACTCCCTGATCACTTGCAATTTCTGGTAGATGCTGTGCCTCACGCGCACCTTTGCCCCACATCTTTTCAGCTTGCCATCCTCCTCCCCATCCTCCTCACAAGCTTCATCCTCGTCAGCATTCCCTTCGGCAGGAACTATTTGTAGTTGTTCGTCCCCCTGCTCCTCCTTGAAGGATGTACGAAACACTCCCTTACCCCCAGTAAGCATATCAGTAGATCTGCCTATTGCAGATGTGTGGGGATATGTGTATAATTACATAATACCCAATCATACAGCCAGGGAATTCAAAAACGATGTGCTTACATCAAACATGTTTGTATATATGGAATGTTTCGACATATGCATCTTTTAAGGTACAGTGTACCTGGGGGCTACGCCCCAGCTGCCAATCCTGAACAGTGCATTATGGAAAGTCGGTTCTCAGTGGCATGCAGCAGTTAGCATGTGTGGCAGTCTGCTTACTGCAGCTCTGTACTCAGAAGTAAAATGTATAACATCATTATTTCCCCTGAAAAAGTAACCAATACATATCCCGTCCTCAGCTTCATAGACAGCAAGCGCTTGGTTCTGGATGTTCTGGCCAGCTTGGTTTGGTGAATCCTGCGATGCATTTGTCCAGAAACCTTGAAAAAGTATGTACTTTTTTGAAGCAGAACTTGATCATAAACTGGAATCCCGCAGAAAAGCAGCCATATATATATATATATATATACGCATTTCCATATACATACGCATAAATTTTTTTATATACACACAGATAGATAGATAGATAGATAGATAGACAGATAGACAGATAGACAGATAGACAGATAGACAGATAGACAGATAGACAGATAGACAGATGAAAGAAAGAGAGAGAGATAGATAGATAGATAGATAGATAGATAGATAGATAGATAGATAGATAGATAGACACATAGACAGATAGACAGATAGACCCCAAAAAACGAGTTTGTAATGGTCTGCTGACATTCCTGTCCTCCTCAAAGATCCCAGTGGCAGACGAAGAAGAAGATTGTTCTGCAGGTGGTTCTGAACTGGTCTCTGGGGAAAGCGACGAAGGCCCCGAAGACGGCTCTGGCTCTCCTTCTCTAGATGCTGATGCTGTGGAAGGGGACTTTTTGCATGCTGACGAAGGGGTTCCTCTGAGTCTCTTCCACTTCACACCATCGTAGGTATGGCTGGGATTGAGTCTTCTTTTGGTAGCCCTCAGCTCAAGGTTTGACTTCATTTGATGAACGCTGCTCAACATGCGACCTGCTTCACCAACATCGTTGGGACACTTGTTCAGCTTGACCTTTCTCAACTCCTCCAATGCCAAAGGCCACTTTCCCAAGTCTTCCTCAAAAGAGAGCTGGTGCTGTGGGCTGAAAGGTCCCGCTGCAAAGTCTGGCAGTCTCAAGCACAGGTAGTTGGCAATTTCCCCCAGCTCTCCCGCTATTTGACCTAGATGAGCAACAGCTTTCGCATCATGGAACCCTGGCTCAGATTTCTTCTCCTTGGAGTTGGGTTTCTTGCTCCTTTTTTTTGCCATAGAAGCCTTAGCTGCCTCACCAACTAGGTCCGCAACAGCGGAGTGCTCCCAGGTAAAGTGGACAAAGTAAAGGCTTCCTTTCCCCACCCACAGAACCTTGGGATCTATCTGGCGTGCATGCTCTTCAATGACCTCAGTAGCCTCCAACTCTTCTGAAGCGATGCGGAAAAACGATGTCATCTTGTCGCTTCCAGTGATGGCGGTAACAAATGCAGGGTTGCATTCTGTCTGATGTTTCTTGGCCATGGCCAAATCTGCTGAACTCAGCGTGGCATTGGAGCGAGGTTTGACCACGCAGGTGCCAACAATCTCCATTTGTTTCTTTTCACAAAGAGCTTTCAAATCTTCATTTTGCCACTGTGAAGCATAAACATTCTCAATCCGATCGCACCACATGCCTCGAACATCAACCTTGCCACCGCTCCCAAAAGTACCAACCAAGAATGCCAGTGTCAAATCATCCCTGCTGAAAGCTTCATTGTTGAGATGAGAGAGCAAACCACCGGAGACCTGGACATCAATCACTGCGTCTTTTCTGGCCAGAAACTTCTTTTTCTTCTCCAAACGTGCCTTGCTGGGTTGTAGGTGGTCTTTGTGGCTCAGCACCTTCACATCCTGAGAATCTAGCATGTCTCCTGACCCCACCTTCAAGGATGATTTGCACTCCAAAGAAGGTTTAGAAGCCTTGGAAGCAAATTTGGACTTGGCATCCTGTTTCTCCTTCGCTGTGGATCCTTTCTTTGGCAGACTTTTCGGTTTCTTTCCTTTGCATTTCACATCTTTTTCAGCCTCACCTTTCTCAATGTCGGCTCCTGCACTGGATTCTTCTGTCTCAGGCACATAGTCTGGTTTCCATCCCAAAGGCCGGTAGAGGGATCTCCCAATGCATGAGTCCAACTTCAAGAACTCAATGGGTTTCAATGCCTGCACTTTGCTCACACGGTGGGCCACAAATGGAAATGAATAAGGAGGTTCTGGGCATTGATGTGCTGGCATCAGCTTCTCAAATTCATCCAGGTTGCAAACGGTGAGAGAATGCGATATCACGCACTTCGCATAGATTGTGCTCTTGGCCGCCAGAAAGAAGGATTCACCTGTAGAGCTTGAGGAAATGGAGGTTTTTCGCAGCTCGAATGTTTTGTTCCCTTCAATGATCTTGTCAAGCCACTCCTTCTGGAGTAGCAGGATTTTCGCCAAGTACTCAGGTTTCTCCTCAGATTCTTCGGTGGAAACTTCTGAAGTAAATGCAAGAGCTTCATCAATCTGCTTTGCCTTGCTGGCAGTTGCAGACTGGAACTTGGTACCCTTCTGTGGCTTGGGGCTGGTGATTTCTGGCACCATGAACTTCTTGAACCAACTCTCCAAAACAACCTGTTTCTTGTCCGCCTTGCTCTTCCCTTTGTTGAAGCCTTTGAGATCAACGTGCCACTCGACCAATTTGGCTTTCAACTCTGCGACGGTCATGGACTCGAATTGTAGCCTTTCCTCCTCAGTTTGTACCCGGTTCTCCGAGGCATCCCCAGTATGCAGATTGGGTGTTCTGCTTACTGCCCTGTAACATTGGGTATGTATATATATATTAACTGTCATAGCCCCTGTAAACCAGATGTATCTATTTTGTGGGAAAACCCCAAATCAGTATAGTCAGAAATCCTTACAGCCATCGAGATGGTTACCTCCAGGTATAAATAATATATATATATCTATCTATCTATCTATCTATCTATCTGTTTTGAGCCACGCTTCACCGCCGACCCTGAAAAAAACTATATAAACATATACAACGGTGGATTGTATGAAAACGGGTTGTCCATTCCCAGTGGTATCCCTGTATGCAGGATGGTGAATTCTGCTTACTGCCCTGTAGCCTGCCTGTAGCATTGACTGCCATGACCCCTTTAAACCAGATATATCTATTTTGTGGTAAAACCCCAAATGAGTATAGGCAGAAATCCCTACATCCATCCAGATGGTTACCTCCAGGTATGTATATATATATATATATATGTATATATATATGTAATGTTTCTCTGTTTTGAGCCACGCTTCACCGCCGACCCTCAAAGAAAACTATATAAACATATACAACGGTGGATTGTATGAACACTCCCAGTGGTAGCCCGGTACGCAGGATGTTTAGTTCTGCTTACTGCCCTGTCACACTGTATAGGGTATATCAACTGTCATAGCCCCTTAAAACCAGATGTATCTATTTTTTGAGGAAACCTCAAATCAGTATAGTCAGAAATCCCTACAGCCATCGAGAATGTTACCTCCAGGTATAAATATAATATATATATATATGTATCTGTTTTGAGCCACGCTTCACCGCCGACCCTGAAAAAACTAAACATATACAACGGTGGATTGTATGAAAACGGGTTGTCCATTCCCAGTGGTATCCCTGTATGCAGGATGGTGAGTTCTGCTTACTGCTCCCCCATTTAAACCAGATATATCTATTTTGTGGGAAAACCCCAAATGAGTATAGTTAGAAATCCCTACAGCCATCCAGATGGTTACCTCCAGGTATATATATATATACATATATATATATGTAATGTTTCTCTGTTTTGAGCCACGCTTCACCGCCGACCCTGAAAAAAACTAAACATATACAACGGTGGATTGCATGGACGAGTGTGGCCCATTCCCAGTGGTAGCCCGGTACGCAGGATGGTGAGTTCTGCTTACTGCCCTGTCACACTGTATAGGGTATATCAACTGTCATAGCCCCTTAAAACCAGATGTATCTATTTTTTGAGGAAACCTCAAATCAGTATAGTCAGAAATCCCTACAGCCATCGAGATGGTTACCTCCAGGTATAAATATAATATATATATATATATACTTGTTTTGAGCCACGCTTCACCGCCGACCCTGAAAGCCTACAAATATGTACAACCTGCCATTGTATGAAAACGAGTGGTCCATTCCGAGTGGTGGCCCTGTAGGTAGAATAGCGAGTTCTGCTTACTGCTCCTGTTTAGGTCATATCCTGGTAAAAACCGGCATCTTAATCTGGTTTGTGGTAAACCAAAATGAATGGGGCTGGGTCAGGCACATGGTAGACTATATACTGTGGAGAATATTGCACAAATATGAAACCCCAACCTATTTGAAAAGGAATCCTACATAAGTAGCAAGTTATGGTTTTTGAACCGGGCTCATCACTACAGGGTGAGAATGCACAAATTCAGCATATATATAACAAATCCACAAGTTTGGGTATTTGCAGGGTGACTTGAACCATAATCAGGCGAGCTGCATGTGTCCTCTTGTGAATGTCCAGGGCCATAGGTTTGGAAGGCCCCAGTGAAAAGGTTTCACCGCCAACAAGCAAGAAAAACACACCATCCTGAAATGACAAGCCGTCCGGGAAGGATGGTGGCTCAATGGCTAGCAAATTCATAGGAGCTTTGTCTCGAATCCTCAAAGATGCAAGTGCTGCTATGAGGACAACCCCCACGTTCTGAAGCTGTTGCCCATTGCCTACTCTTTGTCCCCACATTGCATCAATTTCCCACGGTACTGGGCCCAAGATCCCAGCCAAAGTTGCCTGCACCTGTGAAACTGCCAGGCCTGAGGCTGCAAGCTTCTCTCGGTCTGTAAGCCATCGCCCCCTTGTGGAATGAAACACCCTCCTGACTGTTTGGCAGGAGCCATTACGTGTTTGCGTCTGTGGTTTGCTTTGCGGAGCTGTAAATATCTGTGCATATGAGTGTTTATATAGGATGAAACTTTTGCCAAATGCATGCGCAGGCACAAATACATATAGTTGTATAAAGATACATTTTACACATATCATTCCCTACTCCTAGAGTAGGATATTCGTCCAAGTTGACACCCATATGAATTTGTGCGGTCCTGTCCTCGTCCCAGACTTGGTGAAGCAAGGGAGGCAAAAGTCCTGGGATATGGTGGTAGGCATCTTCTCTGCGTTCTGCTGCAATGCGAAGACTGGAGGCTTGTTGGACTTCTCCTTCTCGTGCTTCCTTGGCTGTAACTTCTACCCAAGGCGGTGAGAAAACAAAAGTAGATGCACAAGGCAGATTTGGCGCTCTGCTTACTGCCCCCTCTCAAGGTCTTGATATTTTTGAAAAACAAAAGATCTGTGTGTCTTTATACATGTATCCATGTATATGTATCACCACAAGTATCACATCTATAAACACGCGTTACAGATAGCACTGCGGTCTCCATCACATACTTCCCCTCACCTCACTGCCTATATAAATAAGGTGTTCCACTAATAGGCCAAGGTGCTTCTCGTACTGCTTCAGGTTCTCTTGCTCCCATGAGGTTAGCAATGGGCGCCAATCATCAAGATCGCACGTTTTGGGATCTCCTGAACGCAAATTCAATCAACACAAAGGGATTTATATGACCACAATTGAATTTGTTGGCAACAAAATGATGGATTGAATCACCAAATTGTGGATTTAACTATCAATCAAAACGAATGAAGTAATCAGCAACAAAATGAGACGACAGAACCCAAAAAAAAGGATTCAAAGAGCCAAATATTGGGTTTTAACCTTTAACCTAAACATTCAAGCCACAAAACGATGGATTCAAGCAGCATTCGAACAGCAAAAACAATTCCCATCACGTAATCAGTTTCCTTCTCCTTTCCATGTAAGATATCAAGGTTTTGAGAAGAATTGTTTTTTTCTGGAAGCTCAAAGCATCCCCCCGACCCCCGCAACTCCTATCAGAATGCCCGCGCTTCCTTTTCAGCCGCTGACTACCCAAGTATCTATCTGTGCAAACTGTCCCATGCAAATTTGATCGCGTTTATTATGGTGCCCCCGCAGTAGAAAAATGCTACTACATACTGCGACTAATCTCATTATTGGACCTGGTTCTGTTGGCCCTGTCCCTCTTAGCCTTCTTGGCTAAACCAGCTGGGGTTGATTGCTTGAGCAACAGCAACCCACAGTCTGCACATTTCACTTGAATTGAATCACCGTTTGTGCCAGATCGGCTCACACGGCGATGTAAACAAATGCTGGTAGAAGGCAACGATCTTGCCCCTTCTTCACACCGTGTTTTTTTTCGACTGGATGGTCTGGGGCTAGCTTCACTCACCACGCTCCAGTCAGAGCCGTCATCGCTAATGCTGCAGTCTGAAGAACGGCCCATGCTCTTCACAAGCTCAGCAACATGCTCCTTGTACATCAAAGTAATTGCCACACGGGCCACCCATTTGCAAACCAGGCTCATCAGGTAGATCAGCGCTGCCCAAACTCGTGCGCAGCAGGACATGGTCATCGAATCTGCGTGTTTGTGTCTATATATCTTCACTTAATCCCGGGCGCACTCTTTGAGCTCAAACAAAGGCAGCATGCAAACTGCATTCTAGAATCTAGAATATCTTGCGAGTTCACTTCTAAATGTACAGGTGGGCATATGTTCTTCTGTAGGCATCGAAAGTGTATAAATATAAATATAAATATATATATATATATATATGTTTTTTTTAATGTATTTAAAGATATCTATATATATATATATATATCTATATCTATCTATCTATCTCTTTCTCTTTCTTATATATATACATATATGTGTGTGCGTGCACTTTCTTTCTCCATCTGGCCCACCCCTTTTGCAATCACGTCCCCAGCCCACACACCGACAAGCAGTCCTTCACAGTTGTCAGCGCAGTTCCTGGCCATGTCATGCCGAAGAGCAGCGGTGTCGGTCTCAAAGAAGAAGTCCTCCACATTGCATTCTGGCAGCGTCTTCCTGAGATGCACCGTAATTGCCTTGTAGAGCTCCTTCATGTCACCAGTGAGCTCCAACAGGGTTTCCAAGTAGTAGACATCATACCTTAGGGCGTGATTGGAACCTTTTCAATGATCAGCCACCATGCGTATGCCCTGGTTAGCATATTCTGTATCTGCTTACTGCACCTACTACAAAACGCTTGCATTTTGTGGAGGCATAAATGTGGGTGTATATATATATATGCATATTATATATATACACTTAAGCTATTCTTGCTATTCTTCTCATTCCCTGAAGGGGCGTGATGTTGGGAAAGCCCCCTGGTGTGGTCCATGTTGGAAATGAAAATCGACCAGTATAAATTGGACTGGATTTAAACGAATGAACAACCAATGGAAAATGATGATAAAAAAAGCAGAAACTGTTGAAACAACAATGAGACATGATGAATGCCAGATTTTTTGAATGAGAAACCATGAAAAACAAATGAAAAGCATGGAGCCATCATGGAAAATGACAAAAAACAGATTAAAAAAAACCATTGAAACATCAATGCGGCATGATGAAAACTTGAAAAAAGGTTGAAATTCAATGAAAAGTGGTTAAAAGTGCTGAAAAGTGCTGAAAATTGATAAAAACAATTGACAAATCAATTAGACATGTTGAAAAACAAGTAAAGAAAAACAGTGAGCATTAAAATCAAATATGGTTTCCCTAACCTCTGACCTCACCCATCTGCAGCAAGCAGAATCCCAATCTGCTTATTGCAGGTGTGTTGCTTTCGAGGCCGGCCAACGTGGAAATTCACGTCCATTGGTTTGCACCAGATAGAAACACACCTGTAGCCGTACTGCTCTGCAGTATCCTTCATCTTCTCCGTCTCAAATCCTGGCACATTCTCGTGCGCTAGAAGAGGGGTGCCCTTCCGGAAATGATACAGCATGTAGATGATCAGCAACCGGCCATTGGTGTTCTCGCCGCCCTCCCCACACCCCATGGAACTGTAGGCAATGCACATTGAAGCGCTGAGATCTAAGAAACCTTTTCGAATTGGACACCTAGGTTGGCCACCCCTGGCAATATATAAATATATTTACACACACATAGGGGATCAGATTTTGCATATACAGTACAAAATGATTTGGAAATTTCACTAAAAAGCGCAGGCAGGCACTTCTTGAGGTGTTTGCAGCAGAAAGCGTTTGGTGGATGCTTTCCCTTCTTCACCAACTGCAACCACTTCTCAAAACGCTTGGTAGTCTTGGAAGCTTTCACTTTTGACATTTCTGAAAGGGTATCCGGATCTATGAAATCCTCCACATTGACAAAGCGGCATGAGTTGTCGCCAATGGCATCCGCGTGGGATGTACGAGCTTTGGCGTTGTTTTCGCAGGTGTACATGCACTCCTAGGATAGGTAGGGCTTGATATGACCCAGAAAAAGAGTTTGAGGAATAATAAAAAAAAACATTTGTACATCACCCCCTGCAGTATGCGGCTTGGCATGTCTGCTTGCTGCAGCCCTGTGCTTGTTTTCGTCGGTATTTTTGTATTTTATTCTTTTGGAGGGTGCTTCCCCTGCATTTAAATAGTCAAATCCCTGGAAACTCGATTTCCGTTGGCAACCCTAACAGGGTGAACAATTGAATGTAAACATTATATGTATATATATATATATGCATCTAAATGGGCATAAATCAACCAAAGAGTCTGTCAACGCAGGACCGCCTGCCCCTTCAGACCTAGCAGAATCAATGTAATGCAGGGCCCTCTCCGGGTAGCAAGCTCCACTAAAAAGGGATGTTGTGGGGATAGTCTCGGATGACCAAAGCAGCGCATCAGCAACAGAAGTAGGAGAGGCCTTCACAAACGCAATGGCCTTCTTTGCCCACCCCTGCCCCTGAAGCAAAGGCTCTGGAGGGTCCGACATGATTACACGGTTCAAAGAGCTAACCCTTTAGCCTGAACGCTGCAATCACATCAGCGTGTTTCAACTCTCAACAAAGGTGCAGTAAGCAGTTTTCAACTCTCAAAGAAAAATCTCATTTTATCTTCATTTCCTCATCAAATCCTCATCAAATCCTCGTTTTATCCTCATTTCCTCATCAAGTCCTCATTCTATCCTCGTTTTATCCTTATTTCCTCATCAAATCCTCATCAAATCCTCATTTTATCCTCATTTTATCCTCATTTTATCCTCGTTTTATCCTCATTTCCTCATCAAATCCTCATCAAATCCTCTTTTATCCTCATTTCCTCATCAAATCCTCATTTTATCCTCGTTTTATCCTCATTCCCTCATCAAATCCTCATCAAATCCTCATTTTATCCTCATTTTATCCTCTTTTTATCCTCATTTCCTCATCAAATCCTCATTTTATCTTCATTTTATCCTCATTTTATCCTCGTTTTATCTTCATATCCTCATCAAATCCTCATTTTATCCTCATTTCCTCATCAAATCCTCATTCTATCCTCGTTTTATCCTCATTTCCTCATCAAATCCTCATCAAATCCTCATTTATATCCTCATTTTATCCTCATTTATCCTACATACATACATACATACATACATAGGTTCATGAAACAGGATGCAAAATAAATGAGGTTAGATAATGAGGATTAAATGTGCAATCACAACAGCGTGTTTCAACTCTCAACAAAGGTGCAGTAAGCAGTTTTCATTGTTGATGGTTTGATGATAAAACCGGAACCTGCTTACTGCACCCCTGAAATCCAGAATTTTCCCCAAAAGTGCCAGAATCTAGGCATTTTAGGGTGTGGTAGGCAGAAAAATCTCTTCTTACCACCCGTCTTTGACTATATACACACCATGAAATAGTTGGTTTCATACACCAATATCGAGTATCTATTGCTAGTTTCATGTTTTTGAAGGCTAAATCCCATTATTATCTTCACAATTTCCTATTTATAGCAAGTGTTTACCAAAAACATATCAAAAACACTCCCGAAAAACATATCACCATGAAATCGCTTTGCCTGAAAATCAACATCCTAAATCCATTGCATCACTATATTCCATCATATTCCCAATTAAATGGTCATCAATTACGGCCAGATTATTTGGGGCTTAATGGGTAAATCCCTGTTTTTCAGACCCGAATGCCGCTAAATCGATTGGTTAAATCCCAAGTTTTCATGGTCAGATTCTCAGAAAAAATTGCATATTTTTGATGGTGAAATCACATTTACATACCATTTTCAATCCCATCAACATCCAATGAATTCCCATTCGAATTCCATCAAATCCCATGAAATCCATGGCATTTTTGATGATTCGCCAGGTCCAGATCTCGTAGTCCGCCCAAAGCCGCGGATCCGCCCTACGGAGCACCAGGTCGACAGTCTGAGTTTCGGGAGGGATTTCTGGAGATTTGTTTGAAGATTTAGGGGGATTTCTGGAGATTTCTGGATGTTTTTTTGGAGATTTAGGGGGTTTTCTCGAAATTCTGTTGGTGTTTTTATGTTCTTTGTTATTCAAAATTATTCAAGTTCTACTGTGATTTGTTTCGATCTGTGAGGATTTGCCAGTGATATTTTGGAAGGGTTTTAACCGGCAATCATCGATGAATGTTGAATTATGATTTTCAAGCACCAAACAAGTGGAGATTTGGCCACCACTACCAGGACTCTTGAAGGGATTTGAATCATGTTCAAAACCTCTTAGTCAAATGGGGAGTTGGGTACCAAAAAGGTAAATTTTGAGCATAGAACATGGGGACTTCACACGGATATGGAGACTTAACTGCCAAAGACCAGGATGTATCACCCAAAATTTTGAATTTGCCCAAGCAACATCGGGATACTTTGACCACCAGACATCATCAAGGATGTGACCACCAAAAAAAGATGGTGTCTACAAACGATTACAAACGTATGGCATCTCATGAGGGGAAAAAAATCAACCATCAACATACAACAACCATCATATAATAAATGGATTTACCCACAAGAAATGAATCCCAGACTAACAATTGAGCCCTGTGGATGATGGTTTGCCCAGTGAAGTCCTGTTATGTTTTAGTCAATCCCTGATTTTCTGAGATGTGCAACTTTACAGCCCTATAGCCCTTCTTTAGTGTTGTCGTCCACCACAAACCAATTCACCAGCCGTGTCAAACTGTTCCAACATGTTCTAAGGCCTTGCCCACCTCCGTAACCCCATTTCAACCTAATCTTCACAGGTGGAGCGCCACCAGCTGCCTATCCCCCGCCAGCTGGTCCGCCTGGGTGGCCCCCAGGTGCTCCCCCACCATCCTATCCACCACCGCCATCGGGATATCCTCCAGCCTATCCGCCGGGCACGGGCCCTGCTGGCGCACCCCCCAGCACGGCACCTGGAGCGCCTGGCGCGCCACCGAGTGCACCGCCGGGATACCCAGGATATCCACCACCCAGCTATCCACCGGACTATCCGCCACCCTCGGGTGGGGCCTACCCACCACAGCCAGGAGGGCCAGGAGCACCACCACCAGGTTATCCACCAGCTGGTTATCCGCCACCAGGATACCCACCTCATTACCCACCTCCTGGCTATCCGCCGCCCGGCTACCCACCGCAAGGCTATCCACCACCAGGCTACCCACCACAGAGCAGCTATCCACCACCTCCAGGACCGCCATCCTCTCAATACCCACCACCAAGCCATCCATACCCTCCATATCAACCACCAGGTTCCAACCCTCCAGGCTATCCCCCAAGCCCTTCACCTGGTGCTCCCCCTGGCAGCCAGCCACCACCAGGTGCACCGCAGGGTCAGCCGCCCCCAGATCCAGGCTATCGCCCACCAGGTGCGCCAGGTCCGTATCCTCCAGGTTATCCTGACCCACCAGCGGCCACCCCCAGCTACCCAAGTAGTGCACCTCCCAGCTATCCTCCAAGTGGCGACGCGGCGTCGTAGGGGAGCTCAGTGGACGGATCATTGGGGCATTGGGCCGGGGGCTGACAATTTTTATGGATTTTGCTCCAGGACATGCTTTTGGGGAGAATTGAGGAATCTAGTTTGGGATCATGGCCAACATGTTCTTCTTGATATGAATGGTGTCCTGGTATGACTCAATGACTCTTGTTGATAAACCATGTGATTTTGGCTTTGGCTTTGCTGTTTTTCATTTTTTTCCAGCACCTTCAGACAAACCCGTTTCTGTACTTCGCCCACCATTGACCCTGTTTTGCTGAGGCAATATCCTCCTCCGAGTCACAATCCCTATGCGCCTCCAGGTCAAAGAGGGCCAGGGTTTGGGCAGCCATGGCAGGATTTGTTTTTTGTTCCCTGCTAGGGATTAATGACATTTAATCACTATTGACAATTATTGATGGCTAAATGAGTGCATTAATGATGGTTATGCTGTCACAAATTGATACCATCTGGTACTCAAACACAGCTGGAAGAGCCCCCCAAATGGAGGTTTGGATGATAAAATCTTGGAAAATCAACATGTTTTTTTATACGGGCTCTTAGAAACGCATCTATTTATAGATGATTTTCCGGCTATGTTCTGACAGGCCAGCCACCGGGAGCTTATCCTCCAGCACCTGTGCGGGCACCTGGCGCGGCCGCGATTGGAGGATAGCACAGGGATTTGGCCAAACGTTCTGAAATTGGGTGGATTGAAATCACAATCACAAGTACCCTCTGGTAAACTAACATAGCTATGGAAAATCACCATCTTTGATGGGAAAATCCACTATGAATGGCCATTTTCAATAGCTACGTTAAATTACCAGAGGGTACTGTATCATCAATATTAGATTTGGTCTAATTGTATATACCATGGGAGAAAAGTTCGTCTAATGGGATTTAAAGCTAACAATAATGGGACATGATCACCCTGAGAGAAGGGGTGTATAAAGCCAAGAATCATAGGATATACAATTGGATGAAAACCAAGAAAATTATATTTGGCTTTGTCCAAGAACGGGTTACCCCAATTTACATGGCCTATTTGATTGGGAAAATTACGATCAACCAGGAGATTTTGAGTTTTCCTACTGTAAGGCAAACTTGCAGTAATCCCTCAAAAACCAACGGTTTAGAATTTGGAACATCCTTTTCCTTATAACAAATACAATGTGGGGATATAGACAATTTTTTTGACAAACCCATGTGTTTGGCTGTTGCAGTTGCTGCTCATGTTGATGTTATATATTGACATCCAGGACCTGCTTCATGGCAAGTCGGTTGTGGATCGTTTTGGTGTTTGTGACAAAGACCTCGAATATATAGATGAATATAGCAGCCATAGCAAAAAGCTCCGAAACTACTCAGATAAAATTGATAAAATTGTTCCAAAGCTCTTTGGCACAGGCCAAGGCTGACTGCAGATCGGTTTTCGATTTGTCGACAGCAGCTACCCGCAACGGACATGGGAGCACCGTCCACCATGCTGCCAATCTCTGCCGACAATTTCGAAGTCCCCCTTGGGTGCAAAAACCTCAGGACATGCAATATCCAAATGTGCAATTTTGTGAGAGAAATCTTGAATTTTCATACAGCTACGGAAGAACATCTTCTAGCTGTTTGCAATTGCTTGCCCATGAGAGAGTTGCGGGCGTTCAGCCTGTTGGCTAGAAGCTTTCGCGCTGCCAGCACGCTTGCTTGGAGTGAAGATGTCATTGAGAACGAGCGCATTTTGCTTTCCATTGCGCAAAAGGATCAGCCTGAATTTTTGGCCAAGGCAGTCACAGATTCTGGCATTTCCAAGGCGTCCCTGGGAAGAACCCTCTTGCAGGCAACCTATGGAGGCATAGAGAATCGTAGTCACCGCTGCTGCATACTTCTGGGAGAATTGGGTGCAGTGATTCGCTTGGAAATTAATCATATTCAAATATATCAAATACGATGGTGGCTTAATATGATATTTGGTTTTGATAGGTTTTGATATACATAAACACATGGCTGGTGGCTTTGCCTCAACTCCTCAATATCCACAATGCCTGCAGCTGAGGATCCGCGTTCAGCACCACCTGACGGCAGGCCAGCCTGCCAAGTTTCTGCTGAGTGGGTTGGATGCATCGTCAACCTAGAAAAAGAACAGATATACCCTCTGGTAATTTAACATAGCTATTGAAAATGGCCATTTATAGTGGATTTTCCCATTGAAAATGGTGATTTTCCATAGTTATGTTAGTTTATCAGAGGGTAATACGATATACAGAGAACGGTTGAACACCTGCTTGAAATGAGGCAAATAGAACCGAGAAACATTCTGAGGGAAGCTGTTCTTGGTTGTCATTTTTTCATTTTAACACAATTTTCGCCGCGTCGATATCCATTGGGTTCAAACAACAACACCATGATATGACTCTCATCCATCACCCATATGCTCCATGAGTGGAATATTTACACCTAGATGAACAACCCAAAAGTAGGTAAAGATCCAAAACTATTCCATCCTTGGTGCGCTTCGGCTGATCCCAAGGTCATGGCAAAACCCTTTTAAACTCAAAAATCCAATCAATCGACTTGAATTTCCATCATTTTCGCACACAAAAAACCCTTAGCAACCCGGGGGACTTTTGAGGCCTGCGTATTACCCGCCGCCGGAGTATGGAGGCGCGCCGGAATCTTCATGGGAATTTGGTGGATTTGATGATTTAATCTGGAAGAAATTGTGGAATTTAGCCTTCCAAAATGATCCAACATGTGGATTACCCCATCCAGGGAAGGGATTTTACTAATTTATAGTAGAATTTCAGGTGTGTCTGAAATTTGAGGATACCACTCAAAATTTTAGTTTGTGTAGGGACAATGCAGATCAACCATGATCAACAACTGGATTTAAGCACTTTATTTTCTGACAAACCCAGATTGCAGATCAACAAATCAACAAATCAATAATCTATATATTTTATTATCATGAAGAGAATGTTAAGAAACACTATCCGAACAAACAAATTAAGATCGAACATTACTGTACGTTGATGTATATTATCATGTGTTGCATAATGTGGCATATTGTAGTGTATTTCTATGGATATTTGCAGTTCATCATCTTCAATTCATCTTCATTTTTTTGAACGCTGTCATCATTGAACACCACGCATTTTGAATGTCAATGACCCACCAAAAAAAATGCCATCGAAAATCCCCCAGTGGATCCACTGTTTTTTTTCCTTTACCATCCAATGACCACCAGGAGCACCTGGAGCACCTGGCGCACCTGGCGGGCCTGGCGGACCGCCCCGTGAGCCTCCCACGCCAACGAGCTACCCAGGGTGCCTTGGGAGGAGAAGTCCGGAGGATTTGCTGATAATTTTTGTTTTTAAGTCTCCCATTGGTTAATTAATCATGATTAATCCATCATTTGGGGAATCTACTGTTTTTTTTTGTGTGTGTTTGGGATTTCTTATAAATAATTCATAATAATTCCAAATATTTGATTACTAGCACATGTTTTTCTATAAATGGGGGTATGTACGAACCACCCCCCCCAAACAATGCAGGATATCCAACATTGCCCATGGCGAGGATAGTTTTCATTACGTCCAATTTTTCACGAGCCATTGATGGAAGAAGATGGAAAAGTAAGCTAACACCGGGAGATTGTTGGGCATGAGATTCTTTGGTACCCCGACGTGTAGATAGTCTTGCAGGAGATTTGAAGTTTGCACTCTACATGAAATCTATCAGCAGAAACCTACAACTAACATGATTACTGCTTAGACTGGGGTTCTTGTCAAACCTGCATCAGGAATTGGTGTCCTACAAACCCACGAAGAGATGATATCGGATGACTATGTTTTTTTTTTGTGTTTCCAAACTTTTGGCACTCCCTAAGTACTCGTACACTTCCAAGCTCTTCGAATTTCAGCGCTTCAAAAAGAACCGCTTTGGATCCCCTCTCCCAATGGCGGGCACAGCTGCGGATCAGGCCTCCACCTGAAAGGCAAAGAAGTGCTGGCCGCCGGAGGTGGGTGAAATGATCCCATTGATGATGTTTTTGTTGGGAAAACCAATGGTTGTGAAATGTTGCCAATGGTTGCTGGAGCTTTCCATATTATATATATTTATATATTTGTTGCATCATTTTCCAAGTGTAATTTCTATCTAATGTTTGTTGTTTGGAGCCTTGTATTTGGGTAAAGAATGGTAAATATATCTTTTTCATACCCTCCGGTGTCATCAAGCTATTTGTCCTAATTATGATTTTCCCATTATTCACCATAGCTATAGGGGCCTCATATCCCAACTTATGGGGTTTAAATCCCATGGTTGGAACCACTATTAAGAATTATTAACCATTATTAACATCATTATTAACCATTACTTTCCTAGCCATTACATATTACTAACATCATTAATCCCATGGTTGTAACCATTATAGATGCCCATTGATCGAGGCGAAATATCAGCCAGGCGCCGTCGTTCCAGCTCTCCCTCGCGCTCGCGGCGCCGACATTGAAGCGGAGTGCTTGACAGGTCCCGTTGGGTTGAACTATCGGGGTTACCGGGTTACCATTTATGAATGGGGTTATCAACCATTGGTGGGTCACCCCATGGTGGGTAGTTGGACCTAGTTGGAATATTCACCAATGGGGTTATAACCATGTTGGGTTTGTCTATATAGTTATCGGGGTTATCAACCATTGGTGGGTTAACTATAACCATTTATGAATGGTGAATTATATGTTGGGTTATATAACTATTATATAATTCATCACCGTTAATGGTAATAAACAAGGTAACGCCGCCCGCAAAGACGCGGGCTCTTTTTAACCCATCCTTCTCGGATGTGCTCCAAGACATGTGACACAGCTGTCCAAAGGTTTTTGCCATTGTTGTATCTGTATTGCCAGCTGTAAGTCCACTGCCAAAGACCTTACACGAACGTTAACATCACCCCACCCATCCCCAGACCCAAACCCAAGCAACGTGATCAACGTAGTGTGCAGAAAGCGTGCAAGGTAACACGTAATTTAACATCACCCCACCCATCCCCATACCCAACCCAAGCAACTTGATCAACGTAGTGTGCAGAAAGCTTGCAAGGTAACACATAATTTAACATCACCCCACCCATCCCCATACCCAACCCAAGCAACTTGATCAACGTAGTGTGCAGAAAGCTTGCAAGGTAACACGTAATTTAACATCACCCCACCCATCCCCATACCCAACCCAAGCAACGTGATCAACGTAGTGTGCAGAAAGCGTGCAAGGTAACACGTAATTTAACATCACCCCACCCATCCCCATACCCAACCCAAGCAACGTGAACGACTTAGTGTGCAGAAAGCGTGCAAGGTAACACCAACGTCAACATCACCCCACCCATCCCCATACCCAACCCAAGCAACGTGATCAACGTAGTGTGCAGAAAGCGTGCAAGGTAACACGTAATTTAACATCACCCCACCCATCCCCATACCCAACCCAAGCAACGTGAACGACTTAGTGTGCAGAAAGCGTGCAAGGTAACACCAACGTCAACATCACCCCACCCATCCCCATACCCAACCCAAGCAACGTGATCAACGTAGTGTGCAGAAAGCGTGCAAGGTAACACGTAATTTAACATCACCCCACCCATCCCCATACCCAACCCAAGCAACGTGAACGACTTTGTGTGCGGAAAGCGTGCAAGTTAATACGCACGTTAACATCACCCCATCCATCTGAAAGGTAACACATAATTCAACATCACCCGACCCAGACCCATACCCACAAGAAACATCGGACGTTAAACGTCCCCGCGTCTTTATGGGCGGTGTTAGCAGCTAACTGTTAGCATAAACAACATTAAATTAAACAACTATGATGGTTATAATAGTGATGGGTTAACTATAGTATGGAATCTCTATCATATAATATAGTATAAACATTATCAGGTTTAATCATGGTTAGTATGGGTTGACGTTGATGGTTAACAATTGAGTTGGGGTAGTAAATAGCTATCCAGCGGTTAGCGGGGGCTAAGGAGCTCTGGGTCTCCATATTGCGGATTAATTCAGGAGCTAAGAATTTCCCAATCGCATGATAGACAGCTATAAGCATGGTGATAACTTCCATAAGTTGGGATATAACCCCGCCTATCGCATCCAACCATGGTTATGTAATGTTACCTATATATATATATATACGTATATATACACATACTTACAACATCTTGCAACTGGAACTGGACTTGGGAGTAGATGGCAACGGTGGCTTATAGCTAGGCTACCTGGGATTTATGGTTGATATATCGAACTAGTTTGATGGGGTACTGTACCAAGCTTGGACATTTACCAACAAGTTTTCAGCGGTAGTGGTACCTAAAATCATGGAAACATTGAACAACAGGGTCATATTTAGCAGACTTGGGCATCACACTTGGAGAAAGTTGAAATCCACAAAGTTCCATCTGAAGGCATGCAGTGTTTCGTCATGGCCACAGCCTGCCCTTTCTGGGTGATTGCTGTTGGAAGGTTTAGTAAGGGTACTGTAGAGGATGTTGATGGACAGGGGTTCTTTTTTTGCTGACTGCGAATTCTTGGAATTAGCAGAACCAGAAAGTATCCCATCTGATCCATAAACTTGCTGGAAATCATACATATCCTATAAATATCCCATAGATATCCCATAAATTTCATATAACTGTCCCATAAATATTACATAACTATCCCATAATCAAGATTGTATCCACCATCATTATGATGTTCCCCCAAGTTCCTCATCGTTGCCAGGGTCCAAGATGTGGTGAAACTTATGACAGCTGGATGTGAAACGCGGTGGATGGGAACGGTCACACGTTGATAAAAAGGAAGATGCGATAGCTGGGCAAAGGTTTCTTGTGCTGTTAACAAAGGGTTGACAACCGGAACTCTTTTTATAAAACCGGTTTTAAGAGTTATTTTTTAATCACCTTTTTTGAGTTGATTCATGGTCCAATTAGTGAACCGGGGTATATTAAGTCAAGGGCGAAGTTACACAGTGTTTGGAAGTTGCTGCCAGCTTTATGAAGTCGGGGGTTGAAGTACTTCTTTAACCATACACGGTATTTCTGCATCGCAGCTGCTTAGTGCAAATGTAGCCTCTGCGCACAAATAGCGCGAGTAAACCCAAGGTGTAAGCCAACCCCATTTAATTTTGCCAATTGGCGGGTATTAAAGACTGTACCCCAAAAAGGGGTTTGTCGTTATTGGGTTCATTACATTACTATTCACCCATTATCCAAGGCCGTTTTTTTTGGTTCAACAGCTGCTCCAAAAACAAACAGGTCATCAAGTACCATGCGAAGGAGACGCAGCTGACAAGCTCTTCTTGGTTCCTTTTGTCGAAAAACCAGACATGCAGCCAGCTTCCTGAAAGCACAGGCTTCCGTCGCAACATCGCAGTGGTTCATGAGCAGATAAGCACAACAGATTCCAACTGGATTTGTCCAAAAATTGGTGATATCCATGGGATATCCCAATTCATCGCCATTTGATCAGAGAAATGATGAAGACCATATGATCAACTATGATATTTTGTAGCCTATTCTTCAGCAAACCACACTCTCAGAGTGACCTTCGGGAGCTCCCAACGTGCAGCATGTGGAGAGTAGCCTGTGTGATTGCGTTCTTCGGAGTGCAAGACTCAGAGTGCTGATGAATGGCTCGGGCCCGGTTTCATGCAGGCTTTGGATATCTTTGGATTAATGTTAGTAAATCAACAGTAAACCACCCTCAATTTCATCATAAATTGGTGGTAGAACCGTAGAACATGGTAGAACCATCAAAATATGGGTGGTTTATGACATTACTTTGCTAAGATTATTGCAGTGGTCCATTGTCCCCAATTTCGGGAGGTTTTAGCAGCCTTGCTGCGACCAGCCTCAAGAGAGAGGAACGTGCCACGTGACGCTGTTGAAATCAGACGCCCCTTCTAGACGTGGAACTTGGTGGAACATGGTGGAACGGCCCCTGGATGGCCAAAAAGCTGAGTAATTAGCTCACAATTACCCTCTGGTTATTTAACATAGCCATGGAAGCCATGGCCCATAGAAATAGATGATTTTCCCAGCTATAAACCTCCATTTATGGTTGGGATTTTCCATAGCTATGTTAAATAACCAGATGGTAAAGGATATTAAAGGTATGATCTTCAGGAATGATTCCAGAAGCCCCTGGACCGCTTCCAAAAACCTTGGTCACCTGGATATTAAAAGCACGTCGCGAACGGCAGTGACTGGAGAGTTTGGTTATGGGTGTACCCTAAAATAGATGAAGTGAATGGATGGTTATTCCCATGTATCACCATTGATCATTGATTACACCATTGATGGTTATTCCATGTTATTCCCTGAAAATTCTGGCCACAATGGCTATGCCATGGCTTTTGCCACATCCCATGAAGGAAGATCCCTTCGGCTCGGGCAGTACACCAACTTGTCCATAGCGCCATAGAAGCCATGGCCATAGAAATAGTGGATTTTTCCCATTTAAACATGGTGTTTTTCCATAGTTATGTTAGTTTACCAGAGGGTAAACTTGTTTTTCAAGACACAACATCACATGATATGGCTTGAGATCCATGCGATGATGTGTTTTTCACTGTCATGTTTAGCGGTATCCGGTATCGATGCGCAATTCCCAAGCCAGTGTGTCCAGAGGACCGATGCTACTCCGAAGAAAGACCCGACCAGCGAGGCCTCAAATTTTCATGGTCATCAATATACCCCAAAATTTGATGGTTGATTAATTATCATTTTCCCAGTAGGAACAGCCACTTGAACGGTATATCATATCCCCCATACAAACGTCATCATGACCCAGGGTGGCATCTTTGATTGTCAGTTCCATGGGGAAAAGTGCGACCCTGTGAAATCTTCTTCTCCAGGGACTTTAAATCTCACGAAGGTTGGGGTTTTGTTTGACAATGTCTTTAGGGTCCGATATGGTCCGATCAAAACACTGGAAACTTCCAACCTCCCTTGGTTCGAAGGCAGCAAAGATAGGCGGGGGGGGGCACTGTGGAGCTGGTGTGAAACTCTGGCGACGCAAGGAAATGCTCAAGTAAATTGTAGCAGACTGGTGGGAATACTGTATAAATCTATATTAATCTATATAAAAATTAGAAAAACATTATTATATAAACTCCAATGATTTCTGGATTACCCAACAGATTGAACCCACCGCGCGCTGATCCCGAGTTCGTGTCCAAAAGACAACCCAGTGAAGCTGCGGCTATCACTATGGTGATCTATGGTGTATCATCATTTTTCCCACCAACACATCTGGTACAGCCAGCCATCGTGGGGTATCCCATCACCAGGCCCCGAAGCGCCATATCCCCGCTTGGCGGCTGAAGATCGACGTCCAGGGGTCAGCTGGGCTCAGCGTGACCGAAGCCTGGAATCATGGTGAATGTATATGGGAGTATAGGGGAATCATCCCCAAATGGCCGAACATTTTGAGGTCATTGATATATATTGAAAAATACATTTAAAAAAATGCTATATTTGAAAGATTATGGTTGAGTAGTTGTTTAATTCCTGTCATTTTTGGGGGTTTAAACTTGGGGTCTTAGTTTGAAAGTATCCAGGTAGTATAAACACTCATAAATACTTTTTGGGCCAAACTGACCCAAAACTGTGGCTAAAGGGATGGTAAAACCTCCGGCAGAAGGGCCGGCGCAACTCAAGAAACCCGATTTCTTGGGTTTTGTGGCCGGCAAACTTAGCGGCAGAACCTGTGGTTAACTCTGTGGGAACGAAAAGCCATGGCATTTGTGCCGGCAAGTCGTATGGCAGAGCATCCGAATCAGTGATGGACAAGCAAAATTAGGGGCAAATGTGCCGGCAAGAGGCCCGGCAAAGCGCGCGAACTAGCTCTGGCCAAGTCAAATACACGGACATTTTCAACGGCAAATGTGTTCAATGCAAAAGATGAAAGTTGGTACATGTTGGTACGTTTCAATGTGGAAAAGCTGAACAATGAAAATCTCTATTGCATCCCCCTCTGCATGGGGTCCCAGCAAAAAAAGATCTGCTACTCCACCAGGGAAGCAATCTTATTATATCTTATTGGTGTTTTTTTCCATGAGCTGACTTGCACAATGTCCGGGCATTTGCAAAAACCGCTTCTTTGACTTTGATTGCCGCAACCTTGGCAAACGCCTGGCAAGAACCTTGCACAATCCTAGCAATAGATTGAAGGGTGAGTCGGGAGCAGGAAGCTTGTTGGCGGAAACCCGGCAAAACCCGGCGGAACTGAACTGGCAAAGCCTGGAACCCAGCGGAACCTAGCGGCACCCGGCGGAGCGGCAGAACCCAGCGGAACCCGGCGGAACCCGGCGGAAACCTGGCGGAAACCTGGCGGAACCTGGCGGAAAAAAAGTAAGTTGAAGGGGGGGGTGGTTGGGAGTATAAACCATGCCAAAAATTATACTCCCAACCACCCCCCCCTTCAACTTACTTTTTTTCCGCCGGATTCCGCCAGGTTTCCGCCAGGTTTCCGCCGGGTTTCCGCCAGGTTCCGCCGGGTTCCGCCAGGTTTCGCCGGGTTTTGGTAGGTTCCTGGCGGGTTTCCACCAGCCTCGGGCTTCTGCAAGGTTAGCACGAAGCCGTCAGGTTTGCGTCAAGTTCTTATTCCCAAGTTTCTGCCAAGCCCCCACCGTCTCCAGCGCAAGACCCGTCACAACTAGTCACAATTTAAGCGTTCTTTTTCCAAAACAGTTTTCAGCTGAATTGTCAGCTCAGCACTGATTGCCTGAGGGGCGGCGGCTGCTTGAGCAGCTTTGCTCTGAAATCAAGGTCCACGCAACCAACTTGTCCAGTCCAATGCGCGGCGCTGGACGCTGGAGACCTTTAACCGTCAGCTTGGCAGGCGCTAAGAGCGATAATGAAAAGCCGGTACGCACCTGGTGTCTTGAAGTAATGCCGGGCGCATTCCAACTTGGAAGCAAATAATGGTAAATAATTTATGGTGGTGCCAGGTTGTGCCTTTTGAGGCAACATTTCTACTCGTTTGCTGCTCTTTTTTGCCTCGCATTTTTGCTAACTTGACCGGCACGTTGCCGCCTAGTTTGCCGGGGGTTCGGCCGCCTGCTTGGCCAGGGCCGAAACCACGATTTTCATCTTGTTTCTGGGGAGTGTTTATACTCCCAGGCTTACTCCAAGTCTTAGTTGTGTAATAATGTCCATGTTGGACATCGACATCCACGTTTTGCAAGCTGGACCTCGAAAGTCATGCCTGGTTTCCCTAACGTGGGCAGGCTCCAATTTGGACTTCGGTTGAGTTAGCGAAACACAGCGGCCTTGACAGAACTAGGTGGGCCTGTCAGGGACTGCTTCGTTGTTTCCAGTTGTTTCCAGTATCTTCCAGTCGGGTGGCGAAAGGATGGTGAATGGATGGTGAATTGGCCGAGTTCTGAGTGAGGTATGAATTGATTATTGAATTGATGGGTTTTCTTGTCAGGAGTTACCCTCTGGTAAATAAACATAGGCCCTGAAAATCATCAATTTATAGAGGCACCTAGTCTTCCAACCCCTATCTGGCAGGGTCTATGTTAATTTACCAGAGGGTAGTGGATGAATTTTTGGGATGTCAGATGTACTCAAAGGGATGTGACCAGCTGTGCAAGATTGCGGAGCATGAGCATGCTTTCTTGAGAGTTATCCTCTGGGACTCAAACATGCCAATGGAAAATGGTGTTTATATGTGAAACAAAAAGAAAATCCATGGAACATCCACATATAGATGGTGTTTATATGTGAAAACACAATAAAAAAAACATCTAATTATAAATGGAGGATTTTCCAGCACGCAATGTTTGATTACCCCCGTACATCCATTGCCAAGTAATGGAGGATCAGTATCTTCTAAACCTCTGCATCTTGGGGCGTACCCATTGTTTGACAAACCCATCACCACACGACTAATGTTTCTATTTGGGCCAGGCCTTTACTTCTAGCTATCGTGGGAGAGGTCTATGATGTGGGCCCTGGAGAGAGGCACAGCCGTAGTGGCAGTTGGGTCCCAGGTTTCATCCCACAATGGCAATTTTTGTAGCCCATATCAATGGTTTCCATAGAATTAAGATATATATATATATATACGGTTTCAATAATTACCTGTTCTCTTTTTTAACAATCAATTTCATCCTTTTGACTATGGATGCAATGCAGCTGCCTTGGTTCTTTGGGAATATCGCAAGGATCATGTTTGTCAATGGAGGGATGATGGTGCACAGGAAATCTGCCAATCATCCATTTTGTTACCTGGAAACAGATAGTCTTGAAAAGCACAGCACCGGTGGTCAGCCAAATGCTCATTTCAAGAGAATACAAAATCTGGAACTGCTCTCATTCTTGGTGCAGGGCTAATGGATATCACCGTGGTAATTTTTGTGTTGGGATCTCCACTGAAACGGCAGGCACTATGGCCCCAACTCCGGCTATCACGGTATGGCTGGCAAGGAGCCCATGCTGCCACTGCCGCTGTGCAGATCGCTTCAAACAGTGCCGCTTCTTTGAGGATGCGAGCAGATCGTTCACCACAGGGAACTTCAAGGATGATGCGGTGCCAGGCAGGTGGACATCATTTAAGGACAATGCATACAGAAAATTATTGAATATAATATATATATAATATATGTATAATTATATATATATATATATAATAATCTAATTATATAATTATATATGATTATATAATAACTAATAATAATAACTTATAATAGTTTGTTTCCATATCCATTTTCAATTTGGATTTGATCCACAACAAAGTGTATGAATCTGTAAGAACTGAAATGGCTCACATCCCTGCGAAGGCTTGCAGGACCTCTCACCAGAGCAATTGCAAGATGTTATCAGTTTGGGGCCACAGTTGAAGCGATGAAGCCAGGGGAAAGGTTGACATGGGCTGCATTGGAAATCTGTTGGAGGGTATGGAGACTTGACAGAGGGACAGGTGACCCAGGTGGATGGAAGCAAGAAAGTTTACTACCGTTTTGCAACAGATCTTGATATTGTATTCCAACTCAAAACCCATCAGCAAAGCGATGGCCGATGAGCGAAGTCAAACATAGTCAAACTATGTCAAGACTACTCATGCCCAGTTTTGATCTGATAGGCAAACAGTCTCATAATTCTCATAGTATAGCCCTGCAGATGGTTTGCTCCATTGTATGTTGGGTTCGGCTGGTGTGCCAGCCTTGGTTTATCGTTGGATTAATTTAGAGACCTGTGCCGGCACAAGTTTCGCAAACACTGGCAGGTTGGAGGTCCTTTTACCGCAAGCACGAGCAGTATCGCTTCGTTGGCCATGCGCTTAAAGGACTTGATCAATGGAGGTGGAGGATGGATAGTTGAACCATCATGAATCCCTTGACGTGGTCTTGACGTGGTGATCCCGGCGCTTCATGCAGAAAATTCGCGCCTGCAAGGCAATACGGCTGTGACTGGTTCAAAAGTATCGACCAGGGTAAGAAAAGAATGACGAACGTGTGGGTCAACTGGTACAATTTTGGCACCCTATTTTCAAGCCATAGAAAATCGTACGAGCAACAAACTGAAAGTATGCCACAGGAGTTTGTGAGAGCCAGTGTAAGTAGTACACATATATTATACACATATAATATCATATTGTCATATAGTACACATCGTGAGAGCTGCATTTGGATACATTTTCCGCACCCAAGGCTTTCTTGACGGCGTCTACTACAACAAGGACCAGGGCCCGGCGCATCAGGGGTTCCAACTCCATGGAAGCCAAACATGTCATTCTTCATTCATTAATTAGGAACTTTATCCTCTAAACTGTTTAAAATATACTTAAAATTAATATACACTTTGGATATCTTTGGATGGGGTCCCTGTTCGTTTTCAAGAAGATATGGCTTCAGCTTTTGTTGCAACGCGTGCCCATTGCGCCCGGGCAGAGGAGGGGCATCCGACCAAAGCTCTGAAGAAGTTGGAGGCTTGGGATCATTGGGATCCATTGGGGTCCATTGGATCCATGCAGAAATGTGGGCTGATCATATTTCAGGATGGCATAGATTACCAGGGGGCCTGTTGAAATAACAATTTTCCAGAAAGCGGTGGCAGAAAAACACCTTGGAATTCCGGTATAACATCATATGTGATTATGTTATCCATTGTCCATGCCTCCTGTCACAGTGTTTTGTTTCTTTTGACCCCAGTTTGGCCGCTAAAACCCCCAGTCACAGAGTGTATGTGTGTGCCACACTTATAGACTAGACTTAGATAATATATTGATACGTAATTATATATAGTATATATATATATGAATACAAGGTCACACATTATGAAACGGTTGCAACATGTATCCTCTTGATCCCTTTGTTGGTTTTCATGGTACATACGGCAACATTCCACAACCACACAATGCCATGCAGCTCTTTTTTGTGGCCAGGCCATTGACGATAAGACACAGAAGCAGCAGAAGGCGCGGTAATATGAGAAACCCCAAATGCCATGCTGATATATGCAATATAACTACAGTATTTACAGAGTTTTGTTCTGATTGTTTTTTCCACATGGATTGTATATCTACAGTACCCATTATAAATTGCCACATTAAGTGGGCGCATATGCTCCATATCAATGGTATACGGCAAAAACTGGTATTGTTTACATCGAATGGTTCATGTTCGGGGTACTGTACCTGTTGGTGAATCTATGAAATTGGGATACCAGATAAGCTGCGGAATTTGGGAGGGGTTCAACAGGCAGACATGGGGATGACAATCACGGTCAAAAAATCTTGGGACTGATCCCATAAACAATGGAGCCTTCACCTATAAACATGAAGGGTTTCACCAACCAGCAGGTGGATTAACGCGGCAAGACTTGGGACACAAAGGGTATCGAGTAATAGTCAATATGGGCGCCATGGGAGTCGAAAACATTGGTGCTCTCTTGCAGCGCATTTACAAGAAGAATCTCAGCCATACTAAATTTCTGCCAGACTTTTGAGATGTTCATAGACCTGGCAGACATGAACTATCCTCATATCCCGGACCTGGATGATGAGACATGATGGGACAACTTACCCCGGCAAGACTCCCAGATGGTGACCCAGCATCTCTGAGGTGCAGCAAGAATTGCGAAGTCGCTTCAAGGCGCCTTAGTCAGTCAAGCCATGTCAAGCCTCATAGACCTACCACGGTACGTGCTGGACCTGTGATTTTGTCAGACGCCAGGGCTGCAACAGCAGGACAAGCCAGGTGCGGAAAGTGGGATGGGAATGACCTCTCCATGGTGCCACCTTGGATGTATCAGCTGGTGCAGGATTTCTTCCATCCACTGAATATAATCACCAAAGAGACTGAGCAATCCATCCAGAGTCATCCGACTCCTTGGCTTTGGCTTCTTATCTCCATTTTGGAGGACAAGCCAGAGTCCGAAATTTGGTGCGATGACAGCTATCACGGGAAAGGACCAGACGACATCGGACATGAAGCTGGGTTGCTAGCAAGTGTTTGAATCATTAAGATATCACAAGATTTGGAACTGCAACAAGAACCTGATCAACATCCATACCATCCTAGGAAATGGAGAGTATTCAATGTGTGGTTTGGGGTTCTCATGTAGGTGAACAGCGGTGAACATGTATCATACGTCTGTGGCAGTCCCCAATTCCGGACTCGACATGCACGGCATCCCATAGCCACAACCTGACTTTCAGATCGCTTCAGCATCAACACTCGGCAAGTTTTACCATCAAGAGGCACAGACCAGATGACAAGCGGAATAGAATAGAAATATAAAAGGTATTCAAACGATTTCAAAAGTGCTTCTCCATGTTGAAGTGCTTATCCATTTGGGACAGCAGTTGGGGTATCTGGAGATATAGGTTTCTGTCACATCTCTGGCATCTCCTTTTTTTCAAACACGAGGAACTCGTCCAGTCTTCCTTTCTGCCAACATGGTGGAGATTTCGAAGGTCTCGGTGTCAAATGGGCCAATCACCTGAATGGAATGATGGTGATATTGGAAGTGGAATCATCCCCAAAGGGCCGTGGGCGATATTTCTGATTTTTGTGAAATATGGGAATCACCCAGAATTTAATCCTTCCAAACGATTGACTACGATGACTAACACTCTTAGAACACCATGATAACACAACTGGAAAACCATAAGAAGTACGAAAACCATGATAACATTTTGTTTGATTACCTATGAAACTCATGATAACACTAGAAACTACTGTATGATAAACCAACTTAGGTTTTACTTTTTCGGGACCAATTGAGGATGCTACACACTTGGCAGGAAGATTCCTGGTGTGCCTGTCTAAGCGACGCGCAGATGACTACAGCTTTAGAAAAACCGGACTGCGATGGGACCGTGGAGGGTGAAGAAACTATTGGAATCCATAATCTATGAAATGATATGATATGATTTGATTTCAATATTGGACTATTAGACACTATTAGAATCTATTAGATAATATTAGATGATATTAGATAATATCAATATACTATTAATAATACCAGATATATAGGTACTATATTATGGTTCCACAATGGGAATATATTTCAATATTGGAATCATCCATTGAAAACAGGTTTTTGCCATGTGAAGGACCAAGGTTCCAAGGCTCACGGCCCAGGCCTTGGCATTTTTACGATGGATGGGGGATCGATCGTCGTCACAACATGGTCGTTCATGAGTCATTCATGGCTTGGATGATTTGGGGGCCCATGACTTAGGAAACCTCCAAATATATAATATGTTTATATAACTAATAACTAATAGATATAATTATATATATATGTGTATGTATGTATTGGGTTCCTCTTTTGGATTGATGTTTCCAGATCAACGAATTCATTGGAGATGGATTGAAAACCTGACTTGCAAATGCTCCTGCGAGTGGGTATTTCATGGCTACCTAGTCTGCATGTGGCCAGTAGGACGATAGGATCTGTATCCGGGGCTTTCCACATAGCTTCCAAGTGCTGGACCGCAGGATCCAAAGATTAAGATCAGGCCGGCTCGTAGCTGATTCAGCAGATCTTTTTTGAAAGTGAAATCCCAACTGGATAAAGATGTTCTTTTAAAGGTAGTGAGAACGAAGGGAGAACATCGGAGAACATCCAAGGGGAGAACATCTAACTGAACCTTCAATGCTAGTCCAAATAGTGGGGAACCCCTAAACGCATTTTCTTCATGAATTCCCCAAGATGGTGAGGCACCGTAGATGCATAGATGTCAGGTTAGCAGAGTATCCTGAATGTGCTGGGAAGTCTATTCCTCAGATGGGCATCAAGCCTGAAGTATGCTAGCATAGATACATTACCTAACATGGACAGTCCATGGCCGCCATGTGTAGAATTCTGTAGATATCACTATCACTTTGCCTTAAAACCATGGATTTTCCATGTTTCTTTTTCTCCATCCGGCAGGTGAGGGTCTCTAGATTTTAACAAAGGTGCAACTCTTCCTCCTCCTCCTCGTCTTCTTCTTCTTCTTCCGCATCCTCGCCCTCCTTCGTCTTGTCCTCGTCCTCCTATTCCTCCTCCTCGCTTGCTGCACTTGCTGCACTCGCTCGCATATTACCAGGTTTCAGGTGTTGTGGAGTGTGCCTGGCGACTGCCATATCGCGAGCTCAAGAGTATGTCAGAGAGAATGCCAGAATAGATGCCAGATAGAATGCCAGAAAGAATGTCAGATAGAACGTCAGAGTATATGCCAGAATGTCAGGTAGCATGTCAAAATATATACCATATACTTCAGACATCTTCAGATGGTATGTCAGAAACTATGTCAGGGTAGGGTCACTCGAAGTAAAGTAATTCAGTCCCCGGATCCACCACCCCGCTGCTAAGGCAGAGATGCTTTCGGCCAAAGGGAGCGAAGTCCCCGTTGGTTGCGAGATGAAAAAAAAAACCGATGCGATTGCAATGACAGCATGGGCTGTGATGTGGGTGGAACAAGATGTCAAGGAGCCAACTCGATATAACTCGATCCCATCCCCCTCATAGAAATAGCCAGCAATATCCCCCTATATGGCCACCAAAATGAAACAGACCTCAGACACCCCACCACGCTTTCCAGCTCTATCTAGTTTTTTTCGGACATTTTCAGGGTTTTCCCTCAATCACATGTTGCCAACTTCGTTCTATCTCTTTTTTGGGAGAGTTTAAAACAAAAAACATGTTTTCTCAGCTGAATTGGCTCACCAAAAGGGGCCCCATGGAACCTTCAAGGCGCCCAAGACGGGGCTTGGAGACGCTGGAGGGCCGATCTGTCAGATATTTTATAGTGATATAATTAATGTGATATATATATATATATTATATATATATATATATATCAGCTATTATCATTATTATTGTTATTGTTATTATGATTATTGTTATGATGATTATTATTATTGTTATATATATATATATATGCACCCCCCCAAAAGGATGGATTGTCGTAAGAATATGATTCTAAAATGGTAATGTATTTTTTTGGGTTTTGTCTGAAAATTGAGGGGAAAAACCCGAAATCCAAGGATTATTTTTCCAATTTTTCAAAGCCATTTGGGAGGTATACCCCACTTTAGACACACCTATGTAAAGAAATTGGCGGGAAAATATCAATCAGTAAGGGGTACGGGTACTGTAATACAATGTAATACATTTTTACATTTTGCCGATACTAGTAGTATATAGAGGGACATTTGGGGAGACCATTTTTTGTCTCTGGGTGATAGGTAAGAAACACGTGTTCTCGAGGGGGGAATCTACATCCATCAGCATCAGCCTGATGTGAAAACCATGGTGACGGTCAGCCACATTTTTTTTGTCAACTGGGAGTTGGCAGCTCATCTGCATTCTTGTTTGGCCAATCCGCTTTTTTTTGGGCAATCCCCCATGGATCTTTATCTTTCTCACGTCAATCGTCCTGTTTGTTTCAGTTTGAATCTCCCATTGATCCCGTTGCTTGAATTTCCAAGGATATCCCCTATTCTCTTTTGCCAATTCTTTCATGTTTGTCGGCATTATGTGCGTTGATCCCCTGCTTTGTTGGCGCCAAATTCTGTATCTGGAGGGCGAATCACAATTTCTTAAACAATCACCATGTTTCAACTTCATCTGTTTCAACATGTTTCAACTTCATCTGTTTCAACATGTTTCAACCGGTCAACTCCACCAATGCCAAACTTTGAAGCTCATGCCACAGGAACCTGAAGGTCGTCACCAAGCGCATTGTGGAACTGGGCAGATCCAAGCAGTACCTGGGATCAAAATGGATCATCCAGGGATCCCCAAGGGCGAAGAACATATACATCATATACGCTGGGCTGAGTGATCAATTTGAGGGGGCTCAACACTGCTATGCTCAGGTCATATGGGGATGGATCTCAGCTATTTTGCTGCAGGATACTGATTAGGTCTTGACAGCCAGATGTAAAGCTCATTTTTGGGTGAAAACTACGAGGTTCGTATGGAGAAAACTTGAAACTGAAGCATAGGCATGAAACGCTTGATTTTTATGGTATTTGAAATTTGGTATAGTTAGCAGTCACCAGTTGGTTTCTCCCGTCACCATCAATCAATGTCAGTTGTCTAGTTTGCCAATAAACCCACAATAAACCCAGCCAATGGATGTACCGTCAAAGTCATGAGAATGACCCATATAGCCCACACATGATAGTCATCATGAAGCATTTTTATATTACGGTCATATCCGCTAATATCATCTAATATCCATCATGAATCCCCAGAATATCTCAGTGAAACCCAAGGACATCCCCATGTCATTGGATCGGTTTACAGGAAAATTTACAGGAAACCCCCATATTTAATGGTAAAGACCATGGTTTCCTGTAGATTTTCCCTAAAATCAATCCAATGACCATGATATCACCACTAAAACCTCCCATGGACTTCTTCAAGGTGGATCGCTGCATTGGACCTGCTTCACCGTCAGGGGGAAAAGGCCAATGCCTTTCTCTTCAGTGCAGCCATCAGTGCCGTGGACACCGGGGAGCGGGGGACAACCGAGGGTTCCAAAGGAGCATGTTTTGGACTGCAGGAAGCATGGTGTAATTTTCATGAGTATTCATAGTGATTGTGATTCTACTCTTCCAACCTTGGATTGTTCCTCTGAGGGGTTGAATAAACAAAGAAATCCTTTCAAAAATAAATGTTTGAGGTTTTGAGCAACACAGTGATACCCAGACATCCCAAACTCTGGTACCAAGTAGGGAAGAAGACAGGAGCACCCATGCCCATGTCGTTTCCCAAATCCGGCATCGTTGTACCCCCTTTTCGAGATGGCGAAAGAAAGCATATGATATGAAGCCATGCTGGCCCTCAGGTGTTTGCGAGCGGAACAGAGAATGGCAACACGCCCTTCAACTACTGGCAGACTCTTGGTATAGACAGCTCTCTAAAAAACTTTCATCATTTTCATCTCTTAGCGTATCAGATTATCCTTCAAGTGGCAATGCCAGTCGTTGGACTTGTTTTTTATGAAGTCAACTGGGGCTTCGTAAGTCATGGGTTTGTGCCGCCAAGGACATGCCTCAGCACGATCCTCAGCGAAATCCAAATCACTTACGTGAATTACGTTTTTGCCATCAGTCAAAGCAGGTTTTCTCCAATTCAACCATATAATATCATATATATATAATACTGTACTATAATAATACTAGGATTATATATGTATCCATACATATATATATATATATATCAGATATTATCAGATATTATCAGATGATATGATCCAAACCAATCCATATCCATTCATTGCTTTCATCCCTGGGATTGCTCCGCCCGTGGAGGCATGGCATCGTGGCAGACGTGGTGTGCTACGGCGCCGCCGCAAGTGCCTGCGAAAAGGGACAGCGCTGGAGCCATGCCCTGCAACTTCTGGCAGCTCCTAGGCTGAGTTGGACAAAGAACCACAATGGCTACAACTTTGAGGTGGTAAAACATGGGAAAATCATCACATATAATTTTATAATATTTTATATATACACATTATGTATGTATATATATATATGATAATGGAAAATCTATGAACATATTGCATACTTGTAGGTGTCACTGAGACAGTCAGCACAAGGAAAAAAACTAGACCAGCTGCTAATATTGGAAAGATGTTGAAGCACAATGGTGATTTTGCAGAGGCCGCCTGGTACATCAGCTGAAATAATGGAGATACAAGGGGACATAATGGAATCATAATGGTATATAATGGTATATATATAAATAATAAAAGCCAACAATAAGATATTTGGATCTGTTTGAACATAGGGGATACCGCAATTACAAGGAACGCAATTATTTCCAATGGATGTGTGGGTACCTATCTCAAACAAATCAATGTGATTAAGCCAATGATGCCTCGATCTTCATTAGAAACCATTTGTCATAAACGTCACATCCGGTACCATCCCCAATAGGTAATACACCACATAGAATACATGATTATTTATTAGCAGCTGCATATTAAACCAGCACTGGGGACGGTTTACTATTGGATTATTTTTGGTACTTTATCACCACTAAAACCTTGAAGCATTGCAGGTTTTTCAAAGGAGGAAAGGGGAGAACAGGTGCAGGTGACTGTACTTCCAGGACGAAAAGGTATGAACTACTATCAAAGATGATGGGGGTTGAAGAGGCCAAAAGTATGGAGATGTGCATCCGAGTGCCAAAAGCCAAAAGCACTGGAGATATTCACGTGACGACCTACATGGATGACAGCTATAATCATCCCTCTCTCATGACTACCCAATGACTCATGACCCATCCCTTTAGGCCGAAAGAACAGTTCTCATTGACTCATAGCCACAAACTAATTGTACAAAGGTATACAGGCTAGATGAACGGGATATAACGGGATATATCATATAAATTCCCGATATTCCATGTCTTTTTGTGACAGTTCCTCCATGGACGTGGCAACAAAACGGCCCCATCGGGTTCGACTGAGTCGAGGACATGAAAGATACAGAGCTCGAGGCGAATCTCATCGTGTGCAGCTCAGCACTGAGCGCCTGCGAGCGCCTGCGAGCGTCTCGGCCGTGGAATCCCCCAGTGGATGAGGGGCGGCCCAGCTGTTTTGGAAGCCCAGCTCACCAGGTGGTGATTTTTTTGGGCCAACTTTGCTGAACCTCAAACTGCCATTTTTTGTTTTTTTCTGCATTGAAGACGTTCGAAAGAGAGGTCTTGCGTCGAAATTCCAGAAAAAACATGGATATCACTTGAGTTATTCCCCCACATTGCCAGCCACCAGAGTCTTCGCGAGTTTTTCGTATTGGCCCCCAATAATATCCTTCTAGCCACTTCTACAGTTGGGGGATAACCATGAAACCACATCAAGTACCTATCAAGTCACCATTTCCGATGGTTTAATCATCAATATTGTGTTTTTTTTTCGCATTTGTTCCATATTTTTCCATCTTATCATTGGTGATTTTCCACCTGACTGGGAGATACTGGGAGATGGTCCGTGACGATCCAACTTTTCTCAGGAAGTGCCAGAAATGGCAGGAGGCACTGCATCTTTTTGCCATGCTGGAAGCAGGAGACCCCGTGCCATGGCCTCTTGGATGTCCCACAAGATCCTTGGATATCCATGGTTTATAATCTATATATAATCCATATATTTATAGCCAAATATTATAGCATATATATATTATATAAACCATAATTCATCCCATATAATTAATCTGAGGATATTCGGATATTGCATGATATTCCAACAATATGAATCTATAACAGTTTTTTGTTGCATCTATTTGCTAAGTGGTGCCCGCACCCCCAAGCTGTGTGCACCCATTACATGAGATGCATTTCTGCAGGAATGCAGCAGGATGTCGTCTCCTACAGTGCCAGCATCAGCGCATGTGAGAAGGCATCAATGTAGGATGCAAACCACGAATGATATGAGTGTTTGGATGTTTTTGGTTATGGTTCTTCCACAATGTTCTACATATTTCTACAGTGATATTCTTGCATGTTTGACTGGTCACGCTGAGAAGTTCTTCTTGGTGATCCCCCCGTGATCCCCCGTGGCAGGGCCAGCAATGGACCATGGCCCTCTTGCTCTTGTCCCAGATGTTGACTCAGAAAATCAATCCGTTGCTTGGCGGACTCAACAGTGGAACACAGTGGAGATATGTAAAAAAAATCCACGAGACTTGGGCCGTCGCCGGCCTCTTTTCAGTGATGTTTTCGGAAGTTGGGTTAATCCCCATTGGGTTAATCCCCATTGATGTTAATCCCCGTTAAAGTTGGGTTTATCCCCATTAATCCCCCACTAAAAGTATCTCCTGGCGTGGCTTCAGCCATCCTCGTGTGTCCAGTGAAAACCTTAGGAATGTCATCACCTGGAACTCAGCTATCAGCTCCTGCGAGAAAGGCAGTGGGCCGATTTTGGGCCCAGCAAGGAGGTGATTTTTGTTCGGATTTTGTTGCAACCCTCTAAAAGATAGATGTTAGTAAAATCCGAGTCTCATGTTTTAGTGCTAGACTTGAGGATTTCTTTTTTTTTGGAGGGGGGTCACTAAAACTCATATGGGTTTGTCTGAAAACGCACTAAATCCACTGCTTCATCATCATTATTCCCATTCATACACACCCAATTTCCAGTCTCAATTCATAAAAATCCTATATTTGATGGTTATATAACTTATAAATCCCATAAATTGATGGGTGAAATCCCATATTCCATCATCCATTTTGATCCATTTTGATCCATTTTGGACGTGTTCGAAAACGTCGGCATCTGGGTGTCGCCAGGCTTTCAATGGGAATTCGCCCTGCAACTCTTGGTGAACATGAAGCCGCAGGGGTACCTGGCAGGTCAAAAACTGGAGGCCTGGATGCTTCAAAATACCCTCTGGTAAACTAACATAACTATGGAAAATCACCATTTTTTATGGGAAAATCCACTATAAATGGCCATTTTCAATAGCTATGTTAAATTACCAGAGGGTACGTCAGAATATGTCAGACTTCTGGCCGACTCCAAATTTTAGTTGATTTATTTGGGAAACTTAGGCATCACCAGATTTCTGGCCGACTCTCAGTCTCACATCTGAGTTGGTTCAATGAAAATCATGGGATTCAACTGAGTTGGTTCTCAACACTGGTTGGTGAAGCCGTAATAATCCTGGTGGGTGAAGATGCGCCCTGGCTTTAAACATTCGCCAACGGTTGAATCCCCAAGAAATATATGACATGGGGTTTCCGAAAGTGGTGGTAGCCCAATAGGTGTTTTTATAGCATAGAATAGCTGAATGGTTTGGCATGGAATTGATCATATTCTTTAAATCACCCTAAAAAATCACCCAGTGAAATTGGATGTTTCCTAAGTCCCCCCATGACGGAAGCCTCCAACTCCCGGAGTCGCTGAGGTCTCAACTCCGTGCTGATCAGGTCTCCTTCGCTGCAACGGTGACGTCCTGCGAGAAGTGTCCCAGGGCGATGGGCCAGTGGTGGAGCACGTGGTTCACCGGGCTTCATCAGTCGAATTGGTCAAGATCTGGCTATGGATCAATACCTATTTAATCCTATTAATACCACTTTTAGTGGGATGAACATCCATTTACCAGCTATTTTGATGTTCACCAGGGGTACAAGGTTTTGACACACTGCCATCTAAGTGTCAAGTTCTCAAGGTTGGAGAATCTTTGGCAGAGGAGATGGTCGTTTAAAGCCTCTCTAAGTTCGTCTCAGTTTGGTTACACATTTCAATCATTAAAGAAAAAGACCGGATCATGCTGGTGTGGACCCATGCCCAGATCATCCCGAGGGTGATGATTTCATGACTAGGATTGCTGTTTGGAGATTCCAGGTCATACTGTCCAGTCATATTCCATGAGTCAAGTTTAGTCCTCTGTCATATCAAGTATACATAAGTATACTGTCGTCTGATCTGTAATATCTGTAATTCTCTTGTCGATGGGTTTAGTGTTCAATCCCGAGGCCACTGTTGGGAACAAGCACTCTCTCTGTTAGATCTGATGCGCACAGACAGACTGAAGGAGGACATGGGCCGAATTCCATCGGATGTTATCAGTTACTGTATTTGCACTGTATTTGCCTGTCTTGCTGGGTTGGACATCCACATTTTTCGAACCCAGCAAGATACTGTAAGCAACATATGTGGATAGTTCTTTTGTAAATAACTTGTGTTATTTTTCGAAGCCATGGCTACAGTCTTAGAGGCCGTGTGGATATGAGATGATATGAGATGCCTATGTACCTTCCCAAGCCAGCTAACTACTTGTTTACTTGCTTAAAGCAAAAACAATCAGGGAAACATAATGTTTGATGATTCCAACATTCTCATTCAAACAGATCATCATTTAGACCGCGGTCCCCCAAAAATATCGACGAGTTCTTTCCTGATAGTGGTTTCAGAAGATATTTTCCAAAGATATTTCCATCAGAGAATAGAATCTGTCAAATACTTCCCTGATGGATCCTGATAGGTATGAAAAAACCCAAAGCTTCCAACTTTGGGTGAATTTCTATTCATTCATCAGATCCCATGAGATCCAATTTTTTAATCATTTCCCAATCATTTCCCAATCATTTCCCATGAAATCCCATTAAAATCCCATTATTTTTTTTATTAAAATCCCCTATTAGAAATCCAACTTTGGTGAATTAAAATCCCATTTCATAGGATTTCATAGGGATCTCACTATAAATCCCCAATGAAATCCAGTGATTTCCCATGTTTCCAACGTTTCTACAAGCCGAAATCACCTGCGATGCATCTCGCGGAGTGCAGGATCTCGTTGCCATGAATGCCGTGCCTCGGTCAATCCCAAGGGGGACGACAGCCTTCTGGAATGGTGTTCAACAGTTATATAATACAATAATATGTATAATAGATATAATATTATATATATAATATAATAGAATAGAATAGAATATATATATATATATGTATATTGCAATACATATATACATATGTACATATATCATGATGTATCATATAGTGTATATCCCACTTCAGACATCTCCGAAGCATCATGAGCATCCATGAGCCCGGGTGAGTTTCGGGGCAGGTCATTAGCTCGTCCTGTGGTCAGTGGAGCGTGGCGGTCACCATCTTCCAGGAGATTTTCAAGGCGCCGATGTTGGGAGAGATCAAGGTTTTGGGCCAAACAGAAATGGGTTTAATATGGTTTAATCATGTGGAATAGACATGAATATACTATGGCAATGGAAATCTATAGGCTAAGAATTATAGTATGGGATAGTATGGGTTTGTATGAACTCATAGGATTTATATCCAATTTATGGCCAGCCTAGTGGGGTTTATATATGAACCAAGACACAAGCGATCTGTTTAGTGATGATGGGATTTGCTGGATATTGGTGCTGTGGTTACCGAGAAGCACAAATGCGGGCCATCAGATTTGGGCAAGGTGTGAGGACCCGAAACCTCACCAGAAATGATGACTACAGGACGGCAGGAAGGGAAACCTTGCCTAAGAGGGCTGATTTGTGGTTTGGGAATTGGTTTAATTTGCCCAGAGATGGAGCCCAAGCGGTTTGAGCAACGTCGCGTAACGTTGACTTACACGCATCAACTATCAGTAGCTACATCAGACACGCAAGCACTTCTTGCAAAAGGTCATTTCAGAATTCTCATTCCATACAGAGACAGTCATTTTGGTGAAATCATGTCGTTATACCCCTGTTACCCATCAACCGTGGTCGTATTCCCTCTCTCTGGTGATATTCCGCTTCCAAGAAACACATTGCCCCAGGTCTCACTGTTACCGGATGTGGTCTCATTCTCTGCGTTAGCTGGTGCCGAACCCAGAATAGAGACCCAGGGTGCAGCAAGTCCTGTGATCCATGGGATGTTGGAATTTTGGGTTTCCCATCATTGAGGAGACAGGAGGTGATACTGATTTGAGCCCATTTGCCTCCCACCTATGGCAACTGGATCCAGCTTGCGTACTCTGTGGAATCCAACCATACTTCATTCATCTACATTCCCATTCCAGGTCTGGTGTCCAGTTGCGGTCCCAACAGCGCGGGCGTTTGGGCTCGGCGGTAGTTTGTGAACTTCATGTCATTCACCCATGGCGGGAGAACATGGAGACTTATGTCAGGACTTACAGGAGCCTATGGAGCCCCAACCCGGGCTGGACCTTGGGAATGTGCTGACCTCAAATTTTGATTCAATTAAAATCCATTAAACATCTTCAATAAACATCAAGCCCAAAATTTTGGGTCTCAAATCCAGCCCAGCCATTTTCCATTGCCATTGCAAGCCTCAGGAGAGCTACAACACCATCCGGCCACCGAAACCGGTCCGGAGGAGACGAGGCACAGCGATGTGCTGGCCATAAAGCCAAGCAGAAACCTACCGTTTCAACAAGATTTTTGACCACTGATGTATGGTAAATGCATAGCAATTTTCATCTGGGGAAGAGTTGATTTAACTGGAAAAACATGGAAAAAACACTGGATAATCTTGGCCAAGATTCAACGAATCCAAAATGGAATGGCCGTGGCGATTTAGACCCTCCTGCAAAAACCTAGTATTGTGTATATATATATAATATTACACAATAAATCCCAAAAATGGTGAGGCAATGGGGTAAACCACCAATTTTTGGACTTCTTCATTACCACCTTAATATATTTCTAATAAGATTTTCAGGCAGTTGATCATTACTCAGTGTTCAGGTGGTTTCCTTGACTCATAGGATCACTTATCGTCCTATGGCCAGATCATCCATGGCGCAATAACCGGCTGCTCCTGATCTGGCGCTAGGTACGTGCTCCTGGCTGTGTATTACCAGCTACCAGCTGATCTATTCCATGATCACCACCAATTTCGCAGCTGCATCAAAAATGGCCACCAGAAGACATTCCCAGAGTCTTTGCCACCGCAAATTCGCACGTGACGGAGTGGACTTCGCCACAGGATTTGGCAATTCTGCCGCCGCCCAACAAGGTGGCTCTTGCCGACGGCAATTTCTTGGAGTTCTTCAGCGTCATTCCCAGTTTTGGTGAAGATGGCAATTTCATTGCTTTCTTGACGACCTTGGACACCGATTTGCATCTACTGCAGAATCACACATTTTTTTTGCTCTGGACCCAATAGGGCGCATTTGGCCCAAGCCCGTGTTCATCGCAGCATTCTCTTGTGTGATTGGCCCTTGGGGGAGGCTGAGAAAGAGACTTTCGACGTGTTTTTGGAGGATCAAAATGGACGCAACATTGGACAGGTTCGGACGAGAAGAAAACCTGGCATGGTGAAACAGTATCACTCAGTCGCCTGTGCTCGCGATGCTTACGTCTCAAGCTCCCATCCCGAAAATTACGGGAGGACGGTCAAAGACATGGTGCAGTGGCTTGAATTTTCTCTGTTGCATGGGATCGACCACTTTTTTGTCTACACCTTCAAGGGAACCGAGGATGCCGTCAAGGAAGTCCTGATGCCCTACCTGAAAGCTGGCTTGGCCACAAGGATCCATGTCGATGTGCCGCAGTATCCACGAGATAAAAGTTTGGATATGTGCGGTCGGCATTTCGACTGGGTGATTCGTGATTGCCTGTGTCGGGCCAAAAGCCATGCCACTTGGGTCATCCCTTCCTTTGACTTCGACGAGTACTTCCACCTCAACAATGGCAATATGTTTCCAGATGGCAAGATTCCACAAGATTATTTGAGAACAGGTTGGGATGCCATCGCTCGATTTCACAACAAAAGTCCTGAGGAAATTCACAGCATTTCCTTCAAACGATATCATTTTGCTCGTTCTGCGACTGGCACGTTGGAGATTGCTTCGCCGTGGCGTGAGGCGCATCTGCAGGAACGGTTGGGGCAACCGGACACCGTGGAGGCGCTGCCGAAATACGTCTACAACGTGCATCTGGCGAACGACGCCTGGTGGCATTGGCTCAAGGACTTCGACCCCAAAACAAAGCGTTCTTTGGTGATCCCAATGAGTCCGGACATAATGGCCACCGTGGTGTCCTCTGTGCCGACCGAACACATTTCGCTCAACGAAAGCATCGGCTACGTCCATCACTATCGCATTCCCCACGGAGATCCACAGGCCAAAACCTACGACGACCACTTGGTCTCTGACGCTGACAAGTTGACAGAAGCCATTGAACAACGATTTGGACAGAAACTTCCAGCTTTACTCAAGCGATTCAGTGAGGCTTCTCCACAACCGGCACAGTACTTGGTGGTCTGCTAGTAGGTGTTGTGATGTTGAGCGCGCCGGGACCTTGGACGAAGAAAAACAGTGCCTAAAGCACGCTTTTCATGTTTACAATCGCCAGATGTTTATTATATACTTTTTGTAGCAGAGTGCTGCAGAGAATCGCACATCAAGGTAAGCTTTCTAAATGACCTTTCCATGCTGAGCGAAGGGTTCTTCTAATAGGGGGATCTGTCAATTATCTTCATATCTTCACATCTTCACATCTTCTCATCTTCACATCTTCTCATCTTCTCATCTTCATTCCCATTCCAGGTCTGGTGTCCAGTTGCGGTCCCAACAGCGCGGGCGTTTGGGCTCGGCGGTAGTTTGTGAACTTCATGTCATTCACCCATGGCGGGAGAACACGGAGACTTATGTCAGGACTTACAGGAGCCCATGGAGCCCCAACCCGGGCTGGACCTTGGGAATGTGCTGACCTCAAATTTTGATTCAATTAAAACCCATTAAACATCTTCAATAAACATCAAGCCCAAAATTTTGGGTCTCAAATCCAGCCCAGCCATTTTCCATTGCCATTGCAAGCCTCAGGAGAGCTACAACACCATCCGGCCACCGAAACCGGTCCGGAGGAGACGAGGCACAGCGATGTGCTGGCCATAAAGTCAAGGAGAAACCTACCGTTTCAACAGGATGTCTGACCACTGATGTATGGTAAATGCATAGCAATTTTCATTTGGGGAAGAGTTGATTTAACTGTAAAAACACTGGAAAAAACACTGGAAAAAACACTGGATAATCTTGGCCAAGATTCAACGAATCCAAAATGGAATGGCCGTGGCGATTTAGACCCTCCTGCAAAAACCTAGTATTGTGTATATATAGCTCATATATTATATATATGTATAATATTACACAATAAATCCCAAAAATGGTGAGGCAATGGGGTAAACCACCAATTTTTGGATTTCTTCATACCACCTTAATATATTTCGAATAAGATTTTCAGGCAGTTGATCATTACCCAGTGTTCAGGTGGTTTCCTTGACTCATAGGATCACTTATCGTCCTATGGCCAGATCATCCATGGCGCAATAACCGGCTGCCCCTGATCTGGCGCTAGGTACGTGCTCCTGGCTGTGTATTACCAGCTACCAGCTGATCTATTCCATGATCACCACCAGTTTCGCAGCTGCATCAAAAATCATCAAAATGGATCTGAAAATAAGGTACCACCCAAGAATTCTAAATGGATCTGATCATCAAAATGGATCATCAAAAATCATCTGAAAATGGATCTTCAAGAATTCTCCACCCAAGATTGCTGCAATTTGGAACACAGATTGGATCTCAGGACAACCATGGTGGTAAGACTTCCAATCTGTTGGGACCAAAAACTTGGACGGCTGGTTGTCCATGGGTTGAATGGCGTCATACCATGCCTTGCTATCATTGTTATTTGATCCAAAGGAATATCAACCAGCCATTCCAAAGTTATTTCAAACTTTTCCGGAAAAAAAAAGAAAAAACGATAACAAAAAACAACATAAATCAATTGAACATATGATTTATTATGATCTAAGTTCGATTTTCGTGAGTGTTATTCATGTTTTTTTCCCACACGAAGCAAACCATCACCAATCCTCGGTGTGTTGGACGCCAAGGTTTCGCCTTATCCATCCTGCCTCAAGAGGCAGAGCGGCTTAATACAGCGACTTCTCCTGCAGTGTGGTGGCTCTAGATCTTTTAGAATTCTTGATTATTAGCATATATTATTATAGCACATATAGATACATATAGATTATACATATAATTATGTAAAACAATATCTTTACATATATCATATATATCTACATCTACACATATATGCATGCATGTATATGTGATATCAATATATACATATATATATATCATACAATGCTGTGTCCAAATATATTGTATTTGACATAACATAGGCATAGGTATGCATTGCATATTTATCACAATATATATATATATCTTAATGTCTTAATGTGTTTTTCTGCTTACCAGGGGTGAAATTCCTCACAATGGCTCAGGCTGATACAAGCCTTTGGTTGGCCGCGTACGTGATGATTTGCGGAGCGACACAACTAATTTGCTGCTTGGCGTTTGATGTGGAAACTGGGGACAGCATCGAGTTGCCAAGCTTTACATACAAATGAACCACCAAATACCAACAACATCCAACAACCAATTTTCATCTTCCATGCAACTCTTCGAAAAAATCAGTTCTTTCACCTATACATATTGATAAACACATAAGATCACTTAAGCCATCACTGCATCTTTGTGGGACTCTTGCAAAACTCTCTAGCTCTTGTATTTTGATTTGGACTTGTAAACTACACTGAATTACTGCAAAATTGAAGAAACACAAACTGTCCAAATGCAAGTCGGTGAATGTGTTGGCCCAACATTTTTTCACCAAAATTTGGAAAACCGAACTGGATTCGGTTTTGCAATTTTGTTCATTTTGTATCTTTACCCACTCTCAGTATTCGTTTTGTTTGGCTCACCATCCCTTTGTTTTTGATGGTTCAGGTTCCTGAATTAGCTCAATTCAGCATAGCGTTAGGTCTATAGCCAATTGATGTGAGGGGTTTGACGCCTATTTCATATTAACAATTGAACTTCAGGACAATCCGATAATACTTATATCTATATCAGCGTAAGTGAACCCAAGATCAGCCAACAAGTCAGGGATTCAGGGTTCATGAACAGAAATGTTGGGAATTTGGTATTATGTTTTTTATCATTCCAGCATAACCGTGATAATAAATATAATACTTGAATCATAGTGTCATTATGATAAAATCGAAAAATGAAAATTACAATACACTACTACTACTACTACTACTACCACCACTACCACTACCACGACGACTACTACTACTACTACTACTACTTCTACTACTACTACTACTCCTACTCCTACTCATAATTATAATAACAATCAGAATCATCGATGGTTTCAAACCTCATTTTCCCACAATGGTTACTGTAAACACAACAAGTAGGGGCACTACAACCAGTCACAAGCGAAACTCCCTTTTCTCAAGTTGGGACAACTCGTGAGCCTTCATATGGCAGGTGCAAGTCCAATGGGGTCAAATTGACACTCCATAACTATACTGTTGGACTTGCACTAAATGGCAGATCCGTCCACCTCACATTCCACCACCACTGCTTTGCGTCGTTCACGACCTTGGTGAGGATGTCAGCCAACTGTGACTTAGTTGGCACCCAACGAAGGGTCTTTGCACCAGGTAGTTCTCGGCCCCACCTCTGGTATTCGTCGTTGACCATGTGCCTCAAAGCAGTCAAATCGACTAAGAGGCGCTTCTCGGTGGGAGCACGAGGGCCACCGACACGGTGGACATTGTCGTAGAGGGACTTACAGTCCGTCACAGAGACGATAGGGAACAGGTCTCTGGACATCTCCTCACGGGTGGTGGCCACGCCTGGTCGGAGAGCCCCGGCCACATAGGCTCTGAATGCCAGAGCATCTTCCCATCCACCCAGGGCCGCCATTGTTTCAGCTGCAAAGGTGCTGCGGCACACCCGGGGGCAGGCCTGGGACTTCCATCCAACGACCATAGACGGGCAACGAGCTCCTTCAAGAGCATCCCGTGTTGTCATCAACATCACGTGGCCAAGTTGGGAATAGACCCCTTGTCCTTGTGCATCATCTGCTTCATGAGGTTCAACGACGGGGTCAGGTTGCACGTTGGCCCAGGCTGCGTCGTGATATACCAGAAGCAGCAGTTTGCTAGGGTCATCCGTAAGCCGGGTGAACCGCAAGGGCTCATCCTTGCCAGCTTGGGCCATCTTGACCACACGGTTTGTCTCCTTCACGTCTCCGTAGGTTGGAGACTTTTGTTTTCGTTGTGCAAGTGATACACCAGCTTGGAAGTCAGGTCGGCTTTGTGATGCCAGCCACGACAAAGCCCCCACAGTGCTCATGTTATCCTGCTTGGTGACCTCATCTGCCGGGTCGTCGAGGTTGTACACAGCCGGGAACTCGACAGTCTCCAAGCGGGAGTTAATGTACGACTTCTGGTGCACCTCAATCACGTCGTCATACTGGGTGATCGTAGAGCCCGTGTATTCGAAGTTGCCCTGCTCCCACTCAGCGATGGGAAAGATCGCTGAGAGGCCCTTCATCAGTTGTTGTATCTCACCAGGTGGCGCGGCGATCAGCAGGTCGTCCACGTGGGTGATCAAGGCGCCACGTAATTTGTTGGGATCGTCCCGTTCTTGCAAAAGAAAAAGACATGGGTCAAAATCATGGTGTGCCAAGCGGAGCTGGATGCCGTTGACAATGATGTCGAGATTCTTCAGCTCCCCAGCCAGCTTGTCCCACCAAAGCCTCGGACTGTTCGAGAGGCCGCAGACCCCTTTCACGATTTCCACCAAGGAGCCTGGTTCGACTCCAGGGAGCCCGCGTTTGGGAGGCTCAAAGTACAAGTTGCGCTTGGACTCAATGCCGTTGAGGAAAGCAGCCTCCACATCTCCAGCAGCAAGTCGCCAGCCAAATTGGGCGGCCAAGAAAAGCAATGTGAACATCGATGTCTTGGAAGCCGTAGGGGCCTCAGTGTTGATCTCGCCTTTCTGCAGGTCAGGGTCCATATGACCTCCAATGCATAGTCTGGCTTTTGCTTTTGCCGGTATGGTTGGGTCCTCCCGGCATTTTGCTACATTCTTGTCTCTGTAAGCAAAACGAGCTTTCAAGATCCTGTTGGCGGGGACCTTGGCTCGGAGAAGACCAGCATCTTCAGGAGGATGTACCCGAACTGCCTCATAGCGGAGGTGTTCATCCCATTGTTTCTTCTCAGCCTCGAGATAGAGGTACTTCTCATCTTCTGGGATTTCTTCCCACTTGACTTCCTTGTCGAGCTGCTTGATGGTGCTTCGAGGAGCTCGGCGTTCGACCACAAAGGCCTGGTTCACAGCATCATCCAGCGCGTCCTCGACATCACGTTCGGGGATGGCTTCAAGATCTTGTGCATTTTGTTGAGCAGGTGATATGCGGCCAGGTTGGTCATCACTAGGTTGAGGAACTGGCCTCTTCAGCATTCTCACCGTCCCTTTGGTTGTGACCCGACGCTCTGGAACCAGTTGTGTTTCAACCGCTCTTTTGTTGAGCGGGGGAGGGTCAGTCGCATCGGCGAAGACCTCATCATTGTCTTCGTCCTTGAGGTTCTGGACCACCCGCATCAGGTCATCCTTGAGAGCTTGGGTCTGAAAGGCCTGGCCAAGCTCCTCAGACTCAGCGGGACGTAGATGTTCGCCTGCACAGAGGACACAACGGCCCCCACGTGAGATCCAATAGGATTCACCTTCTTTTCCAATGACCACACCTGGCCCGATCCATTCACCTACATTCTGCCGTTGTCGAGCTTTACCTCCAGCCGTCTTGTTGACCCTGAAGACGTACACATAGTCGCCCACCGAGAAAGGCCCAGGATATACTCGAGAGCGTCCAAGTAGAGCTCGTTTGGTTGCAGCATCGGCTTGTGACTCCAAGAAGGCTATGCGGGCAGCATAGCGAATCTGTTGTTTGCGACGCCAGAGGTCATCTTCTGTGCGTAGTTCTTCGAGCTGAAATAGCTTTTCATTCTCATCCAGCATGGCATCCCCAGTACGTGGTTCTGAGCCGAAGAGCCATTGTGCCGGAGAGTATCCATGGTGGCGGCGCAAGTTGTTCTTGGCTGCGCAGGTCATCGCGAGTGCATAGTCAACCTCCTCGGATTTTGTTTGGGAATGTGCAACCGCTCGTTCCCATATAGCCCGGAACCACTGATTCTGTCTCTCGACAGCCCCATTTTGCCAATGAGCTTGTCCTGCAGTGTACCTTGATCGGATCCCCAGCATGTCGAGGCCGTCAGTGAACTCTTTCATCAGGCCTCGTTCTTCATCACAAGTCACCTGTAAAGGTGGGCCCGCCCATTGGACCCAATGATCCATGAAGTCTTGGAGCAGGTCAGCTGACTTGCGTCCGCGGATTCTACAAACCAAGTGATAGCCGGTGGCCACGTCCAAAATGGAGATGGCGTCGATCTTGCCCCCGTCCACGTCGTAGAGGGCGATGGTGTCCACACATACCTCTTGGTTGAAGTCCAATGGGCGTACCACACGGCCAGGGCGTCGGGTGCGGGGGCCAGTCAGCCGAGAACAGGTCTCACATTTGATGGCCTGTGCTGCCTTCACTGCTAGATCTCCAGCACCGGCAAGACGTAGATGTCTACTCAAGTCGGCGTTGGAAGGGTGTCCCAAGTCTTGGTGGATCCTCTTGAGAGCCTTCGCAATGTGGTTGGGCACGCTGCTGGGCAGATGTATTCCTGCAGCTCCTTCTTTTCCAGGTAGAGCAGCACCAGGTCGTTGATCAGAATCAGGTTGGTGATCAGCACGTCGTTGGTCTCCAGAACGAGGTGGAACTTGGGCATCTCGAACGTGACTTTGATGTGGCGTGGGAGGACTCCTCGAAGCGGAAGATGTAGACGAAGTAGTCCCCACAGGCATAGCTTCCCAAGTTTGCTCCTCACGATGATACCAAAGAGAGTGTGTCATCTTCTCATAGCCCTTGAAGATGGCCCTGCAAAATTCCTTGGTGTAGACTCCAGCAGGTCTGGTGTTTCTTCCTTGTGTGGCGGTATGTTCATGGCCACCACCACAGGTTAGACGTAAACCGTCCAACAACAGACGATTCGATGCCACCACCCGAGTAGGCTTCCTGAGCCTTCCGCCATCCGTGACGGCCCTCAGGTTATAGCGACACATGTCGAAGGTGGTCTGGGACATCAAAGGTGAATTGATGAGAGGTTCCAAAGCTGAATCCTCCCACATCCCAGAGTCGCGAGGGTGTTCAAAAGCAACCTCCCGACCGGCATCAAGCTGTTCCCAAGCGCAGTCCAGGGTGAACTTCATAAGCTTCCGTTGTTTGGCTCGTTCACGCCGAAGTTGTTGTCGCCGATGGGCATAGTTCAATCGTTGCCAAGGTGACCATTTTGTGCAAGGTAAAGCCACCCAAAGAAGTCGGGGCTTCATTTTGTGGATGTTGTCCAGGACAGACACTTGCTGGCGCCTGTCGAACAGATCATGTCCATAGACGATGTCTCGCGGCTCCAGGACATTGTGTCCTTTGGCTGCGAAGTAGCCCGTCAAATGGGCCGACCCCGCAAAGAGTTCCAGCAAGGAGACCGTCTCCTCTTGCGGTCGATGGCCAGAGACAGCCAGATAGGCATCGTGTAGTGGCTCCACCACCACTTCCTTGAGTTCTTCGGCGACTGGAGATGCCAATGCCACCAAGGTGGTACACAGGCAAGTCAAAGCTCGTTGAGCCCACCCCGTGACCCTTTTCCGTGATGCCCTCTTCATCCTCTTGGCCGGCAAGTTGCGGACCAAGTCATAGTCCGAGGGGTAGTTGAGGTTCACCTTGGGCAAGCCGTCGTTGTTGATGTCATACTCGTCAGCCTCAATGGTGTCCGGGTCATAGAGCTCGACGATGTCCTTCTCCGGGAGGTCCTCCTCTGCAGAGTCGTTGGTAGCCATCCAAAGCGCTTCGTGTCTCATCGATCTCCTCATCTCCCTCAGCTCATCAACCTTCTGCCAGTAGGCCTTCTTCTTCAGTTTGCTTTTGGAGGGGCTGCCTTGGCCTTGGCCTCCTGCTTGTCCTCGGTCTCCTTGATCTGTCGTAGGATCGCCAACCTCGCCTCCATGTCCTTGATACGATCTTCCGTCGCCCATTCCACCTCCGAGAACTCGCTCGATTCCTCCATCTCCAAGGGTCTCGTCCTTGAAGTCCTTGACTGTTTCGACGACGTCTCCTCTCTCATCGGCATGTTGACCTTCGGCACCGGGTATGCTGCCTTGGGCAGCGGCACAACTGCTCCCACCTCGGGTGCCGATGGCCTTGAACCAGTTCCAGGCGTAGTGGAGCGGGCTTGTGCCCACCTGGCCAGGCGTGCCAAATCCAAGGAGTGCTGAGGATTGGCAGCCACCTCTTGCATCGCCCACTCCAAGTACTTCTCGTTGACCTCCTTGTAGAGGTAGCCCTTGTACATGCCAAAGCAGACCACCTCGTCCCCGGTCGGGGGTGAGTTCTCCCTCAAGAGCTTCATCAGTGGCCCCCGGGTCGGCTTGCTGTCTGGCATGACAATCCCTTCGGCCATGCACTTGTCCTTCAGCTCGTCCAAAGTAAGCCGAGTGAGGCCCTTCACCTTCGGATTGGGCGTCCCGTGGGTCTCTTGCTGTTCGATCAGTGTTGCCCTCAGTTCGGGCACTGTCCATTCTGCCCTCACCGAGACCCCCAGCCTCTCGAGAGACGCCACCAACTCCTCTCGCTTCATCTTCCATAGCGAGGTAGTCGTTGCCCTCGTGGACATGGGCCGTAGAAGACAAGGAGCGTGGGGCGGCTTGAGCGTTTCGTTGAAAACGGCTGCGGCCAATCCAAAGAAATTCAGCTCGTGGTCCATGATCTTCTTTCCAAGAATGTTCGACCACTATGTGATGGCATCTTGCATGACATGGTATGCAGGTCGATTCTCTGCAGGTGCCCAATCTTTGCAACAAGAGATCTCGAAGTTCGGTTTGAGATGTTTGCCAATTAGAGGGGTCAAAAAGTGTCCTCCGTGGTGTGACATGGATGCGGTACATGTACTCTTCGGTCTCAATCCAAAAGTCACGAGAAGGCGGTTGACCATTCCACCAATGCATGAAAGTTTCAACAGGCAGAACATCTCTACATAGAAATTCTTGTACCTGAAATTTCACCTTTGGATAGAAAAGCATCCCAATACCCTCTGAAGCTGCACTCGCCATGTATGCTTCACGGCGCTCAGATCGTACTGGAATGTGAATTTCTGTCACACTCCAGTCCACCAGGTCAGGCCAAGCAGGTGGCTGGCCAGAAAAGGAAACAGCTTCAGCGCAAGGATGGCCTGAAGCAGTAAAACTCAAAGCTACGTCCTCAAGATCTAAGCTGGTGAAGTTGGCCTCATTGGTGTCCAACTTGAACTGCATCCCCAAGGCAGCCAAGACCGGGCGGCTCAGCAAGAGCGGCACGTGGGTTGCCACAATGGCGACTTTCACCACAAACCATTTGCCCTGAAGGCAAAGAAAGCAAACCATCGCCCTGGTCGAAGGGTAAACCTTGGGGCCCCCAAACTTGAAGGTCTCGTTCTGGCGCATGACAAAGTACGGCACACCGCACTGATCGGCCTTCTTCATGTAGGCCTTCACCCACTCCGGTCCAGCCAGTGTTCGGCTGCAAGCGCAGTCAACAATCACCTCCAGGTCGGCCATCTGACCATTGGTGTAGTAGGCGATGTGTGTGGTGTGCGGTGCAGTCGTTGATGTCTGCTTGTTCTTCGGACAGATGGGGTCCTTATGCCAGTGCCCCTTCTCGCCGCAGGCACTGCAGTAAGAACGTGCCTTCGCTTTCTGCAGAGACTCCTCACGAGACTGTGGGCTGGTGGTGCCCCTGGCTTTGAGCATGCTACTGTACTTTGCCTTGGCATTCTGAAAAGCGACGTACGCCTCATGAGTCTCGTCATCGTCAACCTCCGTAGTCTCCTCAAGGTCGTAGAGCTCGAGGTCTTCCGGGTCCTCTTCATCGTCCGGGGTGTCCTCGATCTCAGCCACATAGACCTGGTTCTTCTTGGTGTCGACCTTCCGCTGTTCCCAGATCCTTCGGTTCATCCGGTCTTGAACCACTGCTGCCTCCTGGAGGCGGATCAGCTCGTACTGGTTCCCCACAGAGGAGAGAAGGTTGAGCTCCGCAGCATTGTCCATCCTCAACTTGTCGATGTACCACCAAGCGCAACATACGCTTGGCAGCACGCATCCAACTTCCTTCAATTGCTGATGTGCCTGTCGAACTCCATGAAGTCCCGGATATCCTGAGCATGGCCACGCTTGTAGTGCTTGAAGAAGTCGCTCATGTACTTGCCGGCCTTCACGATCTCCTTGTCCAGGTAGTGCTCCGTGATCCACTGCATGAAGACGTCAACGCCGTTGGGGGAGTCCAGGGCCGCAAGGTCGATCTCCTCGGCGTCTCTCCAAGCCTTACCAGACAAGCCGTTGTACAAGACCAGAGCTTGCTTGTGAGGCTTGAGACGTGTCACTCGTCTCCAGGCCTGCACCTTCCGCAAGTAGCTCTTGGCCTTGCACCCATCTCGATCGTCTTCTCCTGAAAACTCTGGCACCGCTATCTTGTCAGTGCCCCCACTTCGCTCATCCAAGACCTCATCTGATCGGCTCGAAGACCATGGGTCTCGCCATCAGGTCCACGGGTCCTCCCATGTCGTTGCCGTAGAGCTCGACCACCATGAAGTTCGCTGTCTCGTCCCAGCTTGTTGTTCAGCTCCATCGGAAGCCTCATATACGGTGGGCGTAGGTGATGCCATTGCCCTCGTCGGCCACTGACCAGCATTCCAAAGACGCCAGTCGTCTTCGCTCCACCTCTGTCCTGAGCTGGGTTGTTCATCCTGAGAAACAGTGGACCCTCCACTGGCTTCATCAACCCCGTCAGCAGTATCCCCAGGAGCGGCAGCCACCGGAGCTGACATCATCCAAGCCCTCTAGTGCCCCAACGGCGACGTCGCCTTCGGCCCTATCCACAAACCAGACACAGCAGGCTATGGCTGATCTTTGCTGGTGTTTTACAAAAGCCCACCAGAAGGCTCCGCTACCAATGTAAACACAACAAGTAGGGGCACTACAACCAGTCACAAGCGAAACTCCCTTTTCTCAAGTTGGGACAACTCGTGAGCCTTCATATGGCAGGTGCAAGTCCAATGGGGTCAAATTGACAGTTACCATTTTGGGGGGTTGATCGCCTAGTTTCAGGTACGAACCCAAATTCCGATGGTGAACTCCGCATCCGGTGGGAATCATTTTTCATGCTTATACATACCATTTAAATCCCATGAAATCACATTAAAGCCCGTTAAATCCCATGAAAATTCCATTACAAAATCCCATTGGAATATATTGGAACCCATGAAGATCCTATGAACATTCCATTAACGTTCCATTAAATCCCATGAAAATCACCGCGCCAAGGTCCCTTGGCAGGTCTTCTGTCAGATCGTCTCAGTTCTACCATGGGCCGCCGGCGCCCGGTGATGCTGCTGGCCAGTCTGTTTTCTGCAGCAGGAGGGGATTTTTCCATGAAACATGGTGACTTCATGGAATTTTGCAATCAAAAATGCTGGTTTGATGACCATCAAAAATGAAAAATGTGGTGGGTTTAATGGTGATTTACATGGTGATATACTCTAAAATGATGATGTAAACCCAATGCCATGAACAAGGTCACGCCGGGGATAGCGGCGCTGGTGCTTTTTAGCTTCGCACGCAACTGTCATTATGTCAAGAATCAAGAGCGTCTTGGCGATTACTATATAGGAAGTGCAACAACGTAACATCACGAGCGTGTTAAAAAATGTTCTTGTGTTCATAGGGTAGAAGCAAGAACGGGTTAGAATTTACTATAGGAAACTCAAAACGGAGAATCAAAAAATGCAGATGATTGAACGTTATTAGCCCCACCCCACACCACCCTACCCCCACCCCACCCCCATGCAAATATTACCATGAACATTAAATATCAACATAAACATCTCTGAAAAGTCCAAAAAACGCGAAATTCCTCAGCGGCGCTATCGCAGGCGTGAGCACAAAAAACGACCGTTTGGGGGTGATTGTTACCATTTACATCCATTTATGGCAAATCATTGGAGATGGTTTATTTTTGGGTTTACCACAGTTGGTTTTGAGATGTTTAATACATGTATAGATTTTATATGATTTTATTGATATTGGTCTGCATAGAATCTCATTTTGTGTTCATGCTCGCGAACTTGAACTGTGGACAATTTTTGCTATCAACAAGGAAGGACAAAGCACTGCAGCTGTTCGCAGAAATGGCTCCGGTTTTGAAGTGCGTGTCTTTCTCTGAGTGTGACACAAACACACACAGGAAGGACCCCCCAGATATGTTTGTTGGATAAATATCCACCATAGACCCATAGTTACCAACACTTCTAATTGAGTAATTAAGCATCTCATATAATTAATGAGTATGAATTCACTTCTAATTGGTATTATCATTGGTATATCCAGCCTAGAAATCCAGCCTAATCCAGGATTTTTGTCGCTCTACTTCTGCAGTCGCTATGAATGGCCGCATCCCTTCCTCATGTCCTTAGCCTTCACCGAGACGGCGCTCAATGTGGCCTACGCGGCGCATGCGGCGTTGCCGGCAGCGCCTTGGTATACTCATTGAAGCCATGGAAAATCCGTTAGAAATGGAAGTTGTTTGTAGGAAAACACACTATTTTGATGGTGGATTGCCAAAACCATCTATAAAATACTGGATTTGTTGTTTTTTTATTTTCCCAATGGGAAATCGACTACTAACAGAATCTAGAGGGATTTTTGACGTATTTTTTTGGGGGGGTCCTTAGTCCTTAAGCAAATCCAAGTATTGGGGTGCCTGGATTTTGATTCATGCCTACCTTTGGCATATCAGCATATCTCCATATATAATGTATTTATAATTTATTTATATATTGTAATTATTACCCATAGGATCCATGTATGGTATATATGCTAACATTGGGGGTATATTGATGGTAAATGTTACCATATATAGCATACATGGATCCTATGGGTTATATATATATAGTACTGTATATGAGATACGGTCAAAATAAGCGTAGACTAAGAGTGACTACTTTAGTGAGGGAGGGTCCAGTTGTGTCCAGAAAGTGCACCAAACCATGTAAAGCGATAGGGCCCCCCAAAAGCGATAACTTGTAACCATATGAGAATGCATTAAACTTGGTGTAAACCAAGAACATATTGTTGTGCACCTTCACGCGATGGGCAAAATTGACGAATCAAATTCAACCTGCAGTGCGAACGTTTCTTGCAGTGGCCATCTCATTTGTTGTCCAAGGTGATTGAACCGTTGCTTTCTGCAGGCAGTTTGTTCTTTTTTTTTCTCCCAGGTCGCAAAGCAGTAGAATTAAACTAAACTAAATGCAATTGAATTCTGAATTAAATCAAAACATATAGTGTTAAATCAATTCAGAATTCCGTTTATGTGCCGTATAATTTGATTTGAAATTATTCTTCCTTTGTTTCCTTTTTTCTTACCTTCCTTTTTCCTTTAACTTTCCGTTTGAAACTAAACGCAATTGAATTCTGAAGTATAAATCAAAATTAATTTTGAATCCGATTCTGAATTCCATCTATTTCATGTTTTCCTTTTTGTTTCATTTGTCCTTCTCATTTCCTCTTTCTCTTCCTTTCTTGATCATCCTGGGAATCCTGGTATTCTAATTTAGCGATAACTTAACGATAACCTTTTGTTGAAGAAGGGACCCCGGACGAGGGATAGACTCATTTGACCACAGAGATATCCTTTTTCGTTTTCATAGAATTATTGATCTTATATGGGTTTACTGTCATTCTAGTTTGGAGTTGAGATTGTAATAAATTTCCTTGCTTAGGAAAGAGTCTAGGAATGTGCTTAGGTAGCTCCCCAACATGGTTGCAAACGCCAAGACAACCAGCACCCCCTTAATCCATCCCCGGCAGTTTAGAGATCTGAATCCGTGAAGCCAATTCTGCTGCATTTTTGCATTATTTAGTGTTGATTTGAAGAAAACACGGTAAAGCGATAGGGCACCCCAAAAAAGCGATAACCTATATTTTTGTACCAAGCATCAACAATTGATTTTGACGGCGGCTCATATGTACACATAATTTTAAACATAATACATGCTATTATATATATAATTATATATATATAATACATAATATACACATATAATTATATATCACAGATTTTCAGACACACTGCATGACTGTCTGACTTCGGGTGGCTTTCATTTCCACTGAGGATCTAAGAGCTCCGGAGACGGATGTGGAAAATCCAGGAGTGCATGCAGTGCAGGGTGTAGATTTGGTGTTCGATAGATGAAACCCCTGAAACATGATGACCACTCGAAGAGCAGCGAAACCTGATCATGGTGTACAACCAGTATGTCGATGGCATTTCGATGACATTTCCATTCACTACCATTTATCGTGTCTTAGTGCATTTATGCAAAATCTAGTACCGTATATGTATACATATATATACATATATATAAGATATGATAATATTTTAAATAATATAACTATATAACTTATCATGTAATAGATACATATATATATATATATAAATATTAATACAATATACCATTTACCACCTCCATTCCTGGGGATTCACCACCTGGGCAGCATCCCAGGAGACACCGAAGCGGACGCAGGTCTCATTTCAGGCATCATGGTCGCTGGGCAGACGTGCAGTCCCAACGATGGCAATGGTTGATGCGGAAAATGATAACTCCTGGATTTTAGGGCTGTTTTTTCCCCGAATTTTTCAGAGCCACTGATGTCACACAAAAACAATGTCCGCGGATTTTCCACTTCCAAGTTCCATGCCAAGAGGGTTTTGCTATGGGCGATGCTGAACTAAACCATCCCATATAACATATATCGGAAGATATCATGTAAAGACATGCGTGTTTCAAACATCAGGCATCCAAAATCAGTTCAAGGAGTTGCCTGTTTTTGACGGCAGGAAACGCTAAGATTTTGGAAAGTCGCACTTTTCCGCTAAGGAGGACCTCCGATTTGATCCATATGTCTAGGAGGAGCTTCTGAATCCATGAATTTTGCATGATCAGATTGCAAGAATCAATGGATTCATCGCAATTAGTCCTAAACTCCTAAACGGTCCTAAACCATGGTAAACTGCACTTTCGTAAACCATCCCTGATAACTCACCAGCTATAGGTGGGTGTTTCTCCAAATTCGGATACCCTAAACCAGCGGTTTGCCCATTGATATTTTAAGGACAATTTTGGGGAACCATATATATTTTAGGACTTCCCCAAATCTCCATTTCTACTGGTCAAGTTCCCATTTTTCGTCCTCAAATCACCAAGTGCGTTGCTCAAAAATCACGGTTTTTCTGGGTGAAATCAACATCGTTATCACTGAGGCCCTTCATTCCTTCATCGGCGCCGTGTGCGCGGTTTGCGTGCTGGATGTGGCTAAAGGCAGGGTTAGCCACTAAAAATTGGGATTGAACAATAAAAATGACTAAAAATGACTCAAAAGCAAAGGTAAGTGAACGATGGTTACTAGATTTTTGTGATAAATAATTTAAGATAGCTAAGTTGGTGAACGCAACTTGGTGAACGATGGTTACTAGATATTTGTGATAAAGGTCGTTCATCAATGGGGGTGTGTAAGCCAATTTATTACATTTTATTACTACGGGGGCCAACCTTGCAGGGTGTTTTACCACGAAAAATGGGAGTTTCCCCATCACCTTACATAACCAACCTGAAATGGATATTATATGATATGTGTACATATATATTATATATATACACACATAAACACTTGTCAAATACTCGAAATAAGGGCCAAAGTCATCCAGTTTGTCACTTGCATAGATCAAGTGTTCTGCTTCTACCCGGGTTTCATCATCCCATTGCGGGTGGGGCCACTGGGGCCCATTGCCGTTGCAGGCTTTCCACTGTACAGCTTCTACCAGTTCTATGGCGCTGCCGTGGTGGTGATTTGCATTTTAGTAAGCTGCGTGGCTAAAGAGGACGGCCTTTTCGGGAATTTTTGGGGCTACTGGAGTTGAACTGGAGTTTTTTAAGTGCAAGTGGCTTATAAACTGAATGTACGTGGGATATAGTATGATATAATCTTAGGATATCTTAGGTATAATACATATGTATATTTACACAGTTATAGCGTGTTATACCCATATACTTCAATGTGATATTGGGCGGGCTCCCTCGTTGCAGGTTTTGCCAGTGGAAAGTGCTGCAGTTTGGACATCTCATCTACAATCACCTGTGCACTGGCCCAAAGCTAAGCATTTGAACCAGATGTTCATACAATCCCATAGGATCCATGTATGCTATATATGGTAACATTTACCATCAATATACCCCAAATGTTAGCATATATACCATACATGGATCCTATGGGTATCCGAAAGATCAAGGAGGAAACCACCGGATGTTTCTCTGAAAATGAGGGTAATCCGCCCCTTTTGAAAATGCCATTGGCAGCCAGGGGTAACTCACCAATCTCGTCCCTGACCGTCAGGAGCCTTCGTCCAATCTCCAGTTGCCCAGTGCAGGCTGCCCGGGATTTCCCGGTGGATGTACTGTTTGCCCGGAATGAAACTGGATCATAAAATGTGAAGGCCTAAAACCATCTAAAACCTTGGTATTTCCCGTACATAAACACAAAATCCCCAAATCTCTGAACACATGCTACAGCGTGGTATCGAAGAAGGCTTTGCGATTTGAAGGTGCTGCAAGGGTCTTCGAAAACTCGTTTCTAAAATTGTGGGAGATTTGATTCCTTATTGAAGATCTTCAACATTTTACATGCTGGTCAAGCTTGTTTGTCTGGGCAAACGGCGCCGCCTGGTCCTATAAATACCTTCATATAGATGATTTATATTGATTTATCATTTATCAGCAATACTATACCATTTACCATATGGCTATTATACCATTTACCTATAAATACCTATTTACCAAGTGGTATATAATTCATATCAACAGTATTTATACCATCTACCTATTGGTTGATCACCATTTATGGTCAATGTTTTATCATATTGGTATGGATGGTATACTGATTTGATGATACAGCATAGATGATAAAAATGGGTACAAATGGATACAAATGGTATACCCAGCCTCCCGCCGGCCCCCTCTATTGTTTCCAAAAGAACATCATCGGCCACTCGAAGCAATGGCTTTCGGGATTGATTAACTGGAAAATGTTCACAAAATGGATAATTTTGGATCATTTTTCAGATATTCGCATGGTCAGGTGAGATTGCGGCGGCCTACACCATGGACCGTGCAAGAGACATGGATTTCTTTTGGGTGTCCTGGCACTCTGAGGGATAAGTGGTGTGACGGTGTGACTTACACGTACAATGATTATGTGGCAGCAGGAAGGATTTATTTCATCATGCCCAGAAAACATGCGATCCCTTTTGAAAATGCACAGATCTATTGGGGGAAATGTGTTAGACACCCTTAATGTCTACAATCCGTGTGATCTTCTGGAAGCAACTGACTGTGGCTTCATAATGTGATAGTTAAACATGACATCTTCAAATCATCCTGCTGGAGTGATTTTTGTAACTCGTGGATCTTGGCTTTTCCTATTTGGGATGATCTTGGCCCAGCCACCAGTAGTTTGCCCAGGTGTGTTATGGGCGTCTGCTGTTCTACACGAGCCAATCAGCGACTTGGGCAATCCGAGCAAAGTTTGGCCCCAAATCTGAGCCTAGCCAACATTCACAGCTGTTCCTGGTGGTTTTTTGTAAAACAAGAGAGTAGTTGGGGTATTCTGGATGCTGGACTTTTGGGCTATCTTGGATATCTTGGATGCATTTGCAAAACATATCAGATATAAATGAGATATAAATGATATATTGGTCATGAGTTTTCGGCTGTAAATCTCTGATTTTTGGAGATGACTCCGGCTCCCGCTGACTCCGAGAATCCTGCGAGGTCATTGTCTTCATGTCATACTTCATTCGGGATATGTTCCAGGTGCGAAGCATGCGAAGCTGTGAGCCACTGGAGAATGAGCCTATTGAAATTGCTTGACTTGGACTCATTTTTGATTGTTTCAGAGTAGGATAATTTCTGGATATGTATGGGTATGTGATATGTAATATTTAAGTAATATTTATGTAATATTCAGTTGATATTGGTATAATATATAATAATATATAATAATAATATATAAAATATATATTTTATAATATTCATAATATTTATGTATTTTTTTTAACATTTATAATATATATATATATATTATTTATATTTATATAGTAGCTTTATAATATTTATATAATGGTTATATAATATTTAATATTTATGTAATATTCATGAACATGGCTCTACTTGAAGTGACTTATTTTTGGGAATCCATCGCCAAGAAAACGGTTCACTTTACCCCAGTGAGATCTTCGTGGATAGCGGTAGCGCCGGTAGCGGTCATGACCCCAGTGATGTTATGACCCTGTCATCTCTACCATCCTGGGCCCACATGAGCGAGGGCTGATCATGAGGTAAACTGATGTCAACCCCATAATACCCCATAATAAACGAACCCAAGCAGAAACCATCCATAAACTATCCATTTCACAATCCTCAGTTGGGGTTTAGTTTGGTGAATCCCAAACTGTGAAATGACCAATGGACCTCGACGAACTTAGCGAACCGCAGGTGACATCCGAGAAAGAAGTCATCTCCAAGCTCAGCACGTTGGTGCCGGGGCCAAGGGCGAAGGGCTGCTTCTTTGTTTTTATCCTCCTCCTTCTGAATATAACATAATATAACATACATATTCTTCTTCTTTCTCTTCTTCTTTCCTGTTGTTGTTGTTGTTGTTGTCGTTGTCGTTGTCGTCGTCGTCGTCGTCGTCGTCGTTGTTGTTGTTGTTGTGATCAAATCTCCAATCGCCAGGTGCTAATCGGCCAACTGCTGGGTGCTGTAGTGGCAGTGCCCAGCAGTCGGATGTCGGACCACGTGGGCTGCAAACCCGCGGTCTACGTCTCCTGTGTGGTGCAATGTGTGCCATGTCTGCAGTGCGCTGAACTGCAAAGATCTGCGAAATCATGGAATCCTTGGGGAATAATGGGGAATGCTTAAAATTCATAGAAACTATAGAGATTTATAATAGAACCTATAGAGATTTACATCCCAGTTTTTGGGGTTGAACATGCACCCTGTGAAGGCATCCCCCAAACAAATTATAGGGCCTGAATTGTTTGGTGACCTTCCGTTTTTTAAGGATATGATTGTCCTCTATTCTTCCTGTTTGTTTTCTTTTAACAATGGGAATGTCCTTGGGTTTTCTCTGGAACTTGTTGGATTCAGAGATGTTGTACATCATTGAATCCAATGGCAGTCATGATTTCTCTGCGAGAGATCACGACATGCGTCGTATATAATATAGATCAACACCGATTGGAAGTCTATTATATTCTATTATATATTTGCTTTACATGGTTTTACCACATTTCAGGCAGTAGGGATGGAAACCAGGGGCTCAAATGCGTCCAAACAAGCATGAGGCATTATCAGTCATATCGTGCTGATGGTTGGTTATGCCATGTTATCTTGTTCTGTTCTAATTAGTTTCTGACTTTCTGATTTCAATTGGTTCTATAATACTTCTATATATGTTTTCCCATTGATTTGGGATGATCCAATCTGACCAGGACCGTTTGGGTAGGAATGAACTCTGCTGTCTTGGACATCCTGAGATCACCTTCCTCACCTTTATCCTGGCACCAATGCTGGCGTGGAATGTGATGCTCATTGGGGCTTCCTTCTATGGCCTTGGTTCCGGATCCTACATGAGCTGCTTGGCCTCTGGTTGTGGGATGTTGTGGGATGTGCGGGACAAAAATTGCCGTGTCACAAGGAACTGGATGTTTTGGAAGGTTCAAACAAGTTTGGTTTAAGCCTGTTGTATATATATATACATATTTTACACATATACCCTTGGTATATGAACCATTTTAAGCCTGTTTTAACTCCTTTGTGTTTGTTTGATGCTGTTGTCGTGGAGGCAGCTGTGGCCAGTGCTTGCATTGCAGAAACCTCTGCTGCCCAGGTGTCGATTATGCCTTGGCTCTCAAGTGCTTGCCCTCCAACAAGGAGCAGGGCAGGGTTGTGAAGCATCCTGGGTTTGATGCTATCAGGAGCTACCCTCTGGATCCCTCTGGTAATTTGTGACGTAGCTAAGGTATAGATAGCCAATTTAGTTCGATGATCTACCTTGTGAAAAAGCGATGATTTTCCATGAAGGCATCAGGAATCAATAGGAATCAATAGGAATCAGAGACCTTCAGTAGATCTGTAGCCTGTATATCCTGTGGAAGGGATCATCATCCTCATGGGACCAGACACATCATCGAGGTTTTTTTTAAAGCCAACCTATAGCAAGGCTGACCCCCGGAAGAATTTCTTTGGTTTGATTTTTTGGGTGAATGTTAATCAGGAACATCCAAGAACCACTGTTTGTCATCCTTGGACATCTTTTTAATATTTTTTAATCCTATCTTGTCATTATCCATGATTGGTATAGGTTATGTTCCCATTGTATTCCCATGATATTCAGATTATATATCAACTATATTCCCATGATATTCACATGTTTTTCTCTTTATTTGTTCATATCTTTCTCCCAGAAATTTCCCGTTGGGTTTTGCATCATGCGCAGGACCGCGCTCAATCATTCGGGCTGTGGGGCATCGCAGGGTTCATTGGTAGCTGCTTGGGACCCTTAGTCGCCGGAGGTGTTCTGTGGCTATTCCCAGGCGCTTCCCGAGCCATGTGGAGGATGGGAAGGATGGGTGGATGGGGGTTGAAGATGGCGATCCAAAGATATCTTCGAAATAGATGGGATATGTTGACATCAACCATCCACAAATCGTTTTTTTTTGTTTGGTTTGTATGTCCACGTTTCTGACATATTTTGAGCAACAATCCAAGCATGCCGTTCCAATCATTTCCCAAAGCTTGTCAGCAACATGGTCCTCCAACCATTCAACTCACCAGGTCCAGATTCCACATCTCTCCATGCACCTCAGTTCCAGTACAAGGCCTGGGTCGGAGTGACGTCCAGGACTGTTTTCATTTACCTGTTTCGGTCCATTCGGTCTGGCGATCCAGTGACTCTAGTGGATTCAACCCTCAACGCCAGGGCTATGCCTTCGGCTTGCTGTTGGCGGGATCCCTGCCCGCCCTTGCCGTGATCCCGGCCACCAAGCAGATCATCCGGAAAGTCTGAGAGGTCCGGAGGAATCGTGTTGGCCGGGCTGATGGCCTGCTGGTTACCATCAGAGCTGTAACGATATCATGTTATGTCTACATAATCAGATCATGGCTATGGACCTGTACTCCTGAAGGTGTTCGCTTTCGGGATCCATTCCAAACCTGCCAGCTTGCCAAGTATCGCTTCTAGCCCGCCAGCTCGTGCTGTCTTTAGCAAAGTACTCGCACCTGAGCTACAACATGATACAATGCGGTCCAATTCTCCGGAACCAACCATTCTACTGCGGATGCTTTCTTTCCTCCCCCTTGAAGCTTTAGACTTGATTCCTCCTTTGCTAGAAGGCCAACAAGATGCTGCATGACGCAAGTGAATGGGTGCCGACGCACTTCAAGAATGAAATGCTGTGGACCGAAAAGAGCCATCTTGGGTGGAAATGGATTGCAAACACATGCCGGGGTATCTATATATTCTACAAAGAGGATAACGAGGTCAGGTCAATTCACCTGCTCATCTAAAGTCTAGAAGTGGGATTCCACCATGTATCCACCATGTCATACCCTCGGAAACCTCGGAAACTGAAGTGGGTGGGCGTTGTAAATTGAGTTCCAATCGCGGCCCCAGGTGCCTTAGACCGAGCGAGGCGCTGGAAGGAGGTGCTGGAGCTTTTCCAGCTGCAAAAGGAGCTCCAAGTGCAGCCGAATGTCGTTTTCTGTGGCACCTTGGAACGCCTTGGAACGTTGATGGGAATCAATGGGACACATCACGATAAGTCGGGGTCATGATAAATCAAGGACCGGTTTTTTTAATGGGGAGATCAGCTTCAAATTTCACGAACCATGCGATGAAGTGTGATTTAGACAATTGATACTGGAAATTGGGTGTCTGAAAATGGATGAATTAACCGAATAATTAACCCCCCAATTTGATGGCAATTTGAACTGGGAAAATGACGGATTAAACTATTAAACCATGGCATTCGCCCGACACATCCAATGGAAACAGTGCCAATCCCCAAAAAGATGAAAGGCTGAATCATATCAGTTGTTGAATCAAGGGTATTGGTATTGGTACTACTACATACTACTACTATAATATTACTGATGATATCTGATGATTACTGTATATATAAAGCTGTAAAATACCACAAATGGTACTTCTATAGAAGTCGAAGTGAATTCGGAGGTCCAAATGGCGGATTGGCAGCATTAAACAACCAAAGCACAAACACAAACTATAAACAACGATAATTTGACATAACATGGAAACTCACCATTTTCAACAGGTTACATCATCAAACAAAATGGGCCATCTATACCATAGCTATGTTAGTATACTGGAGGGTATAATTCCATGTTCTTATTGCTTCAATCCCAATTGACCACCATAAAATTCATAAATGCCTATGAAATCAACATTAAACCACCATTGTTGGTGGTAAAATCCGATGAAATCCCATTCAACCACCATGTTTCACAGTAAAATCCCATGAACATCACACTTTTTCACAGTAAAATCCCATGAAACCACTATCAGCCTCTGGTCCAAAAAGATCAACTGAGGCCATGCCCTCGGTGCCATGGCCAGCAGTGTCCAGTGGCGACCAAGCTTGGCGCTGTTGACGGCCAACCTCGGTGCCTTGATTCCTATGGGAACCAAAAATCTGGCGTTTTTTTGAGATTTCCTGGTGATTTTGTTGGTTTTGAATTTCGAGTTTTGTTATAGTTTATAGATGTTTGTAGAATAGAGTCCTTTTTACTGTCTGATTTTGAGATTTTGGTTGATTGTTGGATGGGTTTTGCTTTACATCATCCCATTTTGGAGATACCCACTCTGTTGACCCGTTCCCAAATGGTTCACCAATTTCGATCAACACTATGGTGAAGCCTAAACCAATACCAATCTCAACATGTTTCAGGAAACCCAATGTCTCAGCACAGTGGGGCAGTCATGGGGGCATTCATTTCACACCAGCAATACTCCCTGGTGTGGGGTTTTACTGCCAGGGGCCCATCCAAGGGTGTATGCTTTGGCCCAATGGGGCTTTTGAATACTTCGTTTCGGCTAGGCTGAGCCAAAGTACCAAGCCACTGCACGGCAAAGATATGCAAAAACTGTCACGCCAGCACTGATCCGCCATTTCTCGAAGTCATTCGCTGTTTGTACTAAGCCTGATGTCTACTGTATCACTTCCCACAGCAATCACTACAGGTAGCCCTTTGAACATGTTTCAAATTCACTGTGGTACGAGTTATCTGCCAATATGCTGACCGGTCCATGGTGCGCTTTGTCTCCTTGATACTGTGCTGTGCTACAGCAACTGCTGCCCATGTTGACGCTCCTGAAGATAGCGTTCAGCTGGCGTTGAGCACTTCGTCGGACAATATGTCGTAGGAACCACTACAAATATTTTTGTCACGACTTCCCCTAACACAAACGTTCTTGAGCTGGACATCTGGAAAGACTCAATTTAAACATATGTGATATGAATACCTGTAATTAAGTTATCGACAAACAGTTAGTTTTCCATTTTCAGAAGTTGGTCATACATACAGGGTTTTGTTCGTTTGATTCTGACAATTATGTGCTAGATAAGATCTTCTCTCCAGGTATGAGTCAAGATAGTCAAGAAGGCACCATACCATAGGAATGAAGTGTTGGTGGGTTGAGCCAGTGGTTAGATATATCTTTTAGATTCTTTTGGGAGTCTTTACGTAGACGCATCCAATCACTACTCCTCACCCATCTGGCCTGAAAAGACATGAAATAACCATAATCGTAGAACATGTAGAACTGTCACATGATTTTTGCCAAGATCCAAGTACATCCGCTTGTATACCAAAGTATGTTCAAGGCTATTCTGCAACCATCAAGATTGCCAAGGAGATGCCCACAACGACACCACTCCCTATGCGCCTTGCCCGTCCTGCCCGGTCTTCGCTTACGACAGCTGGAGGGGCCTCATCCGCCAGGGGAGCTGTCGCAAGCTGCAGATCCAGGATCGCATAGGGCACTGGGCCACCATCAGATGTAAAAAGCTGGATGGGAGAAAGGCCGGAATGGGATGGAATGGAGGGATGTTGGTTTCTGGGGATGTGGAAGTCTGGGAATTCATGACGCGCTGAAGCCAGTTAGGTTTTCAGTGTTCGAAAGGTGTTCCGCTTCCCTGCTGGCATCTTTGAGATCCACGAGCAGCTCCTGGTCCCCTCAGAAGTCACGATCCTCGGCGCAGCCAACCCCAACGACATGTCGGAGCCAAAGAAGACGCCTGACTGGACCAAACAGACCCTCTTTCTAGCCACCAGGGGAGATTCTTGGATGGTGCAGATGTGCCGTTGTATGGAGTGAACAGCCTGGGGAGTATTTGGGATATCACTTGTGGTATCTGAATATATATATAATATATAATATATATAGTATATACATATAATATATATATAATTTAATATACATATATACATATATATATATCATATACATCTATATTAATATAATATAATATATTATATTATATTATATCATATTATATTATATCATATTATATTATATTATATTACATTATCTTTTATTATATTAATATATATATATATATTATATTAATATATAATATTTGATTATATGCATGATTATATGTATATATGTATATATATATGTGATATTTGAAATACAAGTAGGCTAGACCTTCTTGGGATGGGTTTGGATCCATAGGGTGACGTATCTTGGCCCAAGCTTCGACTCCAGGAGTAGATATTGGGATAATTGGATATATTTGGGAGGATGAAGGACGTCAACTACCGCTTGTATTCAGCCTCGTATTCAAAATTATTGGCTTGCCAGTCCTCTCTAAAGTTTCTTTCCAGAAAAAAAAGTGGTGTTTGTTCTATCTGACTCACACCAAGCAAGCAAGCTGGTGCCAATGTGGAACTCCAGTTGCTGTAGGAGAAGTACAGTAACTTCCAATGAGCCAAAGTAGCACAGCTATTCACAGATTATTTTTTTGTTGAAGCCGAGATGGTACAGAGCTTGAAGCTAGCAAGCAAACTGTGTTGTGGCTTTCATCCAACATATGTATATATATATTCTCTGTACGATTTAACTCGACGTCACGATGTCACCCCCGAATTAACGAGGCAGAATTTCGAAATTAAGGGGAGTATGTACGTATCTCTAACCCAACCTGTACCCGATCCCGCTTGCTCGCAACGCGCATTGTTGACAACGAGCTCTTTGATGCGCGACCGGGTGAGAGAGGAGAGATGAAAAGGATATGATTATACTCTATATATTATACTATATATGTATATATATATATGTTGATATGATATATATATATACACTATAAAGCCTGATATATATATATATATATATTATATAGAATTGTTTATATATATATATGTATGTATATTAATATATATATATTATAATATGAATAATACACCATATACATATTATATAATATACATATAACATATACATAATATAATATGTGTATAATGTAATAATATATAATATACAGCCACTTATTCTCTACTTTGCAGTGCGCTGAGGTGACAGACTACAAGATGGTCTACTGCCATGCAAAGGAGATCCGCTGCAGCGAAACGCTATGGAGAATCACCATTTGTTTAATGGTAAATCACCATTTTTAATGGGTAAATCATCCATAAATGGTCATTTTCCATATCATTTTCCATATCATTTTCCATATCTATGTGAGTTTCCTGGATGGTACAGATAGAGATGTTTTTAAGTTCGGCAGTGTCATAAATGTACAGTTTTCAATTTTATGAGACAATGACATGATAAAAATCAGAACCACTTTTCCATTTGATTCACTGCTACACACCGGAGCTGTTGTCAATCATCTACGGTTTATTTATCGCGGGTTAACAGGACTGGTTCAGCTTCTATCATGTTCTATCAACGTGTTGTGCAAGTAGTGTACTTCATGACGTTTCATGTTTCAAGTGAATGTGTTCATTCAGCCAGTTGAACGATTCCTTGGCATGACGACGTCAGAGCGTTTCAATGTCATAGAGTATGGTTTCTCGTTCCATTGTAATCATATTTCCCAATCTTAAATACCACGAAAGCCAATCGGTTTATGTTGAATCCATTCATTTTGATCATTTTGGGGTTCCCTATCAAGGTTGGTACAGTTTTATTCATCAGCTCAGCACTCAGCACCCCTGGACTGGAGCAGGACATGGTCACCACTCGAGTGGGCTTTGTTTTGAGCAGCAACGTACGCATGCGAGACATCAGTTACCAAGGTGGGTGCTTAAATTGGCTGTTGGTGGCCACCTCGATGGTTGGATGGTTGATTCATGTGTTTTGGGGGTGAAACCCAGCTATTTGTTTTAGCGATTGCATTTGGTATGCTTCTATAAGAAATATGAAAAAAGTGACCATATTATACCAAATTTGTGTTCATGAGCTCCTGATGAGCATTTATGATGTTCAGGCTATGAGTTACTGGTGCCCCAATGACACGCAGGTATTGACACCATCCGGCCCTCTGACAATGGGGCTCTCTGTGGTGGTGGGGCCTTTGAAACAAAGGGCTGTGCTGAAAACGACTGCAGCGTCTCCAGTGTGAACAATGGAGGATCAGAAACCTGCTTCGAGCTGGGAAGGAGTCCACATGAGTCCAAAAAAGTCCACCCACCACACCAAACATGTCTATGTGTTTTTTTTTAAATGTACTCTGACCCTGACTGTGATGCAATGTGATGTAGATGTCATTCTAATTGTAAAGTACTGTAATGCATGTATACATGTATAACCATGTATCATCATGTTATATATATATATATTGCTAGGGGTAGGACATGGTAGGACAGGACGTTTACCGAAATCGACAGTCTTCCATGTAGGACTGCAATTTGTTGGGTTGTTGTCAGAAGCTAGCAAAATTATTAATGGTTGCCAGAAGCCGAATGCCGAAATCATCTTTTAAACTGTGTTTGGAACACCACATTGGCAACCCAATCCAGAAGCTAGCAAAAATCATGAATGTCCATTGGAAATCTTCCATTATTTTGCTCCTGCTGAAAGACAATGACAATGAATTGCACATTCCAGACTTCCAGTTGAAGAAGCATCTTTTGTGTTGGATACTGATATCACAGAAACTTGTATAATTATTGAGAATCGTGTGTGGCCTGATGTGGTTTCCTATATTGTGAAATTAGTTCTTTTACATTTTAGGCAGGTGATTGTAATGAAATGGATATATAGCTTCTGCATTGCTGGGGATGGCGGGGCACAGGCATTAAATTGGGATTAGCGTTGTCTCACTACATGACGGTATTACGTGGCGGGCAACAATCAAACTTAAGGATGGACAAGGCATCAAGAACGTGACTCTCGATCGGATTCGCATCAACGATTTCTTCTTTGCCGAAGATTCGGTGAAGGTCGGGCGTGGGTGATGATTACCCATGTGCAATGCAAGTATTGATTGACCATTCTTTTTTTGGGGGCATTCTCGATATGTTGGCAAGTTTTTAACATTTTTCCCCATGTTTTGTGCAAATCCATGAACATAAGGGATACATCCATATACATCCGCCTTAACCCATTTTGGTTGCCTCGTTGTGAAACGATCTGGACTCCAGGTAGGTGCGCCAATTCCTGGAAATTATGATTGTCGGACAGATCATTGGATGGAAGAGTGCTGCTTCTGCAAACCCAATGGCGTGCGATCCACACAACTTGCTGTATGGGTTCCTGATTCCCGCGGAGCGCAAGGACGGCGCCGGTTGAGTGACATCAAAGGTTCAGTGAAGCAGCTACCATTTGTTATACTGTGGATCCAATTGTACAATGCTGTCTGATAACTTTAATGTGTCAAAGTGTCAAACAACCCAATAGTATCCCATAGTAAGCAACCCTTAATGTTGCCACACGTGAATTGCTGTTTCACCATGTTTCACCGTTGTTTATGGATCAGCTTCAGCCAGTCTCAGACATCCCAAATGGTCAGTTGCAACCTGAAATCTTGATCGCCCCCGAGTTCCAAGACGTAGCTCCAGTGTAGACTTTTTGACCCCCAAATCTCTATATAAACCCATGCTGGATTTTTTTGGAGAAGAAAGCATGACAAAAATAAATTGAAAAAGTTAATCATCCAAGAATCTAAGCCATGCATAGCCATGCCAAGTTTCCCAGGTTTCCGAACGTTTCGGAAACGGAAACTCCCAGGATCCTCAGAGATCCATGTGTCCAATCTGGTGATGCGTAGCTCCCAAGCCGATGGCATTAACCTCCATGGAAAGGTCTCGCATGCAACGGTGAGCAAAGTGCCCGGTTGCGCAAGCGGATGTTATGAAATATGACCGTACAGCGAGGATAAACATAATATCAATTAATATCATATAATTAACGTACAGTACAGTACAGTAATGTAATGTAATCTATAAGTGTTATATAATATTATACTAAATATACTATGTTAGTACAGTCACTGTACATATCATGCTATATGAACCTATGATATTATGTATGTTGTATTTCTTATCCCAAGACAGTAGAATTGTAGGTATCACCTCGGCTCTGTACTTTCATGCCAGTGGATCATGGGAGGTGTAGACAGCTCCAGTTTGGGATTTCATTGGCAGGATTGTCGCTATTAAAAATTACCAATTTTAGGACATGTACAGTTCAATACCAATGGATTTCCTTATCTTCTTATTTCGGGAAAATATATGTAGATATGCAGTGTACAAACGCCACATTTACCCTTATCCATTCTTAGTAAACCCAGGGTGAATGGGTGCAGCTTGCTTCAACAAGGTGCTGATCGAAAACACGGGAGACGACACCTATGCGCTCTGGGGTGCGGACGCAGACCCAAAGGATAAACGTCCAACGTTTCGCCCATCGAGACGCGTTGGTTTCTTGAATGATGTGTACTTTTTTTGGGACATACTTACTGTTCAGAATGGCGTGAATCCACCCAGCAATTGATGTAATGCTCATCGAAACACTGTATTCCGTGAATGTATCATCTAGGACAAATGGAGGAGAAACTGGGACAGTAGCAGAGATGGACACCACTTTGGATATCGACAATTCTGAAAATGAAGCAGCATGAATGCTTTGCTCCAGAGTCTAGAGTACAAAATTTGAGATAGTATGAATTATTATGATATTATGGATATAGGATCCTCAATGGAACTTGAACTGCTATTACTATCACGTGAATCAACTTGGAACTTGCATCCGCGCTTTAAAACCTCAGCAGGACATCGTCTTCAAGGATTGTGCGGCTGTAAATCCTGGGATCATGCGCCCCAATTGGTATGGCAACTGTGTTGCCACCTACGGCCACTTGGACCGACCAGCAAAGGGGGAGGCTTCACAATTGGAACTGCAACCAAGACATGGTACAGCAAATCTTGTGGAGATTCTTGATCCTGGATGAACATTAGTCAAGCATCTTTGCTTTGGTTTCAGTGGCCTACATCCTAGAGACTGTTGGCTTATGACCATGGTACTGTACTCCTAGTGATTATTCATCATTTTCAACCATTTTTGAACATTGGGTTATTAGCCGCCTCCAGTGTCCAACTTTTTTCTGAGGGATAGCTTAGACTCTGAGAATTTTCCTGAGGATTGAAGAGTGTGGTCTTTGAGAACATCAGTTGTGAGGCTGCCAGTCCACTGAAACCCATTCAGCAGCCGGGAAGTGACGATGTGATGATTGACACCTCGATGTTTGTTTTCTACACCAGTGCCTTGTTAGAAATTGACACCTTGGCCAATCGAAGCTGCATATGTTTTTGCAGCGATTTGTGGTTGAGATTCTGCATCCGTGCAGATCGCGTCAGGTCTTTTTGGAGAAGTGTTGTGGGTTGCAAACGCAAACTGGTTGGTGGTTTGGAACATTTTTTATTTTCCATAATATATGGGATAATCCTTCCCATTGACTAATAAATATTTTTCAGAGGGGTAGGTATACCACCAACCAGCAAAGTAAGTAGGAGAATCTTCTTGAAACCAAGACTTTGGATGTAGCTCACTTGGCTCACTTTTCGATGAACGTCGGGGTTTTATCACATTTCACAAGCTGGCTATCGTCGAAACTGAAGGTTTTGGTGGTAGCTATCCATCTGGCAACACAGTTTGTATCCGCGACTGGTCCTTCATGGATTTGACTGGGAAGAAGTACACTCCCCTGAATGGGTCGATGGAGGTTTATAAACCTCACAAAATGGTTTGGACGCGAGCTGGAAATGGCGTGCTGGCTCCCTTCTACTTGCCCAGCAAGAAGCAGCAGGTGAATGTGAAGGTATGTCCAAGTGGAGACACGACATGCTGCAGCCATTGAGAAAAAGCAGGCGTACAGGATTCACAATGGCTCCCCATTCCAAAGGATTGTATACACATATGTATATAATATATATATAATCTATAATTATGTATAGCTATAGTATAAAAATATATGTATACTGTATATATAATATATGATTATGTATGTATATCTAATTATGTATATGATCCTCATTAAAGTGTCAACTAGTGATGAACTGATGTTGACTGGTGGTCTGGAATCTCAGGCATGGAATGATCATTATGGGGTATCCCCAAACATCCCCAAACCATCCATTTTCCCAGCGAACGAAACCGAAACATTTATGGGGATTTTCCATGGCGAACTGTTAAATAACCAGAGGGTAACCTTGATCGAAACTTGCCATGTGGGGGGTGTACCATGTTGTACCGAATTTCCAGACAGCATTGAGAATTTTATGTTCCCAATCAAAATGGTGGTCATCATCCACTAAATATCACTAAATGTATCTAAATGTGTGGTGTGTGAAACTGCAGTGAAGCTCATTCCAGAAGAATTCACCAGTGCGCTGACCATCTTGATGCATGATTCATTTCACAGTTGGAAGACATGTATCTATCATTTGCTATCCAGTTGTTTATAATCCAATAGTATTCAACCGCAGCAGTATCATCCAACCGTATCCGTACATTTGACATATCAAATTGTCATAAATGGTAAGATTGATACATGGCATGACATGCTAATGTTGATTAACCTGCTCAGGTTTTGAGATGGATGTGGTGTCCTACACAGATCCTTGGCACGGAAAACGAGGGGATTTCGCAGGATGCTGTGGAGACTTTCATAGATTCATAGATTGGCTTGAACCGATATTAGACGACATATGGTGGTTTCTTAAAGTGGTGGATCCCCAAAACGGATTTCAATGCAAAATCCTACAATTTGCATGATTTGGGGGGCACCACCATTTTTTGAAACCTCAATATGAAAGAATTTCCAGCTGGCCCGTTTCGTGATGAACAGTGCCTGGTCACCGGCCCAGCCCAGCCGTGCCTAGGCAGTGCTTGATGCCTGTTGCAGCAGCTACCAATTGGCAACGGCTCTAAAGGTTCTGGAGGAGATGCAAAGGCAGGAACTACACCCCAACATCATCTCCTATTCAGTCCCTTGGCTGTTTTAAACAGCATCTTAATGCATCTTATGTATATAGTTTATAATCCCATCCGCCTGATGTCAACACCCCAGAAACCATGAGTTAGTAGGGGATTTACAATGATTTACACATATTTTGGACCATCAAACGGAGGTGTTTAATATTAGGGGGATGGGATTATACAGGATCCCCAGTCAATGTCATGGCCGCCATGGCCCAAAGACTCGGGTCCCATTAACATCGGGGACGTCCCAAAATTGAAGGTTTATGAATGGATTTACCATGGGTTTACTTACCATTGCCATGGTGAAACCATGTGTTTACCATGGGTTTACCATGGGTTTACCATGGCAAAACCATGGGTTTACCATGGCGAAAACATGGTGAAACCATTCCGCAGTCGTGATCTCAGGCTGTCCTGGACGCCTGCGAACGGGATCTGCAAGCTTCGCAGTTGCTGGAGATGTGCGGTTCTCCAGGATCATGGTAGCCTCCTGTAAACCCAACATAGATGTGACATAATCCATCATAATCCATCATTATCCATTGATTATCCATTGATTATCCATTAATTATACACGAATACTCCATCAATAAATATATTTATTGATGGAGTATTCGTGTATAATTAATGGATAATCAATGAATAACCAGTAGATCTTATAGAGAATTGATGGATATCAACATAGATGTGGAAAACTTACCAGACATTTAGATTGTCCTAGGGAAACCAGTGTTTTCCACATTTTGATCATTTTGTTGGATGTTCTTGTTGTATGTTTACCCTAGGGTAACCACCTCCAGTAATCAAAAATGGCTAGCTGGGAAATGATGTACAAATGGAGGGAGGTTTTAATGGGACAATCATCTATAAATGGCAAATTTTCCATTGCCATCTTTGTTTACTGGAGGGAACCCCCCTGTTTTGTTGGTGACCGACATTGGAAGAATCTAGGAAATCTTGGGGAAATTCGAGGAATTTCTTGAAGGCTGGCCTTTTCAACCATCGAACATCCCGAAGATCCTACGGTCCTATGCCCCAAGTTCCAAAAATCGGGATCCAGCAACTTGGAGACTACTGCAGCCTTCTATGTCAATGAAGATATCCATTTTGTTCATCTGGTTGATCTATCCTCCCCTCGTTTGATAATAAATGATAATAATAATAATAACAATAATAATAATAAATATATATATATATATACACGCCCACACACATGAGTCAGGAACGATTAGGAACGATTGTTTCCCCATGATACAGCCATCTTGAGCTGTAGAACTATTGCAGGTTGCCATCATGTTCGACCACTTCATTGGATTTGATGCTGCTTGGTCTGAACTTTTGATGGAAAAGAGGTGTCATGGAAGGGAGGTTGAGCTGGCAGGACACTTTTGGATACTTTCGGATGCTGTTGGTTGCTTTTGGATACTGCCACTAGAATCCTTTGGAATCTCTTGGATACTTTTGGGATCCCGCGGCTACGGTACAGCAGCCCATCTAATTCTGGGTTCACAGGCAACATCTTCGAAGCTGGGCTCGGAAGCCTAGAGCATCATGGTGGCCGTAAATCGGTGGGTCAAGGCTTTAAGGCTGAGGGAACAAATGTTAATTGCAGTCGCACATCTATTTCATGGCATGGACATTATCTTGCAGTGAAAGCCACTAATTGCGGTAGGTCTTGGAGTCGAGAAGTGATGACAAGTCTTGGGTTCTGAAGATAGTGTGGACTGATGCGTCTTCACTCAGCCATCAATTTGGCTCAAGCTCTGCAAGCAAGACTTCGAGTCACCCTCGAGGGTCACCGAAACCTTTTCGTTTCTGTTTCTTATCAGCGTCCACAACTCAGTCCTCCAAGTCGTCCCAAGAAGCAGATTTGGAGCCAAATCTGACTGCCAACTGAATATCTATGGATTCTGAATATCGGTACTTGATCCCTTAAAGGGGCCACGTGCCAGGGCCATTGGCACAGCCGAGGTTCCCATGGCTGAAGAAGCTCCATCCAAGTTTCTGTGCAGATTTCAGCAAGATTTCACCCCGTGGGCCATGATGGGCCGTGATGGGCCGTGATGGGCCATGGCAACTTGCTTCTTGGGGAACCCCATATAATATGTCTCAATATATGATTCAATATGTAATTATAGTATATAATAATAGTAACAACAATATTAACAATAGTAATAACAATAATGATATACCCCCTGATTTAACATAGCCATGGTATAGATTGCCCATAGAAATAGATGGTTTATCTATTAAAAATGGGTGGATCTTTCTATGGCTATGTTAGTCATAACCAGATGGTATATATCCAGATGGTATATACATTCAATGACTACATATATATATATTAAACATGGTTATTTTCCATGGTTATGTTGGTTTACAAGAGGGTAATAACACCAATAATATAATCCCTCTGGTAAACTTTTTTTGGACATAGTTATCATAGTTATCATAATCCCTCTACTATCATGAACTAATGATAACTAATGGGACATGGCTGGTATCATCCCATAACTTCCCCTTACTTTGCCCATGACACCATGTCCCAGGTCCCTGGTGGAAGGCGACCAGACCAGCTATGGAGCCACGGAGGGCACCAGCAAGGTGTGGATTTGAGATTGGAACAGGGGGATTTAATGGGAACTTAGTGGGATATATATATAATATATATATATTATTATATATTGTACTTGACAATAATCGATTCATATATATACTATTATATATTGTATTTGACAATAATCGATTCATATATATATATATATTATGAAACTGGTGACGGAGGAAAACCTACCTAGGTTCACACCACAAGGCTTCGCTCCATTTCGTCCTCGAACCAGCGTGCCTGCGAGTCTTGGCGAATGCAGCACGATATGAATGTTCGGTTGACCTGGCCAGATGGATGGAGTCAGATGACGCTGATTGGGATACTGCTTTCACACTCCCAAAACAAGAAAACAAAAACAACAAAAAAAAAACGAAGCAAAAGCAAAACAGCAAACAAACAAAAACCAAAACACAAACACCACACAGCTCACCGGCTGTTCACAGCAGTTCTCCCTTCAGAGCTTATATGTCCTTTCAAAATTTGACTCCTCACACATCTGACTTGCGTTCGCGGGGCACAGAGGTGCCTGGAAAACACTGCTCGGCGGAAAGTGCGGGCAACTTTGTTGCCTTCAAATACAAGGAAAAATCTTCGAAACGACCTCCGCGGGAGGCACCATGTTCAGCCACCCATTTCAAGTATGGCTGCTGATCAGGCATGCGGGTCAATTCTTCGTATGAGGCATTCAAACTTGCCACCCTCGGTAAGCGGCAAATCGTAGTCCCCCAGTCGGCCAACGAAGAAACTCCAGGTGGAAAGGTGATCTTGGAATCCTTGGGCTTCAGCACAATTGGATCCTGTTTCCCAGTCGTGGTCAAGCCTGACAGGTGATCCATGAACTCACCAGTGGAATCTTCATAGCTGATGGCATCCCACTCGTCGGTCTCGCGCAAACGTTTGCTGCCATCATGCATTGATCCACCACTCATCTCCACAGGAGGGCCCTGACGCTCAAAACGAGCAAGAATCTCCCGAGCCATCATCACCTCGGCGTTGGTCACTGGCTTCTCTGGTTCTTGGGACATTGCTCTCAAACCAAAACTCACCAGCACAGTCGAAGATCCACACTTTGAAAACTACGCTCGAGCAAAACTGTGAGCATCACCATCTCTTGGTGAAATGCAAGACTTGACATGCAGGCTGTAACATTGTTCAAAACTGTACACATGATCGGAAAGCTTTCAAAACTGTGCACGGACGGATGCAAAGGCGAAGGTTCGGCAAGTTACGTTAATAATCCCCTGAGTATTAAAGTTTATCCTTACCTTTATCCCTCAAATTTCACATCTCTATGTTAGAAATTCCATTGGCTTCAGCTCGCTGGTGTGCCTTCTGTTTGCGGTGCTCTTTCTCTGCCTTTTTTCTGTCCAGGACTAACTGCTCGTCGGCAAGTTGATATTTTGCAGCACGAACCACTGATCTCAACAAATCGATCGGTTCGGACTTGTCTTTTGTCAAGCCGTCAGCAACCATGTGACCTGTGGCACACCACCTTGGTTCCAGACCTGTGCGTTGGATCGACTGTCTAATCACAGCTATGTCAATTGCAGTTCTCTTGTCTTCTACGGTTCCACTGTTGGTGAGAGAAATCAAATGATCATATAGAGAGCGACAGTCACTGATCCCTATTGGCTTTCTACGAAACAAAATAGACTCAACATCTTCCAAAGCAAAGCTGCCGTCTAAGGCTTCGCTAACCATAAGGGAAATCCATTCGCACACTCCAGAAGCGGTTGCAAATGCTTGGGCTTCACCACTGAGTGTTGAAGAAACCACACGAGGCAACTTGTATGACTTCCATGCAAAACAATACACTGGAACATCAACCCTTTTGACATGCGGTTAGAAGTGAAAGCAACAACCCAGCCTCCCTGTGTTTTCAGCTCTGTGGTATTGGCGAAGGCTGCATCAGACCAAAAACATAGTGTCAGTTCATTGAGTGGAATGAAAGGTACGGTGATCTTGAAGTCTGACTGTTGTCATGCTCTTCTTACTGCTTGGTTTGCTTGAAGTAAATCATACACTGTTGGATTGGGAAAGCATTGTTGACTCAGTGATGTTTGAACTGAGAGGTCAGGTCTGGTTTGGGTGCTCAGCCACCCCAAAGCTCCATTCACCGCTCTCAGGGCTGAAATTTCCTTCTCTGTGGCGGCTAGCCAGGGTTTCTTTGAACGTTCCTTTGATACTGAAATTGGCCTGATGTTTTCCGCATATTCCTTTTGAGAATAGGTGATCTGGAAACTGGTTGGACACTGATCATAGATTGTTCCCAGGAATTCCCCATTGCCAGTCCTCCACTTACGGAAAGGAAATCGAGCTTTCAACTGCTCCACTGCTCGATCATACTCTGGACCATGACCCCCTGTAATGGTGTCATCGACATGTGCACCAAGAATTCCTTGTACCTTGCCTTCAGAACCATAACAGAAATACAAACAGGAGTCAAATTTGCTCTTGGTAAAACCAGAGTGTTGAGCAACAGTGTCAAATTCCTGATACCATTCGTGAGGGGCATCATTTGCTCCATAAATATTTCCCAGCACTTGCACCAACGACCCTTCCGGAATTCCTGGAACACCTCCAGGAGGCAGCTCGGCGTACACGGGATTTCTCAGAGCTTTGTCTCTCACATTTGCTTCAAGAAAAGCCCCCTTGATGTCACCCAAATTCATTGTCCATTTGTTCGATACCAGCATCTGGAGAATCAAACTTCTTCCAAACTGTGACAATGTCGGTGAGTGACACTTCCCAGCTAACACCTTTTGAACCAAATCGGGATCGTGATGACCTCGAAGACACCACCTTGACTTGATCTTGGATTCCCCGTCTTCATGTTTCTCCGTCACTACAAATCGACTTGTCATGATCCGATCTGGTTTCTGTGCTCGGATACGCTTTGCTTGCCCTGGCAGGATTATCCTGATTGCTTCTTTCTCATCTCTCAAGGTGGACCATTCTACAACCTTAGACTCATCAACCTTTTCTTGAAGAGCAGGAGGATTGTTCGAGTGGTGCAGTTCTTTGGCCATCTTTTTCTTGAGGAAGTTTGCAATCAAGACCTCCAGTGGTTGGGAGGAGTTTTCGATCAGCATGCACAGGTCTACCGCATCGGTTTTGGTGCACTTACTCGGTGGCTCTACACTTGACTCTCTGGAGTGATTCCTCTTGGTACCATGAGACTCTTCCAGGATTTCTCTCAAATCATCAGCCTGAGTTGCATGAGGTCTCAGCCACAACATCTCTGGACCCTTTTGATTCATCCTAAGTCTTACGGGACCATAAGTACTATTCTTACCCCCTAGATCACTATCCCCAGGACTCATGGAAGGTGTGCTTGGAAAAGGCTCACTCCTAGGTCCTTCGGATTGTCTAGAGTCAGTGGAATCATTCATGGCAGGGTTACTGGTTTCAGGACTGCTTCCATGACTTGGTGCACTTGACGAAGAAGACACTGTAACCAAACCCCTTTCCTCGGGAGTCAAGGCATCTCGCACCTTTCGCACCTTGAACTGAGATTCTCCCGTCCATGGTGGCTGTCGGATCTCTACTCGCTGAGTTTGTGGTTCTGAGAAGATCTGGTGTATGATTGGCTCCAACGAGTCTTGCACATAGGTTGCTCTCCAATCTTCAAACTGAAAGTTCTTTACGACTGGGTCATCTTGGTCCGGCATGAATGCAGTCGTACGTGCCGACTTGTGGATACGGCACAGCAAATCCCCTCGTTGGACCCAATGATCTTCCAGCAACTCTGGATGGGACACTACCGGTGGTTGAGATCGCACTTCTGGATCACTTTGCTGAGTGAGATCGATAAATTGGTTTCCAAGGAACTTTTTCTGATCTGTGTTCACCAATGCATCAATTCCTAGGAGCTCCCTACCATCAGTTTGAGCAAGCATCCGTTCCTCAGTGGTCACATGTCTCAAGTGTTCTGGAGCTACTTTGAAAAGGTTCTTACGGTGACTGATTAGAAAGTTCCTACCAATCTTCCCCATGACGATTGCAGTGCCATACCAACGACCTCCTACCATTCGAACCCCCTTTTCATACTTCTGAGATCTCCAGTACGACACATAGTCTCCTGCAAGAAAATCTCTCTCTGCACGTGGTCTCGCTGCAAGTGCGGTTCGAAGGCTTATGTCGTCCTGAGACTGAACTAATGCAATTCGGGCTTGAGTCCGGATCTCATGGGCACGAGCTGCATTTGCGTCATGAAGTGGAGAAGTGGCTGCTATGGGACATGGGGACTCCTGAACAAGGTCTGCGGGGACTCTTGGATTCCTACCAAAAACCAACTGACATGGTGACATCCCTTTGTTGTTCAGAAGCTCATTCTTCGCATTCATGGTCTGGACAACACACTGTTCGTACTCTTCTTGATTTTTGGGTTGAACTTGATCCAACATTTTTACAAGAATTGTTTCAAACAGGTGCCCATGCTTCTCTACCTTTCCCAACTGGTTGTGTGCCTCTGCAGCTGTGGTAACGATCCTAGCCCCATCAGTTTCCAACTGTGCACAAACTGACTCGGCGGTGTTGGTCTGTGCCGGGTCGACCAAAACTTCAACCGGCACTCCTGCCCACTGCTGCCATCCCTTCAGATACAACTGCTTGATCAGCTCAGATCTCTCTCTCTCATAAAAAGGAAGCATGACCTGAAAACTCGATGCGAAATCCACAATGTTCAAACACTTAATCTTCTGATTCAACTTCCAGCCTGAGAGAGCCTTGACGTCCCAACCAATACGGTGATTGAAATCATGGAAATGGTTTGGTGCTGCAGGAAGGGCGGGTGTCGGTCTGACACGCTGCTGGCAAATGTCGCAGCTGGCTTCTACGTGCTCTGCCAGGCGCAGTGCAGTCTCGGATGCGCCTGCATTCTTCAAAACCCTCTTAAGGCTTCTAGTGGACGGATGTCCCAGGTTGTTATGTAGTTTCTTTAAACTGTTCTTCACCTTTGACACCTGTTCCTGATTTTCGGGTTCATCAGAAGATGCATTTGCATTTGACACGACAGCACAGCATTCGGCGACGCTCAGAGCCAGGGATTCTTCACTCGGTTCCTGCACGCATGAAAAATGGCAAAGTTGCATTTCAGGCTTGATGCAGCTATACCATGTTTTAACAAACCCATCGGTGTATCTCGCAGTCTTGGCACTAAGGTTTTCACCATCACAACACTTACCCTCGATTACTTTGTGGTATTGATGTCCTGGACATGTCAGGGCAAGGGATTCCATGTCGGGGTGCGAAACTGCAAGACCAGTCATCTTCTTGATCGGCTGATCGGAGTCGGGGTCTGTGAGGCCATATGCACACATGTGAGCTTTGCATCTGGTCAAAAGTCCTTGATCCAGCATCTTTGCAATCGGAGGGTGATTCCACAAATCACTGGTCCATGGGTGCTCAATAAGAACCCTACCCCCCCGATGCAGCTGTTTGCGGACTTGTTGGGCGACGAAATCTGCTTGCTTCTCCGCCACCTTCTTGTTCTGAAGTCTTTCGGCTAGGCTCAGCTTGTGTTGATTTAGGCGGTACCAACCACCCCAGTGCTTGCATTCCGGGCAACAAACCAGGAGTTCAGGCATCTCTTCGCTCAGCATCTCGTCGACCTGACGCTGCACTTTCGGACATGTGAGATCCCACCCTTGTTTGATGTCAAACGACAAACCTTTACGACCTTCAGCCTGTGCGATCTTGGCAAAACGTGGAGGGGAAAAGATCTCAGCAACGGCACATCTACTTTCAGCTTTGTGCCAGGCCTGGTGTTGAGACATCAAATTTCGCTTTTGATTGCGAGACAAGACATGCTTCTTTTCATCGGATGGCACCTTCTCGGTCATCAGCACCTCAGACTCAGTGTTCAGAACATCAATGACGTACTGACCTGCGGAGTTCACCTGGAGAGGTTTCGGAGGGCCACCTCCAAGAGACAGGGTCTCGGCTGAAAAGTCCAGCACTGCATTCAGGCTCTTCATGGTGTTCCTACTGAGTAACAATGGGGCTGATCCTTTGATCACAGCAGCATCAATTCGACCCTTTTGGCCGTTGATGGAAATCGGCATGGACACGACACGCTCTGAGACCTCTTCATGACCATTTCCGAAGCGGAACAGATTGCATTCCTTTCGGTCCGTGGGCTCAGGCATGCATTTGGTTTGATACATCCTCATAAAATGATTCAAAGTGTCTTGACCGATAAGTGTTCGACTACAACCGGAATCCACTATGCCAAAACCAGGGGAGGAAACAAGCATCACTTCAGAAAACATGTTGGGACCATCCTCAACCATTGCAGCACCAGAAACCAGTTGACTACCTTCGGATTTTGAGGGACGAGCGGATCGATTTGGGCAATCCTTACTCCAATGTCCCACCTGATGGCACTTGAAACACTTGGTACGGCTCTTGCAAGTGCGAACATCCTGCTGAAACTGTTTCTTCACAGTTCCAACTTGGGAAAAACGGCGAGCTTTCTGCAAACGGGAAATTTCACTACGCTTCTCACGCCATGTTGCTGCAAGAATCTCAGCCGTCTCGAGCTCGTCAAAGACCTCGGTGGACTGATTCTCCTGAGCCGAAACACCGTGATCTGCCAAAAAGGCTTCCAGATCTTCGAAAATCACTGCGTCATGAACTTCTGTCGAGGCCAACTCTTCGTCCCCGGTTTCCACCTCATCCTGAGCCAGGAACGCTGTGACTGGCTTCGGCTTCGTTTGTTTTGCAGTTGCCTTGAAGTCCGGAAAGCAACTTCTCATTGCAGCTACCACGGTCTCAATCTTGAAGTCCCCCTGAGTCTTTGCGGTCACTATAGCCCGCTGATCTTCAGAAAGCCCACTGGCGTTGAGGCAGATCCATCCTCGAGCCTCTGAGGGAAAGTCCACTTCAACTTTCCTCCGACACTTGGCGAAGGCTTCTTGGACTTTGATGTCCAAGCCACTATGGTTTCACCCTCATTCTGGGACAGGGTGAACACTTCCTTCAGACATTCTGCCAGCCAGTCATGCTTGAGCTTATCAGGAAACCTTTCGTCCAACGCTTTCCAGAGATGTTTGTCACCATTCTCCTCTTTGAGCTGATCCAGGGTCAGGTGTTCCACAGTCTCCAGCGCAGTTCCGTCTAAAAGACAGAAGACAAAAGGGCCCCTTTGCTGCGGTTGCATATCTTTCTGAGACGCCATTCGAGCTTCGACCCAGAGGCGCCATCGGCGGTATTCCAAGGGATCCAGCGCATCTCCTGCGAATCTCTTGTTGTTGCCAGAATCCTTGTCATTGCTAGCCATGGGATACTGCTTTCTACCAACGCTCTGCCTAGAGCTGACTATCTACCTGGATGCCCCCTTTTCGGGGGCTCCGCTACCAGTTATGAAACTGGTGACGGAGGAAAACCTACCTAGGTTCACACCACAAGGCTTCGCTCCATTTCGTCCTCGAACCAGCGTGCCTGCGAGTCTTGGCGAATGCAGCACGATATGAATGTTCGGTTGACCTGGCCAGATGGATGGAGTCAAATGACTCTGATTGGGATACTGCTTTCACATATATATATATATATATATTTAGCCAACTATATCTTACTATTTGATACTATTTGCGATTTTAATGTGACTTTCAACAAAACGATGACTCAAGACCGGTGGGAAGGGGGAACAAACATCTGGAAAACCTAGATTTTTGATATGTGCCATTGTCACTCGTTGGAGCACCGTGACACCTGTATTGAGGGGATGGTCATCAATCGGATTCCCATGGCATGGCATGGGATGCAACTTGACCATGGCACATTAATATAGTCACTTAGTCGGTTGCGTAAAGTTACCCTCCTCTAAACTAATGTAGATCTGGAAAACCCACCAGATTTGTAGATCATTTTAAAATTATATTTTTTCCAAACGGGAAACCATGGGTTTCCACAACATGTTGTATGTGTACCCTCAGGTAAAACTAGGGTAAAACACGTTTCCAATCGCTAAAACACGTTTCCAATCACTAAACCTCTGCAAGGCCACAGGCGGCTGGAAGTGGGTCATGCCATGGACTTGGCAGTGGAAGCTTCCGTCCAACCCGCTGAGTCCTACCCTGCTGGTGACCTGGCTGGTCTGAAACGAAACGTGCTGTGACCAAGAGAACGATGGGTTCTTTGAAACATCATCGTTCTAATTCTGTTCTAGACTCTAGAGTTCTCAGATTTTCGAGATGTTAATACTTAAATATCCCAAACATTCTCTAAACTTGGAGGTGTTTAGATATCAACATTTTAAAAAATCAGCCAATGACATCATAGTATGTTGGGGTGTTAATACATGATTTTAACATATTTTAACTGTATCAAATCATTCTCCAAGGGAAAACCTTCACGGGGTGCTCCTTCTGCTCCAAGGCTGAAGGTCTGGGCACCTTCTGCCTGGTCCTGGTGGTGGGTGGGGGTGCCCAGTGATGACACGTGCATCAATATTAATGATCATTGAATCAGATGGAATCATTAACCAATGTTAATCAATATTAATCACATATTAAGTCCAGTTCTTTGATGTGTGCAACTTTTGATTCCAAGCCGAGTCTAGTTTCACCCGAAGGAACATCTGAATGGCAATCCCTCCTGTTCCTTTATCCGATTAAAACCCAATTTGGGAATGGCTCAAAATTGTACCCCCCAAAAAAATGGATGGCGTCAGATCTTCAAATAATTTTCTACATTTGAAAATTGAAGGTTTCAGAGGTAGAGACAATCTCATACACCCAAAAATGAATGTTTAACCTGTGTTTAAAAAATATGTCCAAGAGCCTATGCTTCAATACCCGACATCAATACCCAACATCAATACCCAACACATGCCCTAGGGTAAAATCACCACTAGATGTGGACAAAAATGGTCTATGTATGGATGAATCCCAGGATGCGCAGTGACAGGGCCTGCGCCGGCACCCTGGGCTCCCACGGCCATTGCAGCGCTGTTGATGGTGACTGGGTGCTGATATGGGGATATCATGGGTTAATATAGGGATACCATCAGGACAGAACAGGACATCATGGGATACACAACCAAATTCTTTTTAGCGTTTTGGTCTGATTTATTTGGATTTTCACGGGATTTCAACTTGTAAACTATTGTAAACCACCCGTTTTACGGAGATTTAACCATCAAGTACAAGGATTTAATTGATTGATAATGGCAATTGGGTGTGTTTGCAAAGGGTGGAATCATCCGCAACTCTCTTCCATTTATGGTAACTTTAGTGAAAAGGATCATCAACCATGGGAGTTTGGGTTAATCTATTGTCAGACACACCCAGATTGGGAGGTGACACAGTTTTAAGGGGATCTGACCTTTGGTGTTCATCACCTACACGGCAAACCGCTTTGTCTCATGTATGCCCACATTCCGTCCGATGGTTCATCAACGAATGTTCCTCATTAGTTCATGGCTGTTAGTACTGCACATCCGCATGGTAAATCTGGTTTTCAGGGGAAGATTCATGATGGTTTTATCACATCTCCTCCAAAAAACAGATCCTAAACACGCCCATGAACGGCGAGGTGATGGTCTATGCCACAGGACCCATCTCTGGAGGCGGGGAATGGCAACAAGGGGTGGTAATTTACCCGTTCTATTAGGGAAGTAGATGAAAGTAGACTTAGTCAGATTTTTTTCTTAGGAGTTGTAGATGTTCTAGTTTCTAAGTAGGATGCAACTTGGATGCAAAAGTAAACAGGCATATTATATTAAATATCTTTCTTCACAGAAGCTACAGCAGACTCGTACAGCGTTGGAAAAATATGTGTTGATGCCGGAAACTTTGGGTGAACATCCCAGCCATTCTGTTTCTGACCCAGCCAGTGGATATCTACATTGGTGGTACTCCCGTTTTCAAGGGCGCAGGTCAGGGAACTAAGTACAGCCCAGTTGAAATGTTTGGAATCTTTAAGTGATCTGAATCGAAAACCATCTAAAACCGTCTAAAACTTAAAACCATCAAAAAAACCAGCCATTGCTTTCCTGCAACTTTCCCTTGCAGGGCGCATTTGTTGTTTCGATATTTTCAATCCACCTGGGTCGCGCAAACCCAGGGGCCATCTGTGTGAGGCAATCTGAACCCCGCTGTCTCTTTGGGCTTGGCCATTTCGGGCAAGATGCCTTGGCTTCAGATGCCCCTCAGCACAAGTGGCGAGGATAGGAGCAGAAATTCTGGTGGAATTTCTGGGTAGATCAATGAGTCAGGCAGACAAAAAAAACAGATCTTTAAATACATGTTGCTTGTTGCTACATGCTGCTACCGTACATGAACTCTAGCTTTATTTTGGTGCACCTTTTTTTGCCAAACCGAAGATCCTCCATCATTTTCAGTTCAGGTTGAAGTACTGGGCCGCGCAATTGATTGGTGCTTTCTCGGCTGCCTTGGCTTATCGCTGCATTTGTGCTCCCAACTATGTGATGGTGGCACCCATCTTGCCATTTGGCGCAGGCTCGAAAAGCACATTGGAACGCTAAGTCATTGAAGACATATTTGTCAGTGACATCAGCATTTTTCTGCTTGAAATCCTTGAAACACCCATTGCTGTTAGTTTAATCCCCATCTCCCAATCCATTCTCTTTACCTCTTTATTGGTGTTTTTGTTATCCAAAACAATGTAACATCGCTGTTGAAAACCACCATTGTTGACCTATAAGACCATGCAAGACCACTCCATTTAAACAGCAGGTTCATATCAACTATCAGTTCAATCCCTTTGTTTATGGAAAGACATCACCATTTAGTGCAGGTAAATCCATCATTATCATTATGATTCTTACAGAGATCCTCTATTTCTTGCTGAAATCCCCAGACATCTCCATTTATCATCCCAAATCCCCAGAAATCCCCCATTTTATCTCCATTGATCATCCCTTAAATCCATCCCCAAAATGTCCCCTTGTTTTTTTTTCGACCTGGCAGGGTCCTGCTTTGTGGCTGAATTCTTCTACACCTTCGTCTTGGTCTTTGTGGTGCTAAACTGCGCTGCCTCGAAACGCACCAATCCTGGCAGCGCCCCTTGGAGTTGGTACATGTATTGTTCTTTTACAGAGAGTATTTGTATGTTATATATATATAATCATATAATGTGCATATATATATAAATTGATATATATATATATATATATTGATATATATATATATTGATATATATATTATATATATATGTATGCACTCATGTTTGGTATATATGTTGTATAGGTTGTAATCACTAAGTAAAGTATCAGTACCATATCATGTAACCAGACTTCCTTGCTACATGGATTTCCAACAGCACCCCTGCAGCCTTGCTACGCATGGGTCAAGATTTAAGGCACCCGATATTGATTGAAACTGATTTCATTTGTATACATCACTTAGATATTCCATATAAATGCCATAACCCAAAAACCAATTTTCCATATCCAATCCATATCCGGATTGACCCCATCAATTATAGATATCATAAGATTCCCCAAATCATAGCTGTCATAGCCCATGATTTTTCATGATTTCCACCGTGGGTTAGGACCCCAACCAGTTCTATGGCCTGGCCATTGGCTTCGTCATTGTGGCGGGTGGCCACGCTGTGGGCGCCGTGTCCGGTGCCGCACTGAACCCGGCACTGGCGTTGAGTCTGGGGAATACCAGTGGCAAGGCGAGCGGGGGGTTGAGGTGCTTGGGGATATCATCATCATTATGTATATGTATATATATATATATATATATATTTGTTATATACATTTTATCACTATTTTTTTGATATATCAGATATTATCGTATTACAGAATCTATAGCTTATTGCCATATATTACCATGATGATCATAAATATATATATATATACATATCATACGTGATATCATCATATATTGCCATATATTGCCATATATTGCCATTGGATAATTAATGGGATGATACCCTCTGGTAAACGTTTGCATAGCTATGGAAAGATCCACCATTTTAAATGGCTAAATCCACTATTTCTATGGCCATGGCTTCAATAGCAAACTGTTGACATAACCAGAGGGTAATCACCATTAATTCACTATTAGCCATTAATAACCTCCATTAATCACCATTGATCACCATGAATCACTGTTAAATGTCCAAAGGGTACATCCAACGGAAGTATAAACCATGGAACCGTGGAGATTATTTTAAATGGGTAAATCCACTATTTCTATGGCCATGGCTTCAATAGCAAACTGTTGACATAACTAGAGGGTAATCACCATTAATTCACTATTAGCCATTAATAACCTCCATGAATCACCATTAATCACCATTAATCACTGTTAAATGTCCAAAGGGTACATCCAACGGAAGTATAAACCATGGAACCGTGGAGATAATAAATATGATATCATACGTTATCATCATATATTGCCATATATTGCCATTGGATAATTAATGGGATGATCATGGGATTGTTCATCCAAAATCTCTGGGTCCCAGGAGATCCACTGGTGCTGGCTCTGGTGCGTCGCCGAGCTCCTGGGCGGCGCCTCGGCGGCCGGCGTCTTTCGGCTGCTGCGCCGCGAGGAGTTCGCGGAGGACGCCCTTTATACCGCCGAAGCGATGGGAAAGTCCCGGGACATCGCGGGAGAAGTCGGCAAAACATGGCAAAACATGGGAAATGATCCAAAAAACATGTGAAACCATGTTTTTTGTTGGAAAACCTTGGACATTTTGAAGAAATCTTGGAGAACTCTGGGAAAATGATGGAACAATTGTGGGAAACGCGGAAATCCCACAGTTTTGGAAAATGATTTTCTCTTTAAAAATTGCCGATTAATTGTGGGTACATCGCCAATTTTTTGATAAAATCGGTTTTGTTTGCTTCTGCTGACCAATGGAAATTGATGCAACTTTTAGGTTTCTTTAAGGTTGGCATAGCATATCTACTATCCAGCACCAGGGTTTCCATGTAAACTGTATTGCAGGACTTGTGAAAACATTGGATTTCACCGTTTTATTGTTGAAATTTGACGTGTTTTTCTTTCGGTTCTGTGTCTTTAGCACTTCCAGGTGGGGCCCAGCCTCCAATTCCCTCCAGGATGCTACGGATGAGACGTTGCAGGCCCACGAGCCAGGCACTGGGACAACGGGCTAAGGGAACCACAACAGATAACATGATATCCTCTGGTGATTTAACAGCTTGCTATGTAACATGGCCCGTTTAGTTCGATGATAAACATGATAATTTATAATGATTTACTTATTAACATGGTGAATATGGTGATTTTCCCAGAGGGTATGTCTGAATTTCTGACCATTTTGCTCAGCGAGACAGCGGTATTGAATCTACAATTAGGACAGGCACCTTGCCAAGTCGAGCGAAAACAGCGGCAATTGTGTCAGTGGTCACAGTATTCGGATACCTGGTGTGGATGGATGTCTATGATTGATTTTTGCAGTGTTAAGAAAGGTTTTGTTTAGGAGGGGAAAAAAATGCGGATAATATGCCTGCTTTCATACTTGTAGACGGAAATAAAGGTCATTTAAATTGCTCCTTGCAAAATCAGGGGATCAACACAGTGTTCTGTTTTTCTGACAAAAAATATGTTTTCCGCAAAAAACGTTCTTGCAACAACAACAACTAGTTTGTTTACACAATAGTCTTTAGCAGTCTTGGGTATATCGGTACATATTTCACAAATTATCATTCCATTCCATCCCCATTAAATCCCCATGATGAAGCGCTAGCTGGCTAGCTGCTAAAACGGAAGGCCTCTTGGTGTCCTCTGCAGCAGAGTTCTTGGGCACTTTTGTGCTGGCAGGGAGCCCTGGGGACCAAGAAACATCATGCAGTGGGGCGCAGTTGGGGTTAGTAATGGGGAATTAAAACAGTGGCTAATGTAGTGGTTAATAGTGGTATTAATAGCAGTCCATAGTGGTTACTATTAATGGTGGTTAATGCTGTTTATAGTGACCACTATTAACCACCATTAACACTATTAACCACTATTAATTGCTGTTAACCACTATAGTGGTTAATGGTGGTTAATAGTGGTTACTATAAAAAATGGATGAAACCATAGTTAGATCCCAGGAGTTGGGAGATGGGGCCCCGAAAAAACTGGTAGTTTACCCTCTGGTTATTTAACCTAACATAGTCATGGGAAATGGCCCATAGAAATAGATGGTTTACCTATTAAAAATGGTGATTTTTCATGGCTATGTTAGTCATAACCAGATGGTATATATCCAATTATACTGGTAGTTTAAGTACCATCCGTGGCGCAAGCGCAGGCCTTCACAGTTGGCATGAACTTGGTTTCAAAGTCGCCATCCACGGCTTTTTCAGCGGCAGCTGCGCTGAATCTTGGCGGTGCTTTCGGTGATGATACGGAATGTGATAACGCATGTTGATTGTTGAGATTCCACGCCATGCGTGAACCATGTTCGTTTGACATCATTTATAACCCCAATATTTTCCTATTCCGTACGATTTTCGGAATAGTCTTGTTTTTTTTTTTCCACGTCACGTCGCAAAACAACATAGTTGATGCAGTCACTTCGCGTACCGTCCACATTGTACATTAATATATTTCATGGACATCAGTAATGTATTATAGATATTCGTTCAGCACGGTGTCGCTACCATACCCCAAATATCCCCAAATGAAATGCGCATCAATCAACACAGGGATTGATGCATGTGCACCTTCTAAACACACCTGTTAGTCGTGGTAGTCAATGTTTTCTTATTTCCTACCTTGTGAGAGGACAATCCCTTTGGAAACTTTGTGTCATCACCCAAGATGAACAACATCGTCCAAGGAAAACCATGTTGTCTCAAACTTGGACCCGCAACTTTTATCGTCAAAATATTGCGAGACCATTTCCCTGAAACGGATAGGAGAATTGGAGCCCCCTTGTAATTCTGGACTAGTAGAAACATGTAGAAACCATTTGTTTCCTGCCGAATTTGCCCTGAAATCAATCCAGTCATATCCAGCGTAGATTCTGATGGTCTACACAGGATGTGCATGGTCTACTCGTTGGGCAACATCTCCGGAGCTCATCTGTTCCTTGACGAAACGGGCGCACTGCGCAGCACTGCGCGGTGGAGTAGTTGTGGACTCCCCAACCTCTGTTCGAAAAAAACATGTGGAACAACAAAAAAAACTATATATATATATGGTTATATCTACTAGTGGATTATCTATGGTATCGATGTTCAGGTTGAATTAAGGAACATCACTGAAAGATCCAATGGTAATTGCATTATTTTATGTATAATGTGGGAAAAATCAACCCGCAAGAAAAAGAACATCACCAATGTCTTGCCATTTTTTTAGTTGTGTAAACCATTCCCAAATGATAGGTTCATTATAGGGTTTACCACATTACATCATATATGTATATGATTGTATATGTATATATTATATATACCCTATATATATATATACACAGTACATATATATATACATTATATATATACATACATATTCCGTCATTATCATGATTGAATGGCTAGAAATTGAGGTATCCAGCAGTTTCGGAGAGACCCTGCAGTCTACATTTGCAATCTTTTGGAACCCAAATTCATCCAAACTCCAACACTTCTGGATTTTTCTATTCATGGTTGGCTGAGGGGTTCCATTGGATGGCTGACAATCCCCATTTCTGGGAAAATCCAATCGGTTAGAAAGTCAAGTTTTGCTATTGTTGGTGCAAAAATCAGATTTTTGGAAATTGGTATAAGTATATTTATGATCGTGTTTCAGCTCATCCCCAAATTTCATCCATCTTCCGGTGCTAAAACATCCGATTCTTTGACCAAAACAAGATGTTCATCCATGTCTAACGCAAATTCCAGTCCAAATTGACAAACGCTCGTTCCTGGCAAGGTTTCCCTTGGCTGAACATGTCCTTGAATCCTTTCCCCAGTACTGAACACCGCCCAGAAACCATGATTTCTTTGGGAGGAACCCGGCCGTGACCCTGGCCGTGCTGCTGCGCGGTAAGTGTGGCCGAAGCAAGGCCGCCTGCTACGTTGCTGCGCAGCTTTTGGGCCGGGAGACCCGGGTGATCCCCGGGATGGCGCGGGGGATATGGAAAATCACCATCTTTGGTAGGTAAATCAACTATTTCTCTGGTAATTTAACACGTTGCTATTGAACATGGCCATAGAAATAGTGGATTTACCCATTTAAAATGGTGGATCTTTCCATAGCTATGTTAGTTTACCAGAGGGTAGATCAACTATTTCCATGGGCCATGGCTTCAATAGCTATGTGACAAATTACCAGAAGGTAACATGTAACATAAATGTGGAAAAATCCACCAGACATGTAGATCATCTAGGGAAACCATGGGGTTTCTACTTCTATGTTTACCCGGTACCAACCAGCTATTTTGGACGATTTAATTCATTGAAACGCAAAGAGTACCAAAATAGGATGTTGATCAAGAAAGCTGGGGTTAGGGTTTACAGTAGTCAAGAACATGATGGCACATGTGTATTGAACAACATATTTATGGGGAGGTGAGGTGGGTAGGGGGCCAAAATCTAAGAGCCTTGCCTGGCAGCCTGGGCCCTGCAGGTACCTTAGATTTTCAATGATTTTCAGCCATTTCGGCTTTTCCTTAAATGTGCCATACAATGATAATGCATGACAATTGAGGATCAGTAATATATCATCATGCGTGAAAATCTACGATAATTCATACAATGTCATACAATGATTTATATCATGTATATCGAAATATTATCGTACATGATACTGTAGTTCAATCAAGTAAAATGATCCTATGATATAATGATACTATCATACATGATTAATATACAATG